GACACTAAGAATGCCTTTCTGAATAATTTCTATGATGATGCTAGATCAGAAGACCTGAGGACGAATATTGCATCATTCTCTCAAGGTCCTACTGAAGCTTTTAAGGTTTCTTGGCTGAGATTCGAATCTTATCAAAGGGACTGTCCTCATCATGGTTTTAGTCAGGTGCAGCTGCTTGGGATTTTATTCATAGGCATTGACTGGAAGTATCAGATGGCTCTGGATGCAGCTAGTGCTGGAAACTTCAATGCCCAGACCAGAAGAAGCAACCAGATTGATTGAGAACTTGGCCTGCAGCAACAGCACCAAGAATGCAGATTTTCAGAGGATGAAACAAGCTGGTTTGGATGATGGGAATCAGATTGCTGAAGTTAAGGCTAAGCTGGACAGTATGTACAGCCTTTTGGTGGGAAAGAAATCAGTCCAATTTGCTGCAGAGGTGGACACTTTCGAAAATCCTGAAGAATTTGAGCAGAAAGATGTAAATTTCATCAATGGAGGTTTTCAGAACCAAAAGGTTTGGGAATCAGCAGTGGAACAGAGGATTTAATTGCAACAATCAAAAGAAAACCTTCCCAGGAAACCTGAATGCAACTGGTTATACTCCAATGCCACAGTTCCAGAAGCCTGAAGTTGAGAAATCTTACCAAAACAGCAGGAATTATGGTTCTTCTTCCTACCAAACTGCACCTCCACAAGACACTAAGATGGAAGCTATGCTGGAGCAGATACTTGAAGGACAGCAGAAGATGACAGTGAACTTCAATGGCAAGCTAGATTCGCTGTACCAAGACCTGAATGGAAAAATTGAGAGTCTGAACTCTCATATGAAGAAGTTGGATGTGCAGGTTTCTCAAACTGCAGGAGCTGTTCAAAGGCAAGAGAGATTCCTTCCTGGAAGGACTGATATCAATTCCAAGCACCAAGTTAATGCCATCACAGTCAGGAGTGAAAAGGAGCTTAAAACAGTGCATAAAAAGAGGTTGAGTGCAGAACAGATCATGCAACTAATGGCGTCTGAAGATAAAAATTTTGCAGTCTCAGAGGTGAGTGACGAGCGTCACCAAGGAGGAGTGACGCTCGTCACCAACTTACAAGGGAATCGGGGGTTGTCACAAGTCAGTGACGAGCGTCACCACCCTGGTGACGGTCGTCACCCACCCCAGAACGAAGCTGCTTCGCCTGTAACTGCAAATAATGGCTAGGAGCAAGCGTATAAACCCAAGATACCATTCCCTAAGCATCCTAAGAAGTCTAAACAGGAGATAGAAGAAACCAGATGCAAACCTATGATAGACAAGCTGATGCTTGAGATCCCTCTTGTTGATGCAGTCAAGCTTTCACCAGCTCTAAGAAGATATGTAAGGAGGATGGTGGTGAATGGGGTAAGTCCTGAGGAAGGAGCATTGCTTACCAGAGACATCAGTGCAATTCTCTTAGGCACAGTTCCAAAGAAGAAGAAGAAGGTGACTGTTTCTGAACAAGTCAATGCCATCATTCAAAGCAGAGTTCCATAGAAGCTATCTGATCCAGGGACCTTTGTTCTTGATTGCTCAATCTTTGCAGGACGTTTTCCCCACTCTCTATGTGATCTAGGGTCAAGTATTAACTTGATGCCTTCCTCTGTTGCTGCTAGACTTAGAATGACTGATTTCAAGCCAGTTGGGATCTCTCTCATCCTAGCAGATCGATCCATTAGAACCCCATAAGGCATCTTAGAAGATGTTCCTGTTAACATTAAAGGCTGCATGATTCCCACAGACTTTGTGGTTTTGAAATATGCTGAAGAACCTAAAGATCCTCTTATTCTTGGAAGATCATTCTTGGCTACTGCTGGCGCCATCATTGTTGTGAGAAAGGGGAACATAGAGCTTGATTTGGGTGATGTTGTCATGAACTTTGACATGGATAAGTTAAGAGGAAGTTCTACCATTGATGGTCAGACCTTTTCTGTAAGGACTTCCAGAGATGAAGAGTCTGTCATGGAGCATTCAAAAGACATTATTGCTGGGTATGTCAATGAATCATATAATAGAAGGCAAGAAACGAAGCTGGTTGTTCAAGGAGCAATATCGGAAACTTCTGCCAAAGCTGTTGGGTTTGAGGATTGCAGTAAGGATCATATCTTCATGATTAGGCTTGAAGAAGAGGTTCCCATCAATGCCAAGTTGCTGGAGGAGGACGAGTTTGTGATGGAGGCAAGACTTGCAGAGCTGAACTGTAGAAAAACTGCAGAAACTCGAACTGCAGGGTCAGTGACGATCGTCACTGACTTGGTGATGCTCGTCACCAACCTGGACACAAAGGATCGACATGATCTTACAGCTACAAGTCATATGATGTTGCCAAACCGAAAATTAAACATTTCACAACCCAGAAACCTGCAACTAAACAAAGGTATGCACTTCCTAGAACCAAATCCAAACCTCTTGATCTCATCAATAAGAATTTAAAAGGTGCAAAAGCTGCTTCACACTTATGCAAGCAACGAGATTCTCGTAGAATGCTTGGTGTTTCTTTTGATGATTCTGCAGGAAAACAAAGTGTATCACCCATAGTCACGACCCACCCTGCTGATGTTCCTCACTTCCTTGGAAGAGTTCATGCATCTACTTGATACAATATGGAAAAATACTAAATCAAATATCTTCATTATGTTGATTTATTATAAGAATCTGGTCTTCATCATTTCACAAAATCAGAAGATTCTCATTCAAGTCTAAAGAAAAATTGGTGCCAATCTATTCTTACTTCTTATTTTTTTATGCAATCTATTCTTTTCGTGATGTTTTCTCATATCACCATGTCTGAGTAGTTTGTTAGTTAAGTTAGGGCTTTTCAAAGGTTGAAGAAGAGTTTGTAGAATTGCTAACTCCCTTGGGATTCGATAACCCTTTGTACTACAACTGCTTTACTGTGCACTTGCAGTAGTTTTATTTGGGTAAAACCTAAGCCCTATCATCTACTCGGCGTGATCGAGGTTTCAGGTTCCGACAGAACCACCCGCACGCCTCCCGCACGCCTCCCGCTTGAGGTCCGTTAGAGGAGGCATTTAACTGGCTCATATTTTCTCCTATCTCCGTGGTCTCCTTTCCCTTACCCCAATCTATCGCTTCGACTTGTTGGTGGAGATGATCGAGAAGGTCGAGTTTTTGTAACTGAGTGCGCATCTCCAACATACATACTTTCAACATGTTCACCTTCTCCACGGTTGCATGCATCCCCTATATTACCTCGATGAGGTTCTCCGTCTCACTCCTCTCGTCAGGTTTTTGTGCTTTCAGCGGCATAATTCCCAGGTTAGACTTGCTCTGATAACAAGTTTGTTACGTGTAACAATCAATTTGTAAACGTAACAATCAATAATAACAAGTTCTCCTATTTAGAAACGATCAAGAGTACAAAGAACAGAGAATTACAAAGAATAACTCTCTTTCCTCTCTCCCACCCCTGATCAACTCCGTGATACCCCAAATGACTAACGTCCCCTTTTATTTATCGAATCCCGAGAGATCCTTTTCTCTAACGACTTGTGCAGCTTTATTCTCTCCCTGTCAACTTGCTACACGTATACTCGCCTCACCAAGAAATATCCACTCTTACTCTTTTAGAACGCTGTCCTCTCGAACCCGCGAAGCCCACTAAACCTGATTCTTCTAAGCCCTTCTCTTGTACGTGTGCAGGATCGGCGGCCTCTGATCATCATATGTAACACATGTGTCTGTCTGTGTTTAGGTTTATACATTACTAATGAAAAATTTACACATTACTGAATTTTTTTAATTTTTTTAGCTTAAGAAACTTTTTAAGAACTGAAGAAAAATTTACACATTGCAAATACGTCATATGCTCATCGATCGAAACCGCAGCTAAATTAGTGTTTAGGTTTATCTAAAGCGCATATTATTGTTGGGCTTCAAAATATTTAAAAAGTCTGCTCGGGCCTTCGTTTACCACTTGTATTTGTATCTTCTCAGATAAACGGGTCTGGACCGGGCTGACCCGTTTAAGCCCGTTGTCCGGGGAATTAATGGGTATCCGTTTAGCATTTTTTAAAAGAAAAAAATCAATAATGTAAAACGGCATCGGTTGAAAGTTTTATCAATGAGTGACGCCGATATCGTCTTCTCCGACTATTTGTCTCACACTCTCTCAACTGCGACTCGACGCCGTCGAATCTATTAATCCGAGGGTTTATTGTCCGTGAAGCTCTTACAAGACAACTACGTACGTCATCGTCCTTGTTCGATTTGGGTTTTTGTCCTTTTGGTCCCTTTGTTTCTGTGTCACTTTAATCTCATATAATCTCTATTTGGGTTTTCTTTTTCTTTCTCAAATGTGTCGCTATATAAGCCGTGAGCTCATAATTAACTGGATTCCGTGTGTATGCAGCTAATTAGATTCTCGGTTTCCAGAAGAGTTACCGTTCAATCTGGTTTGGGTTTTCTCTTCTCTCTCTATCAAAGTTTTGGGATATCAGTTTGTTGAAATTGTGAGACTTTAGATTCTCATTTGCGTTTTATTCAGTCGCTATGTTTTTCTATTGACTATGTTTGTATGATGAAACTGATATATTGTCTGTCTTGGTATGAATGATGTGTTCCTCATCTATACACAAACATCATCAAAAATTAAGCGCATACAAAATCATAATTGAGTACTTAAACTTGGATTCTGGTGTTAGAATGGCTCGTGTATTGCTTGAACTATGGTGATTTGCTAAACTCTTTTTCTTTTTTGTCTTACCTCTTGTGTGGGTTAATCTTTAGAATATCCATGAAAGAACATGACTTGTTCAAATGAGTGAACAAGGCTAATAGGTTTTAGTTATTACCGTTGTTTGTCGTGTTCAGTTTTGTGCTACTTCTCTGTTTCCATGTAGAAAAAGTCTGAAGATTCGTTTCAAGTTGTAATCGTGTTTGTGTGAGGCACTGATTTTCTTTCTTCACCTTTTTGTTAATCGGAATTAGGGGTTCATTTGTTGAGTTAAGCCTACAAGTATGGTTTTGCACTTGGTCGCCAAAATCTGCAGAATAATATCTTCCAGAATTAGAGCAGCCAATAAGCAATCGTCGAAACGGTTATCTCTGTTGACGTCGCTTCCCAAAGACGTCATCGTTGACATCATAGCGCGTGTACCCAGATGCGACTATCCAACACTCTCCCTCGTTTCTAAGCACTTCCGATCCCTCGTTGCTTCCCCTGAGCTATACACGAGGCGATCCTTGTTAGGTTGCACAGAAGACTGTCTCTATGTTCTCCTCCATGACACTAAAACCAATGATCAACGTTGCTATATTCTTCGCCGGAAAGTCAGCGGCGATAGACGCTTGGTTCTTATCCCTTCGCTTCCCGCTATGCCTTTCTATGGAAGCTATGTCGCGGTGGGTTCGAGGATATATGTGTTTGATCGGACTGAGGGTGCCTTCAGCATCGACTGTAGATCTCACACGGTGCAGCCTCTCCCGAGCATGCCTATACCCATGCATCGCACAGTGGCTGACATCATCGACGGAAAAATATATGTAATTGGAGATAGCTATTGTGACGATGGCTGGAAGAAGGCGATGGTGGTGTTGAATACAGAAACACAAAAGTGGGAGGAGCCTGCGATGATAAAGCCAGACATTGAGCTGGGTGAAACGTATTACTATGGCTGTGTGGTGATGGCTGGTAAGATGTACACGAGGGATTCCGATAACAGCTTTGTTTACGAGCCAAAGGAAGATAAATGGGAAAGAGACGAGATGCTGAATTTAAAAGATTGGGAGTTTGCGTGTTCGGTTGATGACGTATTGTACTACTGCGATAGGGATGAGAAGAGTCTAAGAGCGTATGATCCGAAGCAGAGATGTTGGGGAGTGGTGAATGGTTTGGAAGATTTGTATTTGTTGGTTGAGATCCAAGAGTGGCCAAACATTGAAATTGTGAGTTACAGTGGGAGACTGGCTTTGTTTTTTCCTAAAAGTGGAAACTCAAGAGAGATTTGGTGCGCTGAGATTTCGCTGGAAAAACGTCAAGGAGGAGAGACTTGGGGTCAACTTGAGTGGTGTGATCATGTTTTGACTGGTGATTTTATAGTTGAGTGGCCTGGTCTTGTTTCCACCGGGAATTTTGTCTCGATGAAATCTCTAGCTGTTACGGTTTGATGCAGAAACTCAGCTCTCTGGTTTTGTTAACGTTAATAGTAGAATATGTTAATTTTTTATGACAGTCTCTCACTCTCTCTGCGTATGTAAAATCTTGCAGTCAAAATAAGTTTCAGTATCGCCATTAAGATACATACATTTTGCTGACCTTAAAAATGAATACCAAATTTTATGAAAGGCTTTTGTAGGCTTCATAATCCAGTTTGGTTTAGGTACCCATCTATTCAGTTAGGTTCAAACTTAATATAACCATCACTGAAATGGACACAGCCAGTAATAGCCAGTCCACACACTATCATGCTTTAATGGTGAATAAATTAAAAACCAAACATATCATTCTTTTCTTGACGAAAACAAAATGAACCTGTACTCAAAAGTTTTACATATCTTTTCACTTTCCCATACTCTTTTAGAACATCACAAGGTTTGAAGAACACTGCACAACGAAAAACCTCGAGCTACAACCGAGTAGGTTGCTAACAAATCCAGATTCATCACCTTGCTTCGCAAGCTATTCTAAATTAACTTTTTCTACTTTTTTTAGTTTCGTCTAAATTAATTAAAATAATACGTGAATTTTGTTTTTTATTTGATCTTTTTGTATTTGTCCCAAAATTCTCTTTTTTCTTTCATTAATAAAATAGAGAAAATAATCTACTTTTTATAAATATCATTTACAAAAAGATAAAAGGAACAGAAAAAAAAGTTAAAGGTGTTATAAGATAATGATTATCTTATATTTTTGTCTTTATTGATTAACTTTCACCGCCTCTCCTTCTTTATAAATAGAGTTGTTCTATATGTTGTAAATTCATACGATCACACGAGAATAATAAAACATCTTCTTCTCTCACTCTCATTTACACTTCGCTCTCATATTTCAAATCACTTATAATATACATATACACATTAAACACATATCACATCTTATATAATAAATAATTTATAACACGTTATCAGCAATTGTCAAAAAAAAAACATGTTATCAGTACGAACATCTCTTAATTCTGAAGTCAGATCTATATCCAAAAGGTAAAATATATTTTAGTTCAATTTATTTTAAATTTATTATTTACAGAAAGATAAGTTCTGCCTTCTCCATTTATATATGATGCCAGGATGGTAGGCCCTGCCTCCTCCGAGCAGATCGTTATAGTAGGTTATGCCTTCACAATCTAAATAATCACATGGTAGACTATGTCTCCTCAGATCATTGAGTAGGAGATTAAAACCCCCATCTTTATTTATTTATTTATTCATTTAATTTACTTATTTATTTATTATGTGGGAGATTAAAATCCCCATCTTTGTTCATTTATTTATTTATGCAATCAGCAATTATATGGTAGGCTCTGCCTCCTCGTATTGCTTTTAATTATTGTCCTTTATTATGTCGTTACTATACTCAAATTTACAAATTAAGCTTTTGTTATTGAGTAATAATTTGTCAAAGCTCGAGATCGCCACTCTTGACTTCTATGGAAAGAATTATATGTCTTGGGCGGTAGGTGTAAAGTTGCATCTAGAGAGAAATGATCTCTTGAGCACTATCGATATATCGGAAACGATATTTGATGAAATAAGGCAAATATCATGATCTTTTTACGCCACCATATCCATGATGGTTTAAATGATAAATCCATCACGAGTAAAGATCTTGAATATCTTGTAAAATAAGTGGTTGAATCTCCAGGCAAGAGAATTCACACAAAGCTCGGAATTGATATAAATCCTCCTGGTAGCTTAATATAATAAACTCGTGATGAGAAACCATCAGTTTTGTCCAACTAAATTAACTCCATTCATAGGAGAGAATGTTGAGTAATCCACTTACAGTAAGTGTGATGGACAAATTTAATGGAAGAAAATGATGATGGTTGGGGCGTTGAAAGACAAAAGCTTAATAGTTTTGATGTATTATATGCTTTTACTTTGAATGTTTTTGCTATAGGTTCTATTGTATCATAAGCTGTATTTCCAGGTATGTGTTTAATATTTATTAATACATCTTTTATGAATATATTAAATTCAGAAAATGCTAGAATTTGAGACTATGAATTGAGAAATATGTCTGGTGGACAATGCTACAACGCACACGATTATTAAAGATAAAAAAGTATTTCTCCAGTCTCAAAATAAACGATTCCGCTGAAAGCGTGAATACGATATCTGGTAATGCAAAAATTATTATAGGCTCCGGAAGAGTCAGTTTTTCAATGCCAAAGGGAACAAAGTTTGAGATAAATAATGCGTTATCTTCCCCAAAGTCTTACAGAAACTTATTAAGTTTCAAAGATATCCGCGGAAATGGATATCATATAGAGACTATGAATAAGAATGGCATTGAATATCTTTGCATTACATCAGAGAGGAAACATATATTGGAAGAATTGAAAATGTTATCCTCTGGATTATATTGCACAAAAATAAGTATGACTGAATCATATATTGCAGTAAACCAGAAGTTTACTATTACATTTAAAGTTTGGCATGAAAGGTTAGGCCATCCTGGTTCAGTCATGATGAGAAAGATTGTGCAAAATCTAATGGCCATCCGTTGAAAAATGGGAAAATATTACAAATGGGCGAGTTTTTATGTAATGCTTATTCTCAAGGAAAACTCGTAACTCGGTCATCACCAGCCAAAGTTGGGAATGAATCACCAGAATTTTTGGAAAGAATACATGGTGATATATGTGGGCCGATCCACCCACAATGCGGACCGTTTAAATATTTTATGGTTTTAATTGATGCATCTAGTAGATGGTCACATGTGTGTCTATTGACCACACGAAATACGGCTTTCGCTAAATTCATTACCCAAATAATCAGGTTGAGAGCACAATTTCCTGATTATGTTATAAAGAAAGTAAGGCTGGATAACGCTGGTGAATTCACTTCACAAGTGTTTAATGATTATTGTATATCTTTGGGAATCGATGTTGAGCATCCGGTTCTGCATGTTCATACACAAAATGGCATGGCTGAGTCAACAATTAAACGGTTGCAATGGATTTCAAGACCGTTAATATTGAGAACAAGGCTCCCAATTAATGTTTGGGGACATGCTATTTTGCATGCAGCGGCCCTGATCCAGATACGGCCTTGTGCATATAATGAGTATTCTCCATTACAGTTGGTATCTTGACAGGAGCCAAATATATCCCATCTTTGTGTGTTTGGGTGTGCGGTCTATGTCCCTATAGCGCCACCCCAAAGAACAAAAATGGGACCACAAAGAAGATTGGGAATATACATCAGTTATACGTCAACGAGTATAATCAGGTATCTTGAACCAGTAACTGGTGATATGTTTACGACCCGTTTAGCCGATTGCTATTTTAATGAAGATGAATACCCTGCGTTAGGGGGAGGATTGAGAGAATCACCAAAAGATATCACTTGGTGTACAAAATCTTTGGCTTATCTTGATCTTCTTACCAATCAATGTGAGATGGAAGTTCAGAAAATTGTACATATGCAAAATATGGCAAACTAGTTACCAGATGCGTTCACAGATACAAAGAGGGTGACAAAATCATATATCCCCGCAACAAATGTTCCATCCAGAAGAACACATTGATGGGAACATATCAAATGAACCTATGGTTCAGTTAAAGAGGGGGAGACCGATGGGTTCTAAAGATAAAATTCCCCGAAAGAAAAAGAATATGGGAGAAGAAAGTAAAAAGGTTCTAGAGGAACCATTTAAAGAAAAATGTCCCGAAGACATTTGTGAAAAGGTTCTAGAAGAACCAGATAAATAGATTCGTCTTGGAGACGAATGTGAAACAGAAAAATATGAGATTTCTATCAATTACGCCCAAAATGGAGAATTATGGATCATAGATAAAATAAAAGATATTGATGGAATATTCTCTTTTTCTGTATCTAAAGAGCTTGAAAGCGATGATCCAGATCCAAGATCCAAATCAGAATGTCAGAAAATATATGATTGGGAGAAATGGAAAATGGCCATTGAAACAGAATTATTCTCCCTGAATAAAAGAAAGTTTTTGGACCTATTGTCATAACACCAGAGCATGTAATGCCCGTTGGATACAAATGGGTGTTTGTAAGAAAGAGAAATGAGAAAAATGAGGTCACAAGGTATAAAGCGAGGCTTGTGGCACAAGGTTTTTCTCAAAGACCGGGAATTGATTATGAGAAAACATATTCCCCTGTAATGGATGCAATAACTTTCAGATTCTTAATGAGTCTAGCAGCATCCATGAATTTAGACATGTATCTGATGAATGTTGTGACAGCATATCTATATGGATCACTTGAGAATGATATATATATGAAAATCCCTAAGGGATTAAAAATGCCTCAAGCATTAAGATCAACATCTAAAGAGATGTGTGCGATCAAATTACAGCGATCACTTTACTGATTAAAACAATTCGGACGCATGTGTTATAATCGCTTGAGTGAATATTTGTTGAGTAAAGGTTACGTCAACAATGCAATATGCCCTTGTGTATTTATTAAGAAATCCATATCAGGATTTGTGATCATTGCTGTTTATGTTGATGACCGGAATATAATCGGAACTCAAAAAGAGATTGATGATGCAAGAACTCATATGAAAGAAGAGTTCGAAATGAAAGGTCTTGGAAAGACAAAGTTTTGCCTTGGGCTCCAGATAGAGCATTTCCAAGATCGTATATTTATGCATCAATCAAGTTATACGAAAAGGATCTTGAAACGCTTTAGTATGGATAAAGCGACTCCTTTGAGTACTCTGATGGTCAATAGATCGCTTGATGTTGATAAAGATCCATTTCGGCCATGTGAGGATAGCGAAGAAATATTAGGTCCTGAAGTACCTTATATGAGCGTTATCGGTAGGCTTATGTATCTTGCAAATTCTACTAGACCTGATATAGCTTTTGCTACTAATTTACTTGCAAGATACATCTCATCTCCTACACGCAGACATTGGAACGGAATAAAACATATATTCCGTTATTTACAAGGTACCATTGAATTTGGTTTATTTTATTCTCGAAACTCCGAGTTTGGTATGGTTGGTTTTGCAGATGCAGGATATTTATCAGATCCGCATAAGGCTAGATCGCAAACCGGATATGCTTTTACTATCGGAGGAACTGCGATCTCTTGGCGTTCCCAAAAGTAAACTTTGGTTGCAACGTGTTCAAATTATGCAGAAACTATTGCATTACATGAAGCTTGTAGGGAATGTGTGTGGCTCAGATCAACCATTCATCAAATACAAGATGCAAGCAGTATAGAAACAAAGAAAGAGCCAACAAAAGTATTTGAAGATAATGATGCATGTGTTGCTCAACTAAAAGAAAGTTATATCAAAAGTGATCGAACGAAGCATATCCCTCCAAGATTTTTTTCTTACACAAAGGAGCTCGAGAAAAATCAAGAAGTGGATATTCAGTATGTTCATTCATACGACAACGCAACTGATTTATTTACAAAGGTGCTTCCCACTACAACATTTAGAAAACATTCACAGCATTGGAATGCGGCACTTACAAAATCTTTAAAGAAAAGATTATATCCATCATTTTGAGGGGGAGTATTACTGCACTCTTTTTTCCTGTCATGATTTTTATCCCAAACAAGTTTTTGCATGATAAGGTTTTTAACAAAGCAGTATAAAATATATTAGTAACAGATAATCATGGGGGGTGTTATAAGATAATGATTATCTTATATTTTTGTCTTTATTGATGAACTTTCACCGCCTCTCCTTCTCTATAAATAGAGTTGTTCTATCTTCTACCTATTAATTGAGAATGTAGTTTAATGAAAAATGCTGATTTGTTTTAATTTGATTGGTTAAAATCTTTTCTCTATCCTAATTAAATGTGACATGGAAATGATGATGTGTAATGATGATATAATTGTGACATGACATTTACTAACACATGTGGTTTATGACATGGCAAAAAGTTTTTTTGTGATATTTTCATTAATAAAAAATTTAATTAGATGATAAAATTTAGTGTACTAATAATTAAATCTGGAATGATTCGCCGGATGCATTACGAATTATCTGATATTATTATTCATCTATATGAATAATAGTATATGAATTTTGGGCTGAACGTGATGATTTTAATACATATATATATTATTATACTATGGATAATACTATATTATATACCAATTAATTTCTATAACTCTGTCGTGGACCACTGTGACTTTCCATATAAATATATATATAATATTATATTCATACAGAATACATGCACATATATTTTCATATACTTCAGTAGGCAAAATTGTAATAATAAAATCACATTGATCAAATTGTTTATCTAATAATTCATATTTTTTGTAAAGGTGGTTCTTCATTTACGAGCACATATGTTTTCACATACTTTAGTAGGCAAAATTATAATAACAAAATAAGATATTATTGTGATCTTCTGTAGAGCATTCAAAATTTTAAAAATATTAGTTTAGTTTAAAAATAATAACAAATATAAATTTAAGATTTCGATTTAATAATCCTCTATATTATCTTTCGTAACAAACGTTGAATATCCTAAAAAATCAATGTGCATCTAATGAAAAACCAAAATTATCATCCTCTACATTATTTGAAAAGTTTAGTGTCCATTTAATAAAAACCAAAACGATCTATATAAAATTACGTTCATCCCAAATACCTAATGAAAAAATTAAATACTCGGATCCTTATATAAAAAACATCACAACACACATGAGTATCAAACAAATCAAACTCTAACTCAAAATGTGGGCATGACAATTCTACCAATCCATTTATCTAAATCGAATATAGCTAAAATGAAACTTAAAGGTTGTATAGACTCCAATCGTGAGTGTAATGAAGCAAAGTTTTATCGCTACACTGAATTTCCAAACAAATAGGTTTGGCATAAAAAAAAATAAGAAGTGGCTCTCTTGCAATAGAAAAAACAATGTTCCCTACGATATCAGCCTTTCAGAAGTCTCCAAAGAATATGGTGAGCTTTTCTACCTTAAAATGTTGCTAAATGTTCAGAGAAGACCAGTATGTTTCAAAGATATCAGGACAGTAAATAGAGTTTTATATCCAACATTCACTGAAACATGTCTTACAATAGAGTTAATTGAAGCACTTGATGCTTAAGTGGAGATGGTCTTGCAATTATTTGTAGAGTCTACTTGATAAAATTATAAGTAAAAAAATCACACATATGAGTAGATCGAGACCAACAATGATGGAATCCTTGAAGAAATAATGCTTTAAATTGAGGAAGATTATAGAAAGACAAAGAAAATGAAAAATGTTTGTTCAAAAAAAAAAGACAGAGAAAATTAAATTTGCAGTCTGATCCGCAAATCCGAAGAAAGTAACCAGCTATCCACGAGTTTGACCCATTTGACCCTCTAACATAATGGGTCAAGTTTTACAAAGCATGATCATGGAAAAATAATTTTTGTGTTTTCCAAACTTAATTATTATTTTTCAAGTCTGTTTTAAAATATAAATGAACCTTTTGTTATAACAAAATATTTAGTTAAAATTAGATCATACTTTACTACTTAATTTAAAGTTTTGTAATTCAAAACATTGATCTTGAGTTTCATATACTACAAAAAATTAAAATATTTAAAATAGATTTAAATATTATATTTAAATAATTATATTTTTAAAATTGTTCATGCCGGCACATGTGTGCATGACTAGTATGTTGTAAATTCATACGATCACACGAGAATAATAGAACATCTTCTTCTCTCACTCTCATTTACACCTCGTTCTCATATTTCAAATCGCTTATAATATATATATACACATCAAACACATATCACATCTTATATAATAAATAATTTATAACAAAGAACAAGACGGCATTAGGAAAGGTCTTATTAAAATCATAAACCGGAAATATTTAGCCGACAGAGTCCCAGAGCAGGTCGAGGATTAGGGTTTTTGCGTTCTCTCACGGTGATTGTTGATTTAAAGCCAAAATTCCATCGCCAAAAAAACTACACAATGACTTCCAAAACTATGGAGCAACCACCGTCTTTGATCACGTTACTTTCCGAAGAAGTTATAGTCGACATCTTAGCGCGTGTACCCATATGCGACTATCCAACACTCTCTCTCGTTTCAAAGCACCTCCGATCACTCGTTGCATCCCCTGAGATATACGCGAGACGATCCTTGTTAGGTTGCACCGAACACTGTCTCTATGTTTCCCGCTTTACTACTGAAACCTGGGATCGCCGTTTGCATATTCTCCGCGGAAAGCCAATGGCAATAGCTGCTTGGTCCTCGTCCCTTCGCTCCCTGCTATGCCTGATTATAGAAGCTTTGTCACGGTGGGTTCGAGGATATATGTGTTTTGTGGGATTAACCGAACAAGTGCCCTAACCATCGATTGTGGATCTCACACGGTGCAACCTCTCCCCAGCATGCCTGTGCCCATGTATCATGCAACCGCTGACATCATCGAGGGGAGAATCTACGTAGTTGGAAAGCACTATTGTGATGATTTTGTATGGAAGAAGGTGATGGTGGTGTTCAATACAGAAACACAAAAATGGGAGGAGCCTAGGGTTATAAAGGCAGGCATTGCCGCGTGGCGTGGTTGTGTGGTGGTGGTTGGTATGCTGTACTTGAAGGATAATCATAACGACAGCTTTGTTTACGAGCCAAAGGAAAATAAATGGGAAAGAGACGAGATGCTGAATTTACACGATTGGGAGAATGCGTGTGTCGTCGATGACGTACTCTACTACTTCGATTATGGTGTGAAGAGAATAAGAGCGTATGATCCAAAGCAGAGGTGCTGGGGAGTGGTGAATGGTTTGGAAGATCTGTTGGCTAAGCAGAAAGGATATTTATGCATTGACACTGTGGGTTACTGTGGGAGACTGGTTTTGTTTTTCCATAAAGGAAAAAAAGAAGAAGTAAGACGTGAGATTTGGCGTGCGGATATTTCGCTGAAAATACGTCAAAGGAAAAAAAGAAGAAGTAAGACGTGAGATTTGACGTGCGGATATTTCGCTGAAAATACGTCAAGGAGGAGAGATTTGGGGTCAACTTGAGTCGTGTGATCATGTTTTGACTGGTGAATTTTACTTTAAGGGAACCCTAGCTGTTGTTACGTTTTGATGCAGGAACTTTTCAAAAACTAGCTGTATTGTCCAGTCAAAAATAGTTTCAGTATCGCCATTAATTAGCAGAGATACTTTTTCTTGACCCTAAAATTTTCATTTTGCAACTTACTAATAATAAAGATGTTTGTGTTAAGAACTACAAAATACCTCAGTTTTGGAATGTATAAGACTGAGTTAGGTTCAACCTTTAAAAAAAAAAAAAACCATCACTGAAATGGACATAGCCTGTAATAACCAGTCCACACACTATCATGCTCTAATGCTAAAACAATCAAAAACCAAACATATCGTTCTTTTCTCTTGACGAAAACAAAATGAAACTGTACTCATAAGTTTTACATTATCTTTTCACTTTCCCATACTCTTTTAGAACATCACAAGGTTTGAAGAACACTGCACAACGAAAACCTCGAGCAACAACCGAGCCAGAAAGTAGAACACAACGCCTAACATGATCGATACAGGAAGAGCCGGTAAAGCCTTCTGATACACAGACAAGAGCATCAACGTGACACCTAAACCGGCTATGATCGCCAAGTAGCAAGCGTAAACCGTCATCAGATCATACATCGCAGCTCTCCCGACCAAAACACTGTAGAATATGAAATCCCCAAGCCCTAACTTTATAGCACCTGATGATCCCAACCCAATCCCTTCAAGAAATGTCTCTGAACTCTCACCTTGATCCGGTCTACGCTCAATCAACGGCACAGATATCTCCGATCTTTCCCTCGAACCCAAATCTTCTCCTTCTGCTTCTGCTTCTGCTCTAACCACTCTTACTTCAGTGTTCTCAATGTCACTGGATCTCCTCTCTCTCCAAACTCTCCTCTGAACCAAACGAGAATCGTTTCGGATCACGGGTCTTGCTTCGTAGACCAAAGCTGGGATGTCTTCGTCTCTCGATATAGCCATTTCGACAAGGAGACGTAACGGACCAACGGGTAACAGAACAGCAGCAATGTCGTAGATTGCTAAAGCTACGAGGAGGGTCCAAGTTGTCCACTCAGGCAACAGCGTGAAGAAGTAAGCGACTAAGACGCCGATCACTACCAAGTAGCCCTGAGTGACCAGAATCGAGAATCTCGACATGAACACGGCGAATACACCGACGACGGAGAAATTGAAGAGAAGGATCAGAAAAGTGATGGAATCGATCGGGAATCTGAAGCGATCGATAAGCAAGACTAAGATTTCTCCACCTAGGTTCCCTAAAACGATGAAAGCTGAGAAACCCATGTAGAATTTAAGGAAATTAACGCATCTGAGGTAAAAGAGGAGCACGAGGACGAACGTCGCGACGGTGATTGCGGCGACGAAGACGAGTGAGTTCAAGAAGGCGCCTACGAATTTGTCCCAGGAGGAATCGGAATCGCTCTCGGCGTAAGCTGCGGTGGCTATGGAGGAGAAAGAGGCGGAGGAGGAAGACGGGTCGGAGTTTAGGACACAGACGAGAAGAACGACGGTGAACATACATATCGAGACAGGCGTGAGGATTCCGATGAGTTCTTCGCCTAATGACTCCAGAATGCTTCTGGGTCTTTGGTTTCGATCCATTTCTGGGGAGATTTCAGTTCTCGCCGGTCAAATTCGATGACGAGAAGCTGAAGCAAAGGAACCTTTTTTCAGATTCCGATTGTATTTTTTCTGAGCTTATTAAAGTCACTCCTCAATACGATATCGTTTGGATGCAGATTAAGTAACTGAAACGACCAAGACAGATTATACAACTGGTTCAATTTATTCGATAATAAATCGGTGTCTCTTGTATTTTGAATTGATGTTGTAACAAACAATAATCAACTTATTGCAATAAACAGAAACATTAAAGTTTACGTTTGGTAAATCCTAAAACTAAAAGTTTAGCTTTGCTCCAAAGATCTTACTGTCTTTGGAGGCTTTTTAGAAAAGATGAAGAGACATTTTGAGTTTGTTCTGTTTCCATTTTGGAAGTGCGTAGAACTCAGGTTTTGCCATTTTAAATCTTTCTACGAACTCTTTCTCTGTTAAGTACGCCTGAAAGACAAAATTGAAAATTGCATTTAAGTTCATATGTTATATACATAAAAAGATCTACATAACTATATGGAATTGTAGGATTACCTCTCTTCTTGTGGCATCTATATCTTTCAGTGGCTCTTGAGAGTCAACTCTAAGCTGTTCGTATGAATATGCAAGTGACTCTTGACCAAGATCGAGATTGATTCCTTTCTCTTTAGATCTGCTTGAATTGGAGTTTCCTGCATTGTAAATCAGTGTTTTGATATGAGACTTCGAGCATCAAAGAGACTAATTGCAACTATAACATTTTTTGAGGAATCCAATAGTAAAAAAAATTGATATATTCGTTGTTGTTACCGTTACTAGTTCCTACTGAAAGAGACTCTGAGAAAAGCTTTTTGACAACTGGAGTGGAGTTGCTGATGCTTTTTCTGTCCTCTGCAGATCTCAAAGTTGAAACAGTTTCGCTGGAGCAAGGTGATACTCCTCGCTCTGATCCGTTTGAGCTCACAGATCGACTTCGTGAATCACGTGATGCGTTCTCCTTCGACTGTGATCTCCATGGGCTTCCACTATGTCTCTGAAAGCACAAACGTTGTAGAAACGTAGAACACACATTGTTCATTTCTTATATTTGGCCAGTTTGCAATGAAAGCTATTAAAAACATGGGACTTTTGTATGAGTTTTGCATCTGATGCAAAGCCAAGTAATTAAGTTTTTAAATTAACTGTGACTTGCCTTAGTGCTTGGCTTGTTTCCTTTCAGACTAGCAAGCTTCCTTTCAAATGAATTACCATGCATCTGCAATGTTCCCATGCATTTTCTTAAGTGAAAAGTATACAAATACGCAAAAATCGAAAGGTAATCTGTTTGAGGTGACTTCGATATGGAAAGAGATGCCTTACGTTTGCCTTTTCAGGAACCCACTCAAAGAAACGGGTGAAAAATGGTGGCTCGTGGCCTTCTGTGACAACATATACAGGAGTCAACACGGTTAAACCTTCCTCCAGAATGTCCATCTCTAGGAATTTCTGCAATCTCACAAGTAGAACGGACTAAGAATCATTGAATAGAGAAGACGCATTCGTATAACATCGAGTTTTCTATATTCTTAAATCTTATATATGTTGTTGATTAGTACATGGAAGGCCAAATAAAGAGGAAAACTTACCAGACCAAGAGTAAGAGCTTGTTGCTTCGACTTTATGTCGGAGTTTAATCCAATCCAAACATACACTTCAGTTTGGCAATCCAGCAGTAACACATCTTCAGTAGTTAAATCGTCTTGCACAAAATTGTATACCTCTTTCACCTGAAAACCATGCAGAGGATGGGTATCAGATAAGACTATTCCCAACGGATATGTAATCACTTCAAAAATAGCATTAATAACACACATGATTCGTACCTTGAGTACATCTGAACAGTAGAGCCAAACCAGTCAAGGACCATTCTTAGGTTAGGAATAATACAAGTGTTGTATAGCTGAACAGTAACTAAACAATCAGATGAAATAAAGCAAATGTAAAGAGATGTTTTACCATTACCTGAGTTATAGGAACATGTAAATAAATGTGGTTCTTCTATTTGTTTTCTCATTTCTTTTTCTTTTGGGTACTCGGACTTCCCACCAAGCAAATCCCAAAATGTGTCTGGTTCATTTCCTTCCCTCATGGATATTGGTTGCCAAGACGTCTGCGAATGGAAACGAAGAAGTAAACTCAAGAATCCAGAACCAATGTATGGCATGGACTTAGTAAGTAGAAGCTGAGAGCTATAAAGTTACTTACATCAAGGAAGTAAAGCATTCTGTCAAGAACATCATGATCAGAGTCTGTGGAAAGATTCCCAATCCAAGTGAATACAGAAGCTCCATTTTGTAAAATGTAACAGTAGGATGAGTTCAAGGAGTTTGCTGCCTGGAGAGGAAGATCTTTGTTTGCTAAGTAATATAAGTCAAGGACCAAAGACATACTACCAAACTGTATTTTTTTGAGAAATAAGAATTGCAGAAAGTACGAAAGAACCCACTAGATTAACTTGAATTGCTTGCATGTTCCCTGGGCTTGTCCATTGAACACGGAAAAGAGAAGCCTTGCTCTCGTTAGATATTTCAGCTTTGTTTCCATTCTCTACTAGAAACGTTTTGTACCGTCTACTCAAACCACCCTGGATAAAGTAATTCTCTATAAATTAAGTATAAAAATTTGAGTCCACAAGTAGTAGTAAGTAGTACAGTAACATATCAATCAATCTAAGCTCTACATGTTTAATAAAGTATTGCAAACTGACCTTAAAGACTACCAGCGACTGGAACACTGAAAAAAAACGAGCAGGTTCGTTTCCCTGATATATATGACACTGAATGAAACAGTTCAGTTAGTTTAAATGTTGAACCGAAAAGAGAAAGCTTGTGAATTTATTTTTGCAATCTGGTTAGGAACTAACCATTACAGATTCACCCTTGGTTGAAGCAGCAATGGCACCAGCATTGGATATGGCATCAGTTCTATCTTGCTGCAAGGAAATGGAAAAACAAAATGAATCTTATAGGTAAAAAAGAATTACAAGGAACAACAGGTAAGGAAAGACTACAGCCTGCGTACCTCCATGCTTTCACAACCTATCCATACATATAATAGATACTCATTTCTTTCGTTGTAAGTATATTTATACTTCACAATATAGCAATCCCCGTCGAATAGCTTTGTCTGGTCAGGAATAGAGAGAAGCGAGACCTCATCACCATCTACACGCCAAACCTGAAATTAGTTTTTTAAAAACTCCCATTGATCAGGCTTATGCTTAGAGATGTTGACAGTTTGGTCACTTGTATTAGATATGAACTATATACCTTCAGAGAGTCTCGGCAGTTTGTATAAAGAGGTTCATCTTCTTCATCAGGAAGCTCCTCAACATCATATCCCTTCCGTTTGAACATCGCTGCATACAATTGTTTAGGGTTTTAGTTAGTATCTCACATTTTTAGTTTTCTGATACAAGCATTTGTTTCCTCTTTACAGACCTGCCATTTTTTCTCGACCTTCACTGTAAAGGCTGGACTCCATAATCTGAGGCCATTTATCAAAGAATGACCTGAATCTAGCGTTTTCTAATCCTTCTGTTAGAAGTACTAGGCTTGTGCTAGTGAAGCGTCCCTCCTTTCGTAGAAAATCCTAAAGCACAGCAACATGCAAGATCATTTAATACAAACGCCTAAGTCATGTGATCATGCTAGAAACTTCTACATTTGGTTTCCTCATATTATGCTGAAGTTGATTTTGAAAACAAATCGGTTCCAGAAAGTGAAATGTGCTCACATATCAATCATCTTATATTACCAATAATCACTTACTTCTGAGGAAGAAATGGATGTCTTCCTTTCTGTGAGTGATGTGTTTCTTCCCAACCAAACAAACACTTCGCTGTCGGAATCCAGCATGTAGCATTTGTTCTTTTCAAGCATATCTTTGTTCAAAGAAGTTGTTCCAGTTGGGTGTATATTTCCCCGAGTATCTATCCTGTTTGATGAAAGATCTTTAGATGATTAATGTTTGTCTTTCTTTGACAAACAGCTCCTCAAAGCACAGGGGGGTATTAGTGTATAAAACTAAATCTCACCAGAACAATTTTGCACATGTAGCTAGAGCCTGTTCTTGAGCAGTAGAAGATGAAAACTTGGGGATAGGAGCATAACCACCAAAGAAAGACCAGAATTCACCAGCATCTGAGTCACCTGAGAACTTTCCATCCTCTACAAGAAACAGAAATGATTAAACTGTTTCTCTTCCATCGATCTTTTAGTTTAAGAAAGAAGTTGAAAAGGAGAAAAAAAATCTAACCGATAGTCGCCACCTGACATCTTCCAGCATGCTTGTTATCCTTAATATACTCCACAACCTCAAGGGCTTTAGCTTTTTCCTGAGGGCTTGAGTTGCAGCCAGCAAAGAGAAAAACTTTTGATGCAGTATCGAGAACAAACACATCATCATGGTTCAGTGATGACCGAAGAAAAGGCACCTTATGTAGATGAAAAAATGTACATTAATCTAACCATGATCTATATATTGAAGCACTAGATTTGAAGAATCACGTCTTACCTCTTTAACACGAACAACATGATCTCCTTTGCACATTAGCAAAGTGACATGGTATGTCTCGCCAGCGAATCCAGTTTGTGGCGAGTACTTTCCTTCAACAGGTATGATACAAGGCTTAAAGTAGGAGAGAAACTTCTCCGTCTCTTGACCTTGAACTTCACGGTATTGCACCGTACAACATCCAAGTGCTGCATCTAACTCTAGTGCCTTGTCAGATGCTAAAGTTGAGTCCGCCTTCGGATTAAAAAGAAAAAAAAAAAAGGTAAACACAATCTTAATACGCATATATACAATGTACACAGTTAAAACAGTTCTTAGTTTTAGTTGCCATATACACAACCTCAATTGCATCATTCCCCAGCCAATAGTGAATGTCATACTGCGGAGATCCGATCTTCCGCAAAGCCGTCTACACACCACAGCAAAGAAAATCATGAGAACGAAACTATTTCACAACAAGAGAGTTAAAGTCAAGAGATGAACAACTTACGCTGAGAACAAGGTATGCATTTTCAGAGTGGAATTTTCCAAAAGAAGACTTGGGGATTGAAATAAGCTGATTATTGTAGATGCACCAAATCTCCAGGCCACTAGACAAAAAAAACAAAATGGTATAATCATAAGAGGAGAGAGAAGTGTCTCATGGATTTCATAAACGAGTAAAAGCAAGCATACCCTTTAGCTCCAACACCTTGAAATGCTGAATCAACGTCTTTGCTTAGTCTTGACATTTTTTAATTCTCATCGTCCTACGAAAATCCTAAACACAGTAACGCTAAATGAATCTGCAATTTCATAAACCAAAGAGGAGAGGAAACATCAATCATCAACAGAACAATAATGTTCTCATTTTAATTTCTACCGAGAAACAAGTATCCCAACCACAATTCAAAAGAAAAATCTCAAATATGACGAAGATCCGAAATGTATTTAAAAATTCGAGAGTTCAAATCATAAAAACTGGAGGGAGAAAACCAAAAATGAACATCAGAAACAAAAATAAACGCCTAAATCTCCAAACAATCGGAAAAAAAAAAAGAGGAATTTGAATCGAAACGTAAAAATGAACAATTACTCACACGCATCAGTTGAGAAATCGGAGATGAATGCTGAATACTTACAGAGATCAGGCAGACGAAGAAGAAGAAGAAGAAGAAGAAGAAGAAAGCAGCGATATCGAGGTGAAACGCAAAAGAAAAGGCTGACGAGTGAGGAGAGGAGTTTCAAAAGCAAAACAGGAAGCGGCCAAACGGATGAAGAAATAATTATATGCCTTTTTGAGAGCTGCAACAACACTGAGCCACCACGTGGGGCCCACCCAAAGGCTCAATTCAAAGAAGAAATTAAAAACGCGCCTTTTCCGTTGTTGGATTTTATATTTTTTTCTTAGCTTAATTAAAATTGAAGATATTATATATCTTAATTGGCTAATATATAAATCTGTTTATATTAATGTGCTGCCAAAAAAATAAAAAAAATTTACAAAGTAAAGTTTGCATTGAAAAAGAAGAGGAATTCATGATATAATTAGTGCTGGAAATGAATGATACTGGATGAAAATATGTATAAATTGATGCTATTCATTAAAATACAAATTATTAATTTGTAAGAATATTTATTAATAATTAAAACATTGCGAAAAGTTAGATTAATAGTATAAAACTTTGAATATTTTCAAAAATATTTGAAGGCATTATATCTCTACTATCTAGTTCTCTAGTCAAAGCCATAAAACATGTTTCCATTTTAAAATGTCTTTGATAACTAAAAACCTCATAATCATAAAATTAATGAAACAACCAATAAACAATCCTCAGAATCCAAGATGTTAAAAACCTCATAATCATAAAATTAATGAAACAACCAATAAACAATCCTCAGAATCCAAGATGGAAAGAACATACCAGGAGGACACATGGCTAACGAACATTGGCTGATGATGGTTCTTAAGATTCCCAGGTGCTGTAATATCCTGGGATTTAACCAACTATCAAAGACTGAAGATGATCAGAAAAAAAAAAATGACAATTCTCCACATAGTTCTGGTAGTTAACGGTACAGAGAGGAAGTAGAATGATGATCTTGATATGATTGTAATACACAAGGTGACACAAATACAAACAAATATTCATCTTTAAAAAATGTGAAAATTTTCACCAGAAATCGTTACAAGAACACTGCCCATTTCTGAAATGGTGAAACCGATACCGATCTCTCACTATGATCTCTCTATCGTAGAGCTGAGATATAAGCTTAGCAACTGAATGACAATCTCCACACACCCTTAGATTCTTAATAACCCGAATCGTCTTCGGAGCCTCTGTTGATATCAGTCCATAGCAAATCGCAAGCTTCTCGCTGTGCAGACTCAGAGACTGCTCCTTAATCTCTTCCTCGTCGATGATCTGCAGAACCTGAGACATCTCTGGCTCATAGCCAATCGATTTCAGTCTCTCCATAACCTCGTCTAGCTTCCCGTACACCTTCTCACACATCGGGTGCTCGTTGTCTCCAGAGAGAAACTCGTGGATCATTCCATCGATTTCGATCGAGCTGCATCCTGGTTCTTTCTTCATCCCCGTGACTCTCATGTGTTTCCTCAGCTCCGAAACGCTTTCCCATTTCCCGGATTTAGCGTATATGTTCGATAGGAGCACGTGCGCGCCGTCGTTCCTAGGCTCAAGCTCAAGCAAACGTGTACAAGCCGTTTCAGCAAGACTCAGGTTTCCATGGATCTTGCAAGCTCCAAGAAGCGCTCCCCATACAGAAGCGCTCGGAGGAATCGGCATCGACTCTATGAACTCCACAGCTTTTTCAAGATAACCTGAGCGGCCAAGAACATCAACAATGCAAGCGTAATGCTTTTCCTCAGGGACAATACCATAAGTAGACTCCATTTTCTTGAACAAGGACTCAGCCTCATCCACTAAACCACTATGGCTACAAGCACAGAACACATTGGTGAAAGTCACACCATTTGGCTTTACGTAAGCTTCTTGCATTTTAAAGAACATATCCAAAGCTTCACTTCCACATCCGTGCATCGCCAAGCCACCAATCATGGCACTCCACACAAACACATCTCTCTTCTCAACAGAGTTAAACACTTCACGAGCCTTTTCAAGATCTCCGCATTTCGAATACATATGAATCAGCGCGCTCGTAACATGAAAATTCAACCTAATCCCATGCTTTTTGATGTAGCTATGGATCCATCTACCCAATTCCAATGCTCCTACCTGAGCACAAGCCGATAAAGTACTTACAAGTGTGATCTGGTTGAGCTTTATGTTCTTCTGAAGCTGCAGCTCATGGAACACTAACAATGCCTCGTTAGGTTTACCGTTCTGCTCATAAGCAGATATAAGAGCATTCCAAGCAACAATGTCTTTCTTAGGTATAGAGTTAAGAACATCTCTAGCTGCTTCGTAGTCTTCCAAAATCGCGTACCCATCAAGCATTGTTGTCCATGTGACGTTATCTTTCTTCTCCATTGAACCGAACAGCCTCTTCGCGTCCTCTATGCTACCACACTTTGTGTACATATCAAGCATCGCATTAGCCAACGTCAAGCTCATGTTCACCCTGTTCTCTTCTATATAAGAACAAACCCGCTTCCCAAACTCAAGATTCCGCAACTTCGCACAAGCAGACAAGACACCAACCATTGTCACATGACTTGCCTTAACATCATCCTCTGACTCCATCTTCTTAAACAGCTCCAAAGCCTTATCCGGAGAACCTTTCTGCACAAACCCAGTAATCATCGAATTCCAAGATACAACGTCTTTTTCTTGTATCGTAGTGAACACTTTACAAGCCGAATCCAAATCCCCGCAAGAGAAGTAGCAATGTATCAACGAATTCGCGACGAAGACGTCGCAATTAACCGCTGACTTAACCGCCATCCCGTGAAGGGATCGACCCAGAGACAGAGACGAGACCTCTGAAGCCGCCTTGATGAGGAAAGGGAAAGTGTACTTGTTCGGGTGATACTGACTCTCCGAGACCATATCGAAGAAAACCCAGATGCTCTTAACAGGGTCCGGTCCTGAAGCGTAAGCGCGGATGAGTGTGTTCCAAGTGAAGGAGTTTGGTTTAGGAATTTGATCGAACACCTTGCAGGCGTAGTCGAGACTCGCGAAGTCGGATAACGCAGCCATGGCGAATAGCTTGCTAACGGAGAAAGGGTCGTTGATGAGACCGATACGGATCATTTGGGCATGGATTTGCTTCAGCTGTCGAAGATTTGAACATCGGTCGATCAGAGAGATAGTGTGGCGGGAGCGTTCGTTATTGGTGGTTGGTTGATTCGGATTGGAGAAGGTTGGGTGACGTGGCAGCGAGAGAGGTTGTGCTGTGGAGAAGATACCCATGAGTTTTTTTTTGTCACTCTCTGTCCTAACAATTTTTGAACATTATAAAGCAGAATCCTTTGAACAAAACACAACAGCTTACACAAAGGGTTGGGTTTTAAACTTGTCAATAGATAATTATGTTCGAGTTTAAATATTTTGTTAAAATATGGTAGTATAAAAGTTATTATACTATAGTTTATATCCAAATGAATTTAACAACGTGTGTATAAACACTATATAATGTGCTGTATTGTCATAACTAGTATTTCTCAATTAATGTAACAACTTATGTGTCTTAATCTTCCAGGTTATATAAACCCTTCATTTTTCATATACACGAGCATTTTTTATTTCACTTTATTTCTAAACTTGATCAATTTCTTATTTATGTGGCTAATTGCAAAAGCCTATGGATGGGCTAAGAACTGTTTTAGGATGAAGAAAACATGGTATGGGGCCTATGGGCTATGGGCTGTTGTAACAGCTCGTAGTAGGAAAAAAAAAAAATCTAAACATTAAAACAAAAAAAATTACAATCACACGAAATAAAAACAATAAATTAAATGTGAAGAGAAAGTACCAGCACTACCAAGTTTCTCTCCATACATGTTGTGGAAAAACAGAAAAACCCATACCCAAAACTTAAAACTCAAATTGTGTGAAACATAAACCCACGCGCGTAAAGACATACTAACACTAATAGAAAAAAAATAACTTTTAGGCAAAACACAGAAATATATGTAAGAAATAATAATGACAATGGTTTGATATGTAGATTTATTATTTTGAAGTTTAAATATGTATGTAATGTAAGATCATGCGTTGCAAATTAGATTAAAACAAGTAGTCACTAACTATGATTTGCATGAGTTATATTTTAAAAAGTTACAACAAACACAACAAAGAAAACTTCAAAAATAAATTGTAATTAGCGTGGATAAATCACTTTAAACCTGGAAAAATAGGTATATAAATTAAGCAAAAACGTGAAAAGCAAAATTAAGAGCTACTACAGGCCTGGCCCACAGTGAGACCAAAGCAGCAGACTCATGAATACAGAACCAATGACCAAACAGAGTAACTCATTTATGGATACGCTTACATGGAAATTTGAATTTTTATAGCATTTATAAAGTCATTTGCCATTTGGTTAGGTTAACTAGCTAGTTTTTGCAGGTTGCTTGTAGCAATGTCATAGCCCAAAATCATGATGAATAGTACGCATCAGAGAATCAAGTCGCTGATTTATTTATGAGATTTTATTTTCTGGCAACCATCATGACGATTATTAATTAATACTACTATGTGGTACTAATTACCTGTCCAGTGTCCCATGCATGCTTTACTATAATTTCGCTATATAAATTCTGCTTAGGAATCTGAATGTCTGCGTGCGTCACTTTCTAAACTAAGAAAGGAAGTGAGAGAGGCACGAATAGAGAGAGAGAGAGAGTCCATTGAATAAAAAAATTAACAATAAATTTAATTTTTGTTTTGTCGTTTTGCTCTCTCTCTTGCATGCAAAAATAAATTGTTTTTATGCAATAGAGAGAGAAGAGAAAAATGTTAAATATTTTTATTATGTTTTAATCGTCCTCTCAAATAAATGGTCTGCAATGTTTACTCACACGTCTCCCTCTTTCTCCCCTATCTTCTCCAATAGAGAGAGAACCTGTTAACAATCGCTCGCCGGCGGTAACATTTTTCCGGCGATGAATCTTCTATTTCTCATTCCTTGCCGTATTATTTTTTAACTTCGCCGTTTGTTTGAAGATTTTCCGAAGAGAAAAGATGCTGGATCTTAATCTCGACGCTGCCTCACCCGAGTCGACTCAGTACGGTGACTCATACACATATCATCAGATATCAGGCGGCTCCGGGAATCGACTGGAGGAGTCATTGACGTCGACGTCGTCAGTAATAAATGGCGCCGATGCAGACGACGACTCTTGTTCGACTCGCGCCTTCACTCTCAGTTTCGATATATTAAAGGTCGGAAGCAGCGGCGGCGGAGGAGATGATAACACAACCTCCATCTCCGGCGTGACTAAGGAACTTTTCCCGGTGGCTAAAGACTGTAGGCACTTACGAGATGTGGAAGGATCGAGCTCTAGCAACTGGAATCTCTCTTTCGAAAGCTCGAGCCAGGGAGAAACGAAAGTGGTGGCTCCGGCTTCAGCTCCGGTGAAGAGGATTCGAAGAGGACCAAAACCAAGCTCGAAGTATATAGGAGTTACCTTCTATAGAAGAACTGGTCGATGGGAATCGCATATTTGGTACCAATTTCTGATTTTTTTTGCAAATTCATCGATTCAGCTTTTCTCATTTTATTCAATACAAACTCTCATTTTGTTTCTACTTTTGTTTTGCAGGGATTGTGGTAAACAAGTTTATTTAGGTAACTAACACAGATTATGTTTCAGTTTGATTATGTTCCATGACTCGGAAACTTTTTAACTTTCTTATTCTTCTTCATGTTAGGTAGTTTTGACACTGTTGATGCCGCAGCTAGGTAAATATATTTATAGATCATTCTTCAGCTTCGTTTTTAATTGTTTTGATTAGGATTTGTTGATGACTTAATGTAAGTTAATTTTTTTTTCATATTAATATATAGGGCCCATGATCGAGCTGCTATCAAATTCAGAGGTGCTCATGCTTCTACCAACTTCACACTTGACGATTACGAGGAAGATATGAAACAGGTTTGGATATGATTATGAATGTAGTTGGTTATATATATGTTTGTGTGGTCCTTCTTTAATGGAAAATGTTATTGAGTATTATTATCATTATCAATAGGTTGAACACTTGAGCAAGGAAGAGTTTGTGCACATACTCCGCCGTGGCAGATGGGAAGCTATCATAGGACAGTTTCTTGGTCAAAAATGAGATTTTTTTTTAGTCTTTGATCTGAAAATTTCTGGTTTAAAATTCGTGTTTAGTGTTTCTCTTTTATGAGATTCTAGGAATGGTGTATCTCAGTATCGAACCCAAAGAGCTTAGCTGATACAAAAAGAAAAATGAATAGGAATGGTGTATTAATCTGGGGCTGTTCTACAGCGAAAGTAGAAGCTGCAAGATCCTAATTGATCATGAATATTAACTTTGTTTGCCAGAAAACAAATTTGATACCTCATAGAACTTCATTAGTTTACATGTCCACGCGACTTATTAATACTTTACTTTTTCTCATGTTCCTGAACTTTTATTAACGAAAGTCGGCGTTTTAGTAGTTAGTTGAGTTAGTCTTATGTTTAACAGTGATTTTGACATTTTTAGTTGTTTTAATTAACAAAAATGTTGTTATAGCCTTCTTCTTTTTTGAGTAAAAGATATGTATAGCTTATTAGCTGAATCGTCCCATATTTGTTTTTTTAATATTTATTTTAATACACAATATTCTTTAAATTTTTTAAAATATATGATAAAATAAATTGCAACTACACTTTTTAATAAATTATATTATGAAAAAAAATCCGTGTATCGCACAGGTACTAATCTAGTATTATTAATAGAGTGATGTGGTTTTGAAATGCACCATTTGGGATGACTACATTATTTTACAAATTAACTCAGTACAATATATTATGAGAATTTTAGATAAGTTATCATTTAAATAATTTCCAAAGAATAAAACTATCTAAAATCTTTTATTAGATATTTCAGAATATATTGTGATCTCTGCAAAAATATATCTTTCTTTAATAAAATAAACAAAGAACATACTCCTCCAATGAATTTTTGCTATATACAATTTCTAAAACCAATTAAAATATTTTTTTACAAACTAATTTCTTTTAAAAATATATTGATTAAAAGGTCAATCACTTATTCATTATAAATGATAACTATTATTATCTAATAATGTTATTAACTATTTTTTCTCAAAATTCTGATGCCTACATATACATGCGGGCCAACCACCTAGTAATTAATTAAGTATTTAACACCTATGAACAACATCGTAGAGATGGCCGCAGCTCATGAACAAGATTGCAAAGCAAATGCTGAGGACCTTGAAATGCTTCAAATTAGCCTTGGGCATAAAAATTAGATCCGAAAATCCATCCAAATCGAACCGAATTTTAAGATACTGAACTGAACTGAAACCAATATAAGTATCCAAATGGAGCCTTCATCTCTATACTTGAGAAATCAGTACCAAATTTGAACCAAACCGAGAACCGAACGAGTACGAGAATCTCGTAGCTTGCATAAGTGTGAAGCAGTTTTTGCACATTTTAAGTTCTTATTGATGAGATTATGAGGTTTTGAATTGGTTCGAGAAAGTACATACCTTTGCTTTGTTGGAGGTTTCTGGTTTGTGGAATGTTGAATTTTCCCAAAATATTCGAAATACAATTTTATATATATATGTTAGTTATATTTAGATATAATATAACCATAATTCTCAAAATCACGATTATAAATCAAATATATAAGTTATATTTAGACTAAAATAACCAAAATATATATATCAAATTTTAGTATTTTTGGTAAAACTTAACTAAATATTTTTTATAAAAATTAAATAAATTTCAGGAAGTTCAGGTTTTGGAACCGACCCTAATTCGACATGAACAGAACCAAGCCTGACTCGAAAATTAAAAATACCCCAATGAAACTTATAGCCTAAAACCGCAGTAACCAATACTCGAATAAATCTGTTTGTTCTAAATCTAGATTGTATTAACATGACTTTAAGATTGATCATCTAGAAATCAGATCTTAGGTTGATTAATTAATGTGAATGTATTATTAATCGTCATAATTATTTTAGATGAGAAAAATATCTGTCTGCAAGGAAATATGCTTTAGGTATCTTGTGAACAATCATACTTAAACTTCAATGGTTGTCTGAGTTGTTTGAATTTACAAAGAAATTTAGAATTCTAGTAGTATTTAGACATAGATAATATCTGCAATAAAAGTTGATTGGTTTTATAATTGTGTTTTGAATTCTAGAACGGTTCATAATAAATATTCTGACAATTTTCATTCTGCAATTTTGATTTCAACTTAAAAATTTTCTAAGGCCTAGTAACTTGTTTCTTTGATTTTAAAACTCTCAAATCGAGTATCTGCTACTATTTTAGTTTATTTGCATAATATTAATTATTCATTTAGCTAAATTTGAATGTAAAATCTGTTGTGTAACCCATTATACTATAACTTTTTTGCTACACTTACAACAGTTTTATTTGAATATAACTTTATATCTATCAAATTATCGCTTCTTTAAATAACATTAAAGGAGGAATTTCTTTAGGAATATGGTTGTTCTCTAGATCCCAAAGAAAATGAGTTGGAATATGGTTCTTTGGCGGACGAAGATCCCTCTTCCTTCGAGAAAACCAAATTTTCGCGCTGGAAGTCATTCTATCATCACATCTAAAGTTGTAGAGTACTACATATATCATATCACCCCTTAAGCTTTACTGATGGGTCACCACAAAGGTCTAATTGAAAGGTAATATATCAAGGTAAGGTTTGAAAGTCGCATTCGTTGTCTTTGCCGATGAAAATATTCACAAGAGCCAAAAAGCTGTTTCTACCTTCAACAACAAAAGGTATGACGTCAAAGGATATAGTATCTGAAAATGTGTATGCATACCGAAATGGATTCAGCATAGGTCGTGTGACATCACTGACAATCAAGTTCTTAACTGAAAGTTAACGACAATCATATGCTATTTGGCTTTATCTCAACATCTGACAAGAAAATTCCTTAAATAACAATCACATCAACTAACGACAATCATATGCTATTTGGCTTTATCAAAACTTCTGGCAAGAAAATTCCTTAAATAACAATCACATCAACTAACGACAATCATATGCTATTTGGCTTTATCACAACTTCTGACAAGAAAATGGACTGCTTTTGCACATTAAAATTTTTTGAATTCAACATAAGAGGAAGTATTATTTTTCTTTAATGTGTCTTGAACGAAGAATATCTAACTTTTGGGGATCATGTATCTGGCTCCAAAAAAATCACCAATGCGTGAAGATAATGTATCATTTCTATTTTTTGATGTTGTTGTGATAATGTGCTCTTGTATCTATTTTTCTCGAATATAGATATTTATAATGAAAATTTCATTTTAAATACTTATATTTCGTATAATTTGTTAAATTATATCACAAAATATATTTTACAATTTCTTGTTAATTCAACCGTTTTATTGTATTATCACTCGGAATCATAATACAGTAAAACTTCTATAAATTAATTTATAGAATTATTAATTAATCGATAAATTGATCATTATTAATTTATCGATAAATTAATATTTTATTAATTTATAGAGAGATATTTCAGTTAAAATTCAAAATATATGTCAAAAAACAAAAAAAAATATTTTGAACAATGTAAAATTTACTCAGAAAATATCATATCAGTGAATTTGAAAAATAAGTCAAACAGTTTTTATAAACTTGAAACAATAATATAATTATATTTTACTATATTATATTATTTATATATGCTTATATATATAATTATTAATTTATCTGATTATTGGGACTATATTTTAACATAAGAGTTTTAAAAAAATTATTATCTTATTATCTTATCAAAATTTACTAATTTTTATACTGGTTCAATTTAAAATCGACAAAAATTATTAATTTATAATAATTATTAATTTATCGAGTATTAATTTATGGAGGTTCTAGTGTAGTTAGTTTATTTCTGGTTTTGGGTAAACTTTCTAATTTCTTTGTGATTTTTACTCTTTGGGCCCAATGTTAACATTAACGACATTATAAAATCACACGAAACGACACCGTTTTACAGTTTACAAACAGTCGATGAATCTTTTAACCGCTACAAACGAAGATCCGTCGTCTATCACAGCCTCCTTGGCCGCTTCCGCTATCTCCTTCAGTTTCCACCTCGAAACATCCTCACCGTCCATTAAAGATCGGAGGGCTCTAGCAATTTCATCAGCTTTCACGATTTCTCCATTGGCCGACACGTAATCCAAACGCATCTCCAACGCCAGACCGAGCTCCTTCACAATCGTAAACGCGTTTAGCTGCTGTTCCGCGTACATTGGCCACGTGATGATTGGAACGCCGAAACGCAAACCCTCCAGTATCGAGTTCCAACCGCAGTGAGATACGAATCCTCCGATTGCTTTATGGGCCAGAATTTCCACTTGAGGAGCCCAACCACACACGAGACCGATACCCGAGACCCGGTTCAAGAACCCGTCCGGTAAGATCCCGTTCGGGCTCGGGTATTCCTTCGGGTCTGTTCGAATCGACCAGAGGAATCTGCAGCCGACGATCTCTAAGGCTTGAGCGATCTCCTGAATCTGAGAAACGTCGAGTTTCTTCAAGCTCCCGAAGCAGAGGAACGCTACCGATGACTCCGGTTGCTCGTCGAGCCACGTCGTGATCCGATCTCTCTCCGATGAGTCCAAATCCGGACGATCGTTAGAGCAGAAAATCGGACCCACCGGGTAAACGGGTGGGTAATCATTCTCTGGAAGACGATCGAAGTAATCAAAGGCGTTAGGCTCGAGAGCTGTAAACGAATTGACCAAAATCCCTTTAGCTTCATGGAATCTTTCGGTCATTTCGACCCAACCTTCGTAGGATTCGCTCTTGAACAGACCCGGTGGCAATACCCTATTGGGAACGGAGCAGACGAATCCAGGAACTGGGTTTTTCTCCTCGCCGGAGCTCCGGTCAAATCCCGATTTGATTTTGCGGTGCCTCTCCGGGAGGTACTTCATCATACCCAAGAATCCGGCGCTGCAAGTGAGGAAAATGTAAGAAGGGAGGTGAAATTCGTTACAGACATCGATCAGAGGGACGCAGAAGAAATCGAGGACGATTCCGGCGACTTTAACTGAATCCGATCCGTCGCGAGAAGAAGACAAGACGGTGGCGACGGCGTCTCTGACCGAAGGAACCATTTTCTTGACGAATTCAACAATGTAAGCTTCGGAAGCTTTTATGAAGAGCTCCATTGGTGGAGGGTTTTGAAGCTCAGGCAAGGCAACGAGACGGATGCGAGACTCTGTTTTGACTAGAGATTGGAGGAAGGCGTCGTTGTTAGACCGAGGGAGGAAAGGCAAGCCCCAATGGAGGATGGTGATGGTGTGGATCCGACGAGGGTCGTCGTGACTGAGGAGAAGTTTCGCGAGCTCGATTGTCACGAGAAGGTGTCCGGTGATCGGAAATGGAATGAAGATGAGCTCTGTTTCTTGCTTCCCCATCTTTTCTCACTGCGATAATTTCTTAGAGAAACTCGAAAGTCAAGCTTATTATTAGTCTGCAAAATTGTATGATAAGCAGAAGAAGATGGTGGAGGATTTTTCTTTAGTTTAAAAAAAAAATAAGTGAGACACATGTAAACAATTACTCTGGCTAACATGTAAAAAAAAATAAGTGTGACTTTTTCAGCCATTCGATTGGGTTTAGATACAAAGATATGATAAGTTTTTGTCTACATGTGGATTTGCAAATCTCTCTCATATATTATTAGAATAAATCCAAAGCCTGATAAAATCTAGAGACTTTTTCTTTTTTTGCTGAATTAAAAGCTAGAGACTTCCAAACTTTTAAGCTAAGTTTTTGTGGGTTTGGTTTCAATCCAACTCTTATCAGAAAACACAAGAGCAACGTAGAGAAACAATACTTGCTCTTGTAAACCGTTTTCAATGTTTGAATTAAAGGCATGAAATGGAAAAACAGAATCCCCACGTTTTAGGGATTTTCTGTACGATATCATCAAAAGGGGTTTCTCTACTTTCTACAAAGGAGAGAGGTGTTATACTATAAGACAAGAGCATACCTAATTTCCTAAATTACAATGATACGAAGAGTTTATTTAGGAATCAAGAAACGGGATTGATATCCTTACACTAAATGTTCTTCTTTTGGAAATATGATAAATAGAATGATTTGGTTTAGTGTATATATATAACAGAAAGACAGAACAATACTTCGCATAGACATCTACAATATAGCTCTTTGAATTTTTCATTTTTAAGAAAATATGGCCAAAATGTCACCGTTGTTGACGCTCATCGTCATGCTCCTATCTTCCATCATGATGATCCACAACCTTCCAGTGGCAAGCTCCACACAATGGTGCGTAGCAGCTCCGACGTCGACGGAGAAGCAGCTAGAAGATAATCTCAATTTTGCGTGCAGTAATGGAGTTGATTGTAGACCAATCTTGGCACATGGAGCCTGTTTTAATCCCAACACTCCGTTAAGCCATGCTTCATATGTGATGAACGCTTATTACCAAACCCATGACCGTACCGACCAAGCATGCAAATTCTTTTTCCCAAACAGCGGCACTTTCACTACCACAAACCCTAGTTATGGTGCTTGTGTCTATGCATCTTCTTAGAAATTTTTTTATTTGGTTTTTTTTGTTTTTTAATAGTATTTGAGGAATACGTGGTAGAATGAATAATTCGTCCGTTCCAAAGCAAAATCATGATAATTTTGTTTAAATGTTTCGTGTGTTCTAATGAAAAATAAAAGTAATTGCATCGTTCAGTATCATTTTTAAGTTAGGCAAGAAAATGGTTCCTCTTGCAAACTACTTGCCCAGCTTGGTGTAACATCAATGATCGTTCAAGATACTCCAAATTTAACAGGCAAAGAAGATTCACGCATGAGATAAACTAATGAAAATGTTTAAAACATCAAAGAATGAAACAAGGTTCAAATGAAAGCAAATCATAACCAAAGTTATCATAGCTTGTGGATAAGAAAAGGCTAAGGTTTGGTTCCTATCACGTCCTGTATGAATTTCACAGTAGCCAAATACGAAGATCCACCATTCAACGCAGCTTTCCTCGCCATCTGAGAGACATCCATCAACCCCTTCCTCACCAAATCATTATCCTTGTTCATTACACAACGAATCGCTGTCTCCATCTCGTTTGCACTTACAACCTCATCGCTATGCATCCTGTAATCAAGCTTCATCTCCACTGCGAGCTTCAGTTCCTTCACCATCAGAAACGCATTGAGCTGTTGCTCTGCATACAACGGCCATGTCACAATCGGCACACCAAACCACAAACTCTCTACTATTGAGTTCCATCCGCAGTGAGAAACAAAACCTCCCACTGACTTATGAGCTAATATCTCCACCTGAGGAGACCAACCGCATATCATTCCTCGGTCACCGACACGGTCGAGGAATTCCTCTGGCAAAACATCATCGTTTGAGCTACCTTCTTCAGTGCGGAGTGACCAGAGGAATCTGTACTGGCAAATCTCAAGTCCATTTGCTATTTCCTTCACTAGAGGACCTCTTAACCTGCCCATACTCCCAAAGCAAATGAACACAACCGATGCGTCCGGCTGATCATCAAGCCATTTCATCAACTCGTCGCGACGGGCAAGGTCCTGATCTGGATGAGGATGAGCCTTCAAGTCAAACATCGGTCCAACAGCATAGACAGAAGGGTAACTCTGTTCTTTAAGAAAATGGTTCACAGAGTAAGGCTCAATGTCAAAGGAGCTATTCACTAGGATTCCATTGGCCTTGGTAAACAAGATGGCCAGTTTAACGAAAGCATCATAACCATCTTCGATAAACAGAGCTGATGGCAGAACTTTGACTGGAACAGGGTTTACAAAGCCAGGAATCGACAATACTTCTTCAGAGTTTCTGACAAAAACAGAGGAATCTTTGCTATGACGATCTGCTAGATACTGCATCATAGCTAGGAACCCGGAATTTGTAGTCAAGAACACATGAAAAGGAAGATTTACATGTATCGCAACGTCAATCATGGGGAGACAGAAAAAATCAGCAACTATACCCTTGACAGTGACTCCATCCGATGCAGGAGAAGATAAGATACCATTGACTATATTTCTCACAAGAGGGATGTTTTTCTCAACAAAATCGTACACAAAAGCTTCCACAGACTGAGCAACAAGTGTTGGTTTCTCTTCTAACTCAGGGACATCAATGAATCTAACAAAGGGCTGCGAGGAGGCAATCGACTTAACGTAAGTATCCAGATGAGACTGACCTTGTAGCTTCATCAGAACGATGGTGATACGGATCCTATCATCTTGGTCAATGAGACGCTTAGCAAACTCAAGAACCGGAACAAGATGACCAACGGTTGGTGTTGGGATGAAGATGAGCTCTGCATTTCTCATTTTGTTCTTTCCTCCTCAGGCTTCACTCTCTTGTATTGACAAGAAACAATCAATCTACATATCAAAGAAGAGAGATTAGTTAACTTCATCTTGACTTTGTCACATGTGATCATTACTGACGCGTTCCTCCTACCTAATTTAAGGTGGCCCTTGGCAGTTTCAAGAGAAAAGATAACTTAACAAAGTTTAAAATTTTGGCCGACATGTTAAGAGTGGGATCCACAACCAAAGAAAGCTACTTTCTTGCATCTCTCTCTGTTCTTCATTCAAAAACTAATCACACACTGATACAACAACATCTTCAAAACCAGCAAATCACATGTTGAAGGAGAGAAAAAGGACGCTCTGTTCTTGTTATGGGAACGTTAGATCTAAGCCCTCGTAGAGACCAAATCATCCTTGATAAACCCTACAGAGCCTTCTACTTTTTGAATCAACAAAAGTAAAATAGATCAAACTTTATACAAGCTGAAAGATAAAATTGATCTGAGGAGATTATAAAGAGGAACTCAGTGAATCGAATAATATAGAGATCAGAACAGAGAGACATTCGATTGAGAGGCATACATACATCACGTCAAGGTACAATAATCAAGCAGGGACACAAGAGTGCAAAACCTAAGACGAGAGTGAGACAAAATCAAAGAGAGAGAATTAAAAAAAAACTGAAACCATAGAGATTGAGCTAAAATCACCGCCTGTGATCATAATCGAGGACTTCAGAATCCGTCACAGACCTCGAGTGTTGCACGATCGACCTTCCAATTGAATTGATCCACTCTTCTTTCTCCTTCTCGTTATCAGCGATGAAGAACATGGTGTAGTTACCACTAGACAGCTCAAACGCGAACGGCTTGTTCACGACGTCCTCAGCTCCTTTGACGGTGAGACAATCACCGACGGAGATCACACCACGCGGCGTAGATCCACGGGTTCCGGCGGCGGCTTGATCCTTGAACCAGAGGAGCTTCCCTCGCTTGAGCACGAACCAGCGTCGCCGCCAGGTCTTTATGTAATCGCCTTGCTTCGTGAGCCACCCAGATCGCTCCGGGTCGGACCAGAACTCAACCCCTTCGTAATCCTCCCGGTTCGGATCCTGACCCGTCGCGATTCGCCATAGATTCTCCATATCCTCTCCTCTCTCTCCTAAAATCTCACACGGCTCCGTCTCTCAAGTTCTCTCAACTGCCTTATCGCGCGATTCCTTTTCCTTTATCGCGTTTTTTAATTTCTCTCTCTATTATTGATTCGGTATCGAACCAAATCCCATTAAAACGCAGCGTTTTGGTCGCTATTTTAACGAAGTCGGTCGTCCCCACGCTGGCTCTCTGCGTATATATCGGGCCCACGCAATAAGTGTTGGAAATTGACGTTTTGTTTATCTCTCTAAGTTTTCATGAAAATATATCTGTATGATCACATGAAATATTTGTAAAAATATTTGCTACAAAGCTGTAATATAGGTAAAAACAAAGAACCAATCTCACAAATCAAACAGTTAAAAGTAAAAAAAAAAAAAAAAAAAAACACAAGAATGCTTATGCTCAGACATTGTTGATGCCAAGTGTGATGGTAGTGTTAACCTCAGGTGTCTCAAGAAAAGAAGACTCAGCAAGATCAATGGCTCGTGCTAATGCCGCTGCTTTGTTCTCACACTCTTTCTGTTCATCGTCAGGGTTACTGTCTGCAACAACTCCAGCTCCAGCCTGAATATGAGCGATCCACTCTCGGCGTCTCTGAGGATGCTTGTAAGAGTACAACGTGTCGTAACGAGGATTTGTTGGGAAGACCATTGTTCTGAGAGCCAAGGCGATGTCCATGTCTCCGTTAAACGAGATGCCTCCAAAGCCACCACTGTAAGGACCACGTCTCGTTACTTCCAGTTCATCAATCAGCTCCATGGCTTTCACCTGTATCAAATGATTCTTGTTTTGAGTATGGTGCGAGTGTTTTGTAATGAGTTTTGTGGTTTTGTGAGAGAGAGAGAAACCTTTGGAGCTCCGCTCACGGTTCCAACGGGAAGTGCAGCTCTAAGAGCGTCCCAGCTTGTTAGGTTATCGAGTAATTCACCTTTTACCTGTAGAGAAGGAGATGTGTTATTGAGCTAAACAGAATTTTACATTTTTCAATTCAGAGCTTATGAGCATAACATCATGTGAAGCTACAGAACGAGGCTTTCATGATTCAGTTGTGAGCTAATACTTCAGAATCTAAAACGTTTGTTTGCTTTGCAACAGTAGCATACCGTGGAGCTTATGTGCATGACATGTGAATACCGTTCTATATTCATCAGCTTCTCAACCTTCACAGAACCGGGCTTTGAAACCTGAGTTCACATGAAAATCAAACAAGTTAAGATTACGGCTTAAAAACTGCATTTTTAGCTTCCACAAGAAGAGTGTAAGAGACTGCAAAATGAAACAAGAGTTGAGCAGTGTGGTAAAGTGATGAACCTTGCCAACATCGTTCCTTCCCAAATCAACAAGCATAATATGCTCTGCGCATTGTTTCTCATCGCTTAAGAGCTCTTTTTCCAGCATTAGATCTTCTTTTAGTGTCTTTCCTCGCCTGACAGTTCCAGCAAGTGGGCGATTGGTAATTTCCCTCTGTAGCGGAAGTAAAAACACACATCGAGCCATTCGTTTAAGGATCAAGGAAACCAAAGATTAGAGGAGGAAGTAGGTAACACTTGCCTTTTTGGAACGTAACAATATTTCTGGACTTGAAGCAACTAATATGCATCCTCTTGCCTGTAAATCAAACACACACACACAAAAAGGACAGAAATCCACAGATTAGTTATATTAATCTTCAAAAATTATGAAAGGAAACAAGGACCAAAAGGAGTAAGTGAACCTGCAAATAGGCCATGTAGGGGCTTGGATTTACGATCCTAAGAGCTCTATAAATCTCAAATGGATCCGCAAATGTGCGTCTTTCAAACCTCTGACTAAGAACTATCTGAAAGATGTCACCAGCCAAGATATGTTCTTTGGCTTCCAACACTGCCTCCTTGTATACCTCACTCGTCATAGTTGATTTCTCCAATTTAGGACCGAACTGCTCAGTGCGTAGTTTTATGAAACCAGTAGGCATCTTTGGGCTGCAATCAAAAGAAACACGTAATCTCAAAACATGATACAAAGCTATACAATCCAAAGATTAGTAGAATGATCTACTCACGGTTTTTGATCTTGAATTCTAGAGGTTAGAGACTCCAACCGATTCATTCCATCACTAAAATTATCCTCAACAGAACGATCTTTATCTATCCGCACCCAATGGATCACATAAGCTTTCTGTGTTCAACCAAGGATGAGGGTATCACAATCAAGACAAACTATTTCCAAATGTGTCCATAGAAAAGATGCAATGTACCTTCTCGACATGATCAAAGACGATCACATCATCGTAAAGTCCCAAATGAACATCAGGAAGACTCCTATCATCTGCTGGAGCATTTGAAAAGGGAAGCTTCTTCTTCTCAACATAACGCACAGTGTCGTAAGAGAAGTAACCTACCCAACCACCTGGTTAACAAAGGAGAGAACCCTTCATCAGCAATTTATCAAATCAACAAATCCAAGGAATCAGATTAGCTCTTTAAAAATAGATTTCTTTCTCTCTCACCGCAAAAAGCTTCAGGCAATTCATCAATACGTTGTGGTTCCCACTCCTCCATGATTTTTTGAGGAACCATCATCGGATCTTCAACTTCCTCTTCTGTCCTGAGACCAGCTCCATGGTCCATCACAGTGACCACATTCCCCTTTGCAACGATCTCTATTGTTGGTTGAGCTCCAACTACACTATACCTCCCCTAAAATAATTCTCCAATATATTTTAAAAATTCAATTCAATGGAGCCCAGAAGAAAAACTCAAACATGGAAGAGGCTTACGATATTGGAAGCTTGAAGACCAGGCTCCACTGACTCGAACAAGAAGCTAGGAGCATCTCTATCGTCTTCTTTCACTAAGCATCGGTAAGCAAGTATCGGAGTCAAATGATCCGAGAATACGCATCGGTATAGAGGAACTAAGTTTCCCTTCCCCGCTGCTTCCTTGAATTTCGTCAGCTGGTCCGCTGGTAAATCTGCCGGAGAAAGAAGTTAACTTCGATGGGAAAGGAATTGCTAATGGGGGGGAAGAGTTTTAGTATATACCTAAAGATGGAGTAGATGAAGAAGAGCATTCGATAGGACGAAGACGCGAGACTGGGAGGAGATTTGATCGGGAGATAGATGATCCACCGTCAAAGTGAAGAGAAGTAGTCGTCGGGGAAGCGACCGACGACGACGGGAACCGGAGCGAAGGAAATGGTGGCGGCGGCGGCTGATGGCGCGTAACGGCTACGGCCTTGACGGCGGAAAAATCAGATTTGACGGAGAAGATTGAAACGGAAGACATCTCAGTGATCGCGTTTATTTTTAACTCTTTCAGTCTTTCGCTTAACAGTTTGAAGAGAAGTGACTGAAGTCTGGAGAAGAAGACATTCAGAGCGTCTCTGATTCCGAATCAGACGGAATTAATATATTCTTGATTTGTTTCTACTGTTTTATTTATTTTCAATTAATTATACCCTAAGCTTTCTAAAAGATTTTAGGAGGTTTATTGGATTGAATGATGATCTGAAAATCAACTGGTAAAAGAAATTCTGGGGTTTCTGTTTCAAAATGATGTATTATCACATGTAGAATACATATATTGAAGAGTACACATAAATTACAGAAGAAAACAATGTATGTGTGTGAGTACTGAGTTTTTACATTTGTATTTCTGTAAAAATAATGAAGAAAACCATTGCTGTAACTCAAATAACTTTATCACAGAAGACAGTTGCGGAAGAATCGAATTTCCTGTTTGTGAAATAAAAAGGAAAAGGTATTACAATCAAGAAACTGCGTTTTGGGGGAAAAATAAAAGGTTTGTAATTAGTTTAGGAGTAAACAACGAGTGTATATACCTTAAGAGCAAATGTGATGTCTGCTTCTTCTACTCTCAGGCTCACTCTCTTTAGCTTATCGTCCCGAGCATGACTGAGTTTTAAAATCCCCTGTGCCAATCCAAAATTGACTTTTCTATCAAATGCTTCTTTTAAGATTTTCATTATATAAAGCAAACACAACATGAGAGTTTATCTAATCTCCGAGATTAATCTTTCTAGGAGTTAGTACCTGGTCGTTTAGCACTGTACACATGTTAGTGAACTCTGTAATTCCAGCTGGAGTTATCGCCGATGATTTACAGATTTCTAGGTATAACTTATTTAACTGCATCAAGTTATGAAAACAGAGATGTAAATATTATGTACAATGTCTTTAGTTATAAACTTCATGAAGCTGTGTTTGTGTATTGTTCATTCAATGAAGATTTACCTCTGCAATGGTTCTGTCCTTTTTGCTTCCTCTAAAGGCCTTTGCAGCAGAACAGACTATGATCTGCAAGTTTTCAACAGAAGCATGTGATTACAGTCCACTACCTAACTTTATAAAAATATCTGGGATCACACTGGAAAACAAAACTAAGAAAGATTCAGGATCTATGTATATTGTAAACCTATACGAGTGATTAGTTAAGGACGAGAAGTACCAGATATCAGTGTAATTTACGTAAGTCAGTATGTTGATGTAACTTACTTGCTGGTGTTGAGGAAGAGACTTAATGGTGTCAACTACTGGAGATTTGAAAGTCTTGGACAATGCAGCTAGCATATGATCCATTTTGACCTGTAGAGTTGTCGATGGTAACAACTAAGGAATAAGACCACCGTTTATATGAATCCTTGATATTTGAATCGTCAGAAGTGAACTAAGTAAAGTAGAGAGTAAAAATACTAACCACTTGATCCTCTGTATCTGGACTTTGTGGTTCTTGATCTGTTGATCCTTTAACTTCTGTTTCTAAGATTTCTAAGGCACTCCTGAAAATCGAATCAATATGAAAAAAAAAACTGGGATTGTCAAATTCAGTGTGATGATTTCAAGAGTAGACAATTACAATATACAGTATAAAGGATAGTACTATCTCATTCATCTTATGCAACTTCAGAGACAAAAACTTTCAAAAGAGTATTTACCTGCAGACACATAGAGCCTTTCTCATGTCTCCTGATGCAGCTGATACTTTCTGGCACAGCGAAAAAAAGTTGAACATCAATATAGTGTCAAAAGGAAAAAGGAAGGTTGACTAGACAGGGAGAGAAAAATGGCATATATATACTTACTCTGGCACAAAGCTCCAAGGCTTTTGACTGAAATGCATCATATGGAAGTGCCTGTTATAACAGAGATGATAAATAAGAATTTAAGATCATCGTCGAACCTAGTATGAGTTTAGATCACGTATATCATCCTACAGTTCTAAGGTTCTTACTTAAATTGGTTAAAATATGTTATTTACATGGTTCTGAATCTGCTATTCATTTTTTTCCTGATAGTTTCTTGAATACCAACTACTTTGAAACAGAAACATTTTTTGGGGTATTGGCAAAGCGGAAACATTTTTTGTGGTATTGGCAATAGATTTACCTAATTACTTGCATTGCATCATATCTTTAATAGATTTACTAATCACTAAATCAGGCATTTCTCTCTCTGCGAAATGCATCCAATACCAAAAATTAGAGGTAGACTTACCCCAAGCCTCTCCTGCAGTATCCGAAGAATCTGCTCGTTGGAATAGGCACGGAAAGTGACAACCAAAGGTTTGCCTGCATTATTTGCAAAATTAAGTTGAAGGAATAAAATCAACTGTTGTTCTTAATCAAAGCTAAGGGAAATATGAAGAACAGAGGAGAATGTTCCAACGTTACGCAATGATGAAGAAATTCTTACAATTAAGAGACTTCAATTTTGGAAGGAAACGATCTGCGAGGTCTATTGCATTTGCTACACCTGGAGGACAAACACAACAAATAAACTTACAATTTTGTATGACCAGAGGAAACGGGTACATATATGAACATTAAACTATAACCATGATCGCAAAGCGACCGTACCTATAAGTATACACCTTGAAAATGGCAACGTTGTAAGCATAAAAAGCTCATGAAGTACACCTCGATCTCTTGTGATCAAGTAATCCATCTCATCTGCAATTATTAGCCTGCAAATGAAGTTTGGATGAGGAACAGCATTTCATTCTTAGCAGGTCATTAATGCACAGCAAAAAAATAAAAATAAAAGAAGAACATACATCATCTTTGAGCTGGAAGATTTTTGATTTTGAGAAAACAAAATCTGAAGTTGTTGTAGAGCTGTAGAGGAGCCATTAGCTTTCTTCCCAGTCTCAATTTCACCAAGTATCTAGAAGAAAAACTCAATAAACTATTGAAATGAGAACTAAGAACTTCAAGGTGATTTCGATTGCAGAAGATCTCACCTTGGAGAAAATATCTGTTGTTTTCGCCAGTGATGTGCAATTAACAGTTACTGTTTCCGGGCAAGGCAAGTCTTCCTGAAATAATTTCATGAGTGAATATCAGTCTCACCATTGATAGATTCAACACTAATCACAAATCCTGAACCAGACACAAGATTAAATCACCTGCTTAGCCCAGTCTTCAGCTTGTTGTCTTACTTTCTCCATCGATAGTGACTTTCCCGTTCCAGGGCAGCCACATATGTACAAACTCCCAGCCTTCTTCTGTTCCATGCAACCTTTCACAAACTCTAAAACCCGTTTTTGTTCATCCTCACGGCAAACAACAGTTGATGGTGCCTTCGACACGTGCAACGCCTCCTTCACAGCTTTCATTTGATCATCATCTGTGCATTTAAAACATTTCAAATTTTACATCAACTAATTAAGAGCGTGAGAATCTACATTAAAGGAATCAGAAGGATCATTTATACCTCTAGGATTCCACTTTGATTTAACATCTAAACAATCAAATTGCTTTTCCACGGCTGATATCACAGGACTTTCCAGTTTCTCATTAGAATCTTCATTGACCTCCTGCAATCGGATAATCAGTAATATAAATCATTACAGATTCCAAAAAAAATCGATCTAACAGTTAAGGAGATGATGATGATCCAATCAGAACAACGATCGGATTGATCATCTCGCAATTAAACAACAACTAATAGCTAGACACTAAGGTTTACGAACAAGGAGCTCATATATTACCTCTTTAAGCGTCCTGGGGCTTGAAACAGCACAACGGCGAGGAGATTTCCATTTCATCGGCGTCGATACCGAATTCTCAAGCAAGACCGTTGTCGCTGCAACCTCCGCGGCGGAATCCGATCTCAACTTCCGTTTCCGCGGAGTGTTGACTTCGGCGGATCTAAGACCTCCGATATTATCCGATCTGGCGGCTACCATGTGTTTGTGAGGGGAAGAACTGGGTCCAGCGATGGTAGGCATTGTAGGTTATGAGAAGGAGGGGGATAAAAGGCGGGAGAGTGATATCGTGATCGAGATCTAATCGAATCGAAGTGAAGAATCAATCTCATGGTCGATACTGGTTTTTAAGAGATATCGAAAGAGGAAAAATGGTAGAAAATAATAATGAAAAAAAAAAAAAAAAAAAAAAACTAAGAGGGAAAATGGAAGTAGCGGGAAAACGTTGCAGACGGACATTTTTCGCCGCTCGCTTTTATTCGTCTGCCGTTTTGAACAATCGGATTCGCGGCAATTTTTATTGGGCAGTAATTTAAGGCCTAACTAAGCCTGTTAAGGGCCCATCTATAAACTTTACATTATCTTCTCTTTAGCAATAAATAATAACTAGCTGATAAAAATGATTACACTATTTAAACAATATCCACACATGCAAACTCTTACTTTAACCTAATACTGCATTACTGCTCACATTTTATACACATGAAAAAAAGTCAACCAAGTTTTGCATATCTGCTTTCACCCTTAATTACTTGATATATCAGAATTCAGAACTTACATGTTGTTCACAAAAAAAAATCAAAACATACATGTTGACAAATTAACAAAAAATCAGAACGTAAGAATCAACACAATAATAATACAAGTGTCTCTCCATAGTTTGACACATCAGCATTTTTAAACTTTCTAAAGTTGACATTTCAGCCAAAAAAAAATATCAATCAAAATATTTTATTAATACACATCATCTACTAACTTTTATTATTTTTAACTTAAACCCAATAAAAACCAAAATATTTTTCTTTGTTAATCTTTGTTTTTTTTTGCCCAAACCCAAGCCCAAATAATAAATAACAACAAATGAATTTTATTTTTACCATCCCTAAATATAAATAATAAATAACAACAAATAAAATAATTAAATCTTTGTTTTATATTTTTGCAAAACTGAAACTCAAATAATAAATAACAGCAAAAAAAAATTAAAACTTTTAACTATATGTTTGCTTGATAGAGACGTATATGATTGAAGAAAGTGTAGATTCATCATCAACTATGTCTCCATAACAACAACGCAAAAAATATTATATTATAAGAAACTCACACATCAGCAAAAATTTGAACCAATAAATATATAACAATAATACATATCATTAACACACTAATAAAATCAGTTTACTATTTTGCTGACTCATTAAAAAGCTCAAAGTTTATAAAAAATAGAAGTCAAAAGCAAATGATGAGAAGTTCAAACCACCACAGCTTGAAGATTCGCATTTCTGGTGGTTACCGGGAATAAATTTTCTTGGATTTGGCGAGAATAGAAAACTTCTTAGTTTCGGTAGGAAAATATGATTTTCAGTTTTGGTATGAAAACATAATTTCTCGGTTAGAGTGGAAAAGGTGAATTCTCGGGTTTGGCGGAAAAATGTAAATTTTTGATTTTTGTGAGAATTTTTTTTTTGAATTTAACACGAAAAAAAAATATTTTAGTTTTGACGAGAAAATGCGAGGGAAATGCAACTTTTCAATTTTGAAGAAAAAATACGAATCCTCATTTTGATAGGAAATGCAAATTTTTGGTTTTTGATGGATAACGTGATCTCTTGATTTTTGTGGGAAAATATGATTTCTTAGTTTTTGCGGGAAACTGTAATTTGCAATTTTAACGGAAAATGCAATTTCTCGATTTAATGGAAAAACAAAATTTTTCGATTTTGGGCGAGAATAAACAATTTCACAGTTTTGATAGGAAATGCAAATTTTCAGTTTTTGAGATATAATGTGATTTTTTTTGTTTTCGCAGGAAAATGCAATTTCTTAGTTTTCGCGGGAAATGCAATTTCTCAGGTAATGCAAATTTTTATTCTCGCGGGAAATTGTAGTTTATCGGCTTGGTAGGAAGGTGTGATTCTTGATTTGATGAGAAAAATAAATTTTTTTTTGTTTCGGCTGGAATAGACGATTTCTCGGTTTTTGAGGAAAGATAATTTTTTTTGTTTTGACGGGAAAATACGATTTTTTGGTTTTTCTGGAAGATGAAATTTTTTGGTTTTGGTGAAAAAACTTGATTTCTTTGTTTTGGCGAGAACACATGTTCTCGTGGGAAAATATAATTTTTTTGTTTTGTCGGAAAATACAATTTTTCGATTTTTGAAAAAGATAAAAGATTTATGTACTAAATTTTCAAGTTACAATATGTTTATAGTAACCAAAATTAAATTATTTAACTTCAACTAAATTGATATTTCAATAGTTCAAACATAACTTTCTATTTAGTTCTAAAGCAATAGCATTGGTTTTGATATGAATGTTATTGATTATAGTTTGGTAGTTTTAGAAACATATGTTTATATTAAATATTTAATAAATAATTAAATTTTATAATTCAAAATAATCATATTAATTAATATTTTTTTTAAATGGCAATTGGCTTTATATAATTTCAAAGGACAATCAAGTGGCAATTTAGTAAAAAAAAAAATTACATTTGCCATTAGCATGAAGGTACTTAAAAATGTATTGTTTTATTCTTACATATACATTTATAGATAGTTAGCTAAACAAATTTGATAGTAGATTATAATTCTAAAAAATAAAAAAATTAAGGATATATAATGTTTATTCAGATTTAAAACATATAAATACATAATTTAAGCCAATAAAAAATAAATATAATATACTATTCTATTATAAAAATAATTTTATTATATAAAAATATATACAAAATATAGAAAAATATTCTATCGCCTCCCCTTTCTTCACCCCCTTGGTGAGTTGCATTGCCGAGAGATGCCGAACTTCATCCCTCCTCTCCTTGGGAGCATCCACGGTTGGGATCATACATGGAGACCCCTTCTCCAGTATGCACACTGTGCTAAGGGCGGGCATAGGGATCGCCGAGACTTGCCTCTGGAAATCCAACCCAAGCACGACCTTGAAGTCGTCCATCTGTGCTACTGAGAAGTTCACCGGACCGGTCCAAGCCCCCACCCTGAGCTCGACATTCCTGGTAACTCCATGTAGTGGTTTGGCTTTGGCATTGACGAATTTAAGCCAACCCTCTCCCTTGGTCCACGTGAGACCAAGTCTCCTTGCCTCCTCATCAGACATAAAATTATGGGTTGCGCCTGTGTCCACCATAGCCTGTGTTGGTTGCCCATTGATGAGAACTTCTACGTACATCAGCCCCTTACTCATGACCTTAGACATAGGAGTTGTCTTAAGGGCGTTGAGAAGTTGAAGAGATCCCATCATCCTGGCCTCCTCCTCATGGGATTCGACTTCTCTTTGCTCCAGCAGTGCGGACAAGGAACCAAGCTTCAGGCACTCCCTTGCTGGATGTGGTCCCTTGCACACATAACATCCTCCTCTTGGAACAAAGGTACGCTTCTTTGCTTCATACTCCTCACGTCCTGAGTTCCTCCCTTGGCTCCGAGGATAAGGTGGAGCCGTCTGCTCCCGCTTTTCCTCCTCGGACCGTGGAGATACCTTCTCTTTCCTCCTGGAATTCTCTGACTGGTTTTGGTCATAGAAATCTGAAAGAGACTCGGCCACGGCAATGGCTTCATCCATAGAGTTCAACCCACGCCACTGTAGCTCCTGTTTGGCCCATCCTTGGAGTCCATCCACGAAATGGAACACCAAGTCCTGGTCGGACAGATTTGGGATCTGCAGAGAAAGAGTAGTAAAATCCTTGACATAGTCGCGGATCTTACCCTTTTGTCGGAGTTCCCTCAGCTTCCTCCGAGCCTCATAGACATCATTCTCCGGATAGAACTGCCGTTTGAGTTCCTTCTTGAACTCCTCCCACGTGTCTATCCGGCATGTGCCCCTCTCAATGTCACTATGGCGCCTCCGCCACCACAGCATGGCCGTATCCATGAGGTAGGATGTGGCCGCCTTGATCTTTGCTGACTCATCGGTAAGACCAAGATTATCAAAGTACTGCTCCATTTGCCACAGGGAGTTCTCAACTTCCTTAGCATCCTTTGAGCCATCAAAACGGGAAGGTCTCGGGAAATCCACTCTTCCCGTCCCGGGGTTGTTGGTACCTCCATTGGTAACTGCCTTCTTGCACAATGCGAGATCTTCTTGCATCACCACGATGCTCACCTTCAACGACTGGACCGCCCCCATCACTGTCTCCTCCAACCTGGTGAATCGCCCCTCGATCCCACCCAAGCATTCTTGACTTCTGCCATCTCGTTGAACAGTGCGTTCTCGAGTTCAGAAATCGAGTGTTTGACTCGCTCTAGTCGTTCACCCATATCGGTAATGGCTATCTTTATAGCTCCGACCTCATTACGGACTTTGCTCCTGTCGCGCTTGCTCCTGGTAATGTTCTCAAGGCCGTCCTGGTCTTCGCCTCCATCGGTATTCCTGAGAACATCCTCGATATTCGACATTGCTCGGTCTTTGAACGGAACTCGGCTCTGATACCATGAGTTAAATATTCTACAGTGTAGCGTGGGTAAAATTCTAGTTTAGAAATAAATAAAAATCTAGGTGGTCGATGGTCAATGCACTTATATTTATTTGTTTTCTCATATATAATCGTTGAAGTATGAGATATCGACATAAAACGACGTGGAGATATTTTTTTCGTCAAGGATATCCACATATGTCAATGATATTCGTATGATACGTAGCCGGAAAAAAATCAAACGTATAGAGATACATACGAAAGGAAAACGAAGGCAAAATTTTGATAAATACTAGGTAGAAAGAAGATAAGAGATGATAAGAGTGGTGGCCTTTGTAATGTCTCTCTCCTTTTTGATTCTCAAATTGGCTATAGCACCCTATCAAGAGCCACCTAAGCATACAAATATTTTCATATGGATGTGTTAGGCTCTATATTGTTGTGTTCAAGTAAATAAAACTTACATGGTCATATATATTATTCTAGATTTAATATATGTTTATATCTTTCTTTTATTCGACTCAAAGTTTCTTTGCGAGCTTTCTTTTCTCACGGAAGGACGAAGTAGTTAGATATATTGTTTGTGAGTTATCTCTTCTCTTCCCTTTGTTGGAATTCAAATTTGATGTTGTACCATTTTAAAAAAGAAAAATCTCGAGTTTATGAGCTACTCTAGTGACACTTGATTGTGTTATACAATTTGTACCCTAAATGATTTTTATCGGCAATAAGATCACGACACGTGGATAATTACCAAACAAGATCATCTCTCTGAAGAAACCGACAGATAACCAAACCAGTTGGCGATGGACATAAGTCCCCTTACACGCATATCTTTCTCACCGCCCAACATAATAATCTTCATAAACCAAACCCCTTAATATCACATGGTGTATTCTATCATTTTCTATTTGTTTTTATTTACCCTCCATACATTTTCGGACATTTAGTGTTTTGATTTTACGACTTGTCTTAACACTCTCGTCTTTCTTGTCGCTGCCCATTGGCAAATTACTTTCATCGCGTACATAATTCATAAATCATAACCAACTTATTTTCACCTTTTTGGAAATTGTATATTTCCTAAAAGACAAAACACATAACCTCATTATATCTCCCTCTCACTATCTAGGTAAAATTACATATTACCTAAATTTTTAATAGAACAAAGTGGATCCCGCATATTTAGCCTTCCGTCCGACGATGGTCCACACCCAAAATTGTGATGAAAATGATTTATCATTTACAAAACTGTATAAAAAATATCTGTATCATCCACAGCAGGGATTTAAACATATTAATTTCCTCCAAACTACATTTTTAAAAAACATATTTCAAAAATCAGTCACGAGACGAGCAAACGTATCGTGCATATACAATATATATTGTAAATACTCAAGTTCGATTTATGAAAGAATTAGGGTTTGTGGGTTTAAAGAGAAGTCTTTTGTTAGAAGAAGCCGGAGTTTGAATGAATATAGGGAGGTTTAGGTCGTCGGAATAAGAACGCCGACATAAACTTTTGTGGAAAGTAAATCGAAAGCTAGAACAACCAGATTGCTTAGTTTGTCCTAGGTCTCGATAGATGATTTTCGGATCTTCTGAGAAATCAAGGAGATTCCATATTTATAGCCGATCAGGTCGGTCTTCTATGTCGGTTTGGAATAGGAAAGTTTCCTTGCCGATAAGGCTAACTTCTGTTTTTCCCGGGTTCGTCCAATAAATGGAAGATTTCCATTTATTTGGTCGACCTAAGCCCGGTGAAGTGGGCCGACCAGAATTCATATCGGGCTTGTAAAGATGGTATAAATCTCATCTCTAACATATACGTGTCCACAATTTTCTTTTTACGAATTTTTCTCAATGGTCCAAATATAAACCATAATAAATGAAGAAAAGCATAAGATCAGGACGGGGCTAGATTCCACCGTACGTGATTTGAATGAAATTGAATAAACTTAGGGAATGAATATCAATGAGGTGTGAGAAGAAGAGGCCAATGAAAGAACAATACATATCAACCGTTAAGAAGATATGAGCAGATACCAAACGAGAGCCGTCAAATCTTCATCTTCTTCTAATGTCGCTGTCTCAACGACGTTAACTTACGGCAAGTTGGTGCATATCTTTCTCTTCTTCTCCACCGTCGAATTTTCACCCTTCCCGTTTTGGCACGTTCCAACAAGAGATCTATCACCTCTTTGTGTTTTTCTTGACATTCGTTTTTTCGGTTAGGTTTAGTTCCATCTTCTTCTTTTTTGGTTTTTGGAATTGATATCCGAACTATAGAACATGCATAATTTCGGTTTGTATATAATGATATCCGGAACTATAGACATGCACCGTAATGATAGCTCGTAAACTTTGATATGATGACATTTATATGCTGGAGTTTTCGAGCCAAATAATTTATGAATCGTAGGTCAGAACTTATTGATAAAAAAAGAGATTAAATTGAACTGTATGGGGTAAAGTATTTTTGTCGCTAATTTAGTAACATAATTTTCTACAAGTGGTGTGTAATCGTGTGATTAGAGAGTTAAAGCGATATAGTATATCTTGGTATAAAATGATTACACATGCACATACGATAAAAGTGTATCGTTTGTCCTAAATGTTAATAATGGTGAGAAATATATACGATACATCTACGGAAAACAAATCAAAATATTATTTTCAAAAAAAAAAAAAAAAAAAACAAACAAATCAAAATACCCAAACACAAGATGAACGTAGACGTAAATCGAAATAGTTACCAGATTACATGGACATGATGGACCCCACTCATTCACGCTCAAAATTCATTTTGTAACATATAAATATCTACGTGGCATTTTCAAGACCGTTGATCAGTTTTATTTAAGTAATGCAAATTTGCGATACACTAGTGTCAGAAAATGACGAAAAACAAAAGCCCAATAGGCTGGGAGGAGAAAATAATTTTTCGAGACGTGGCTTATCTTTAAACCGTCAGATGAAAAAATCCTTATGACTCTCCGGTTTATCATGTGAGTCGGTTCTTGGGACCGGCTACACTTGTTTAATCAGGATCTGAATGGCGCTGTTTAACCGGCTTAAACCCGGTGATATTTTTGTTATTTTTCAATTAATTTATTTTATTTCGATATTTTTGATAAACTCGTGCACAAAAACCCCTTTGATCGCGTCTGCATATAAAACGCCATCGTCTCACTCTCTCTCTCTCCGCGTTCCACTAATAATAAAGTGAAGCGTCTTCTGCCTCGTGCTACTCCACTTCAGGATTTTCCCGAGAAAGTTTCAGCGAGAAACTTCGAGAAAATTTCGAACGCAGCCTTCGCTCTTTGAGGGTGGGTTTCTTCTCCCTCTCCCTTCTTTCTCTCGCTCGGCTCTCTAGTTCGCTGAATCGAAGATCTCTCGAGACTCTCGAATAAATTATCTCAACATTTTCATCGATTCTCGTGGCATTAGCTTTCCGAGATCCGATTTCTTCCATCTGTGATGCTGAGCTTAAGATCGAGCTTTTGTATCATTTTTAATTTTCTGCATTTTCGAGAAATATTTCTCTCGATGGATTGGGCTAAAAAAATTTATTAACTTAATTCGTTTGTGGTATCTGATTCTTTGTTGACGTATTCTATTTTTCTTTTCATTTACAGGAAGGTCTGAATCAATAAGGAAAAGCCATTGTTACAGGCTTGAAGCGATTTTCAAATTTTGCAATGGAGGTGAAAGTAGCTTCCACTTCCCCATTCCTTCAATGGGCGGCTCATCCTTCTTCATTCCCTTCTCAAACCCTAGCTTCCGGTACCATATCGTCTCCTTCTAAACGACGGAGCACCGTACACGACGGACGGTTTCTATCCTGTCGTTTCGCGCCGCAGAGACTGAACCGTTCGGCTCTATTCGGAACTCCGTCGACGAAGCTCCATCGCTCCAAGTCCTGCGAGCTATGGGAATCATCTAGACTGATCAAAACTCAGTCGATTCGAGGAGTCTGTAGCGCAAGCTTAGATCCGTTCTCCGATGAGGAGTTTTCGAAAAAGATCCAGGAGCTAACTCTCAGATTCAATGTCTCCAGCGACGAGAGAGAGACGAGCAGCGATTCGGAGAAGATGATTATCCACCACGATCGTAGTTACATCGCAATGGAGAAACCTAATCTACTGCGAGATTCAATCGAGCCGCCATGGAACATCGAGATGAAAGCAAACAGCGTCGATCTTCCTCTCTCGCTACGGATCATAAAGAAGAAACGACAGTGGGAAGAAGGAATCAAACACACCGGCGAATCCGCGTGTGGGTCGATGAACAGGGCCTTTTCGTCGATGGTGTTCATGATCCGCGAGCTTCAGAGCTTCACTCTGCACATGAGAGAGGTTCTCTTCTTCGAAGACTTGCAAGGGATCTTACAGCGAGTGAGAGAAGAGATGCACGCATCTTTCGTTTGGTTGTTCCAACAAGTTTTCTCAGCAACGCCTACTTTGATGGTTTACGTCATGATCCTCCTCGCCAATTTCACTGTTTATTCAATCGGTAGCAACTCTGCTTTAGCCGTCGCCGCCGCTCCTCTTCCTCCGACGACCATCGTAACAGAGCTAACAACCGTCAGCGAAATCCAAGACTCGAATGAGAAGTTCGATTCCTCGATGGTGAAAACGTTCTTTGTGTCGTCTCCCAACGGGAACACAACTTCCCTCGGGGGTAACAACAATGGCGGCGGAGGAAATATCCGGCCGGTGTTAAGCGGAACAGACGGTGATGGATTCGATGGATCAGAGCAATTCAGAACGATCATACCCGAAGGAGTTTCACAATTGTCGTCATCATCGTCAACGTTAGGGTCAAAGACTACAGAGTCAGAAACATCAGTATCGGGACAAGACGAGCTTAGGCTGTGGAATTCGATTCTGGATGAAGCAGAGCAAATGCAGTATTCAAATATAGACAATGCTTTGGATCACGAGACGAGGAAACGGTTCGTGTCTCCTTTGGATGCTCGAGTAGAAACAGAGGAGCACATTGATTACTTCAAAACAGAGCTTCTCTACCAAACAGGACTGTCTCAAGAGCCTAATAATCCTCTGCTTCTAGCTAACTATGCTCAGTTCCTCTACATCGTCTCTAATGACTATGACAGGTAAACTAAACACTATTTAATCTCACACCTTAATCATCTTTTTCGGTTTAGATTGTATTAAGTAACTTGGTTAGTGAGTTAGAGTTGAATCTTCCTTTAAAATTCTTTTGGGGGTTTGTGTGGCTGCAAGTTGAAGCTAGCAGTCAAAAATAAGCGCAGTCCTCGATGATTTTTCTATTCACTAGTGGGGCATATATGTGGAAATTCAATGATTATTATTTTTATAAGCTAAAAAAATGTCATAATAATTGCATCAGCAGAATATTTAACCGACCAATAGATTTGAACCATTCTTTTTCCTCTTCTTGTAAAGAAGAGATTACACAAAATATCTAACAAGGAATAAAATAAAGAAATAGGATTAGTTCTAACCAATGAGCTTTGAGTCTTTGTGGTGTTTTTATGATAGTGGAGTTTACGGTGGAGTTTCGAAGACTCCCCACAAAAAATCCAAAACAAGTAAAAACATGGCTTTGTCAAAAGTCGCTGCCTTACAATTTGTCTTCTAGATTTATCATTTATTCCCCACCCAATCGAATTAACCCATGTTTTTGTCGTTGGCTCTAATTTATAGTTAAAATAGTATTGTAATTTAGATGGTAGTAGTATTGGATTATACACTCTTTTAGGCATTATAAATTTTAATCATTTTTTTTGATAGGGTCACATTACTTATGATTCGTTTGATTTTCTAACCAACCTTTTTGGGTCAATATGACATTATGCAATTCACATCATCACATGAATCTTTTTGCTTTTATTCATCTCATCTTTAATACGTTCGACAAGTCTTACTTTATCTCACGTGATTTCCATATGACATTATTATGTGTAACAGAGCGGAAGAGTATTTCAAGAGAGCGATAGGAGTGGAACCGAGAGACGCGGAGGCGCTGAACAAGTACGCGACGTTCTTATGGAAAGCACGGGACGATCTTTGGGCGGCGGAGGAGACTTTCTTGGAAGCAATCGATGCCGATCCGACCAACTCTTTCTACGCCGCTAATTACGCTAATTTCTTGTGGAACACGGGAGGTGATGAGACGTGTTTTCCTCTCGACGAGTCTCAGGAAGACACTACCATCTAGATAAGACTGTCCAACACAAGTCTTCTTATGAATAAACAATCTATACAGCTAATGAGAATATACACGTATAAATATGTGCATTACCACTTGTATGTATTAATGTATATGCGCGTTTTGCCATCGGCTATGTCACAAGAATCGTGCGTAAAAGTGTTAAATCCGTATAGTTACGACTTACGATCTAGTGAAAATGAAGAGAGTGTATCTTCGGAGTCTGGTTTGGTATGGTAGTGGTTGAGCACATGATGAAGCTCGATAGAGCACGTGAGATTTGAGCATATCATCTGCTGCAAATCCCATCACCTCGGGTTATGGGTCTTTAGTTGGGCCTATGTGGTGAAACCAAGTGTCCTCTGTTTTGTTTTCTTCTTCTTTTTTTTGGTATATTCAATAATCTGTTTTATTGGTTTGCACATAGGGTACTACCCAGCCCTGGCCCAATGATATTGGGAGCTCTAGGGCAAAAAAAATTTTTGGGTCCACTAACATATAAATTTCACTAAATTTTGAATATTTGAGCTTTTTAATATAAAAATTTATACTAAATTTTAAAATTTTAGGCTTATTTTTAATAAAATTTCCATTAATAAATACTAATTTAAATAAAAAATATAACTATTTAGACTTATTTGTTTTAAAACGGACTTTATTATATGCAGAATTTCAAGAATAAATGGGTTGGGCCCCTGGACTGATGCACTTCTGTCCACCCCACTTGGGCCGGGGTTGATACTACCAAAATACCCCAAAAAAAAACCTAAAAATAGTAAACTCAAATCATTTCAAATATTCCCAAATTCTAGCTCCAATACATCCCCTAAGTTTGTATACCCAAGCAATGTTTGAAGGAAACATGATAACCTACTATGGACAAAACAAGTAATTCATAGGCAAAAACATATTTCTGTTATTATGAATAAGTATTTCATGATATCGGAATTCAAATAAGTAGAAGAAAAACTAAAACAGTCATTTGATATATATCAGTCGCTCTCCATTCATCTGATTAGTCTACAACCAACTAGGACTTAGTGGAAGCTGAGTTGAAGCCTTAGCCATAAGTTCGAATTCTTTCTCGATCTTCTTCGTCTTCTCTATAATGTTTCTTAATTTACGACAACTAAGGTATTTTGGTGGTGATTTAATGTAGATGTGACTTAAGCTCTTTTTAGAGAGCTAGAGTTGGCGAAATATATATATCTTAACATGATCTCTTTCCGTGTGAGGTGTCTATAACCTTGCCCCTCAAAGATCTCGAGATGGGTTGACGAACATGCTGGAACAGAACTCGGTGGCTTGAATGAAAGTGGGAAATTCGTATTTGTCTGGTCAGTGATGAGAAGAACTCTCAGATTAGGAGAGTTTTGAAGAAAACACATAAATGGTGCCAACCAATCTAAGTAAGACGGTGGAGATATTCTACACGCTCTAAGCGAAGAGAAGTTAATGGTGTGACGGCACATAACCTACGATTATTTATGGGCTTAATTTAGAAGGGCCAATTTCTTTGAGAGATTCTCATGCCTCTGCCTTACTTCTCTTTATTTATGTATGGGCTTTAATTGGGGTTCATTGATCAAACCTTATAAGTATCTGTTTAATTATCACTTTTCCCAAATGAAATGGACATAATTTATAAACACTCTTTCGAGTTTCGACATTAATTTTCTATTTAAATCACTAAGAATCGTCTTTACACTTTTGTTTTTACTTTATCAAACTTTTTCACATTTATAGTTGTCTACCATTTTATTCCTTTTAAATACAGGAAAAGGAAGAAGGATCACTAGTGGTTAGGTCCTCCGTAGATTTGGTCTCCTGCTAATGTTTCTCAATCAACATCTACTAGTAGATTCGAATGGTGACAGACAAAAAATCTACTAGACTTCGATGTTTCAGTAGGAGGAAAATTGTAAATATTTCTACATTTTTTTGGTCGCATAACCTTTCAAAATATGCTTGGATCATATTGAAAGCCACCACAAAGATTTTTATCATCTAAAAGCGTTCACACTTCACAATTACTTCTAAATCACGGATTTTAAAAAACAACCTCACGAGTTGTAACAAATATAAACAAAACACACAGACGATCATAACAATCGAATACCGCTTACACAGTATACACTATCACAAAACAAGGAAGCACAGCCCTTGGATTAAACACGAGAAGCTCCTCATCGTCGATCCTCAAAAGGGCCCCACTCTTGTTCCCTGTCCCTTGCCCAACAAGAGAATCATACCCTCCATCGCTCTTGTCCACGTCATCATCCGCGATCAAATCACACCCGACCCGACCCGCTACGACCCGACATACCAGCATCGCCCGTTTCACGTTCATAAACCCAAACTCTTCCTCCACCTCCTCCGGAACCGCCACGTGTCCTCTCCATCCCGTCGCGAGCGTCGCGATTCCGTCGAGCTTCGGCGAGAACCCGGATCCGATGATCCCGCAGATGCTGCAGTACTGATGGCCGCAGAGATTGGAACTACCGTTTTGCCCTAGGTTACACATGAACGTCGAGCAATAGAATCTCAAGAGCTCGTTCCCGTCGGCGACGCACCGTTCATCGTCCCATCGTCTTCCTCCGCCGTTGATGCTGCTACGAGAGGCTTTCGCCTTGACGAACTCTCGGTACTCCTCGAATCTCGTGAGAATCTTTGAGCTGTTGTGGATTTTCAGGATTCGTTGGATCTCCGGGAATTTGTTACCATGTTCGGGCCAACCCGATTTGAATATGATCTTCACGATGTTCGTGCTCGATTCGCCGTCGATTAGCTCAGATACGGCGTGTTTAACCGTGATGTGCTGCTCGAGGAGGTTGATTTTGTGGAAAATCTCTCCGCACGCGTTGCAAGGGAAAATCTCATCGCGCAGAGGGAGAAACAGAGAACCCGACGAAGTTATATCCGAGAACCCGTTTTCTATACGGGTTTCTGGGTCGGGTTGATTTATCGTCTCCGGTTGGACGAGAGTGACGAGAGAGTTCTGAGACGATCTGGCGGAAGTCAGAGTCGCTAACTGACCGTTAGGGTGTGTTTGGCTGCGGGATTTGCATATCCTCGTCGTGGATACGAAAACTCGCTTTAAATACGTCCAAGAAGAAGATAAACCGGAACCGGGAGAAACTGTTCTTATCTTCTTCTTCCTCCTCTTCTGTCTACAGTCAGCTCCTTTGGGGAAGAAGAAGCAGCCCATGAAGAGAAAGAAGAGAGAGAGAAAATGCTGACGCAGCAACGTCTCGAGTTTTCGCGCCGCCATTTACAAGAATGGTATGCAGAGAGAGAGAGAGAGAGAAAGAGGGAAAGAGGGAGAGAGAGAAAGAGATGAAGTTAGTAATTTGCAGTTTCCACCATTGGAGAGGTGTAAAGAAGAAGAAATGATGAAGAGAAGAGGAGAAAGAGTGTAAAGGTGTATGAAGACAAGAGAGATACTAAAGCTAGAAGAAGAGTAGGTGCGACGCTATTTTTATGTCTTTTTTTTTCTTCCTCTAATTTTTGCCAGAATATTTGTCTCCTCTTTAATTTTAATTTTATAAAATGTTATTGTATCTTTATGCGAATCTTACGATGCATTGGTTAGTGTGTGCATATGAGTGAGTGTACATTGTTTTTTTTTTTACCTTCATTGAATTTATAGAATATGCCATGTTTTATCATGATGATCTTAGTTTTGCAGTAACGTGGCTGTGTCCATCGTTTTCTCACGCATTTTAAATGATATTTTTATTTGTAATCCCAAAAGGTTTAAGTAACGAATTTGAATTGTGTTTTTTTTTTATATATAAAATCAAATCCGAACGTTGATTATTTACTTTGTATCTTATAAATCAAGATAATCGTGGTACATGGAATTTTCATTAGTTATATGCATGTCCCTTCATATTACTTTGGTATATTGATCAATGATATCTTAATGTTTTAACTAGATACTTTATAATCCTTTTATAATTTCTATTTAGGATCTTTGTTTCTACTTGTATAAAGTTAAAATGTATTCACAGAAGCTAAACTCGAAAATTTAGCTGAGGAATCCAAGGCTACCGAATTATTTAACGAATATAAATATCTGGTTTGACAAATTTTGTTGCTTAGGATATGGACGTAGACAGAAGAACACGTGCACATGTCTCATTTCCAATCCAAGCTCATCAATGCATATGTTTACTTAGATCCATGCACATCCATGCATACGATCATAGCTACTTAAGTAAAAAAAAAATATACATGTATCTTGTTATTTATAAATGTTTATTCAGGTTAATTAGCCTTTTCCGATTATACAGAAGAGGACAAGAATATAGAGGTTACAGTTTCGCTTTCATCAGGAAAGAAAAATAAATAAATATCAAGTGGCACAGGGAAGGGTAAGTTATATCGATTAGTTTGATTCTTTTAGCTTAACAAATAACAAATTTAGTATATATATAAAATGTCATGAACCTTCTTGTTTTCATCTCAATTAATCTCAATAAAAAAAAAAAACGACACGTCGAGCGCAATTCGTTTTTTTTTACTTACAAGATGATGGTCATTATATCACTATCAACTGGTTGGATCAATATAGAAAATTTTGATCATTTGTTTTCATTATACTATTGGAAGCGGATACCACATTTGTACAAACGAAGAACGTATTTATGTTTTTCTTCTATCCAACCAAATTAAGAAAGTGTAATTTGGTATATGTATGTCGTTTAGCTGATAAATATAGAAATGGAGAGATAGTGAAAGGAGAGTTAGTGATGAATGATTGAAATGGTGAATGATAATTGAAGAAGTGGGCCATGTTAGGAAGTATGTACTTTTGTAAGTGGGCCATCTACGAAGCTCTTCCTGTCTCCATCCACATGTAAGGCTTTTGTTTCTTACCTCCTAAATTCGCGTTTCTTCATTTGATCTTTCTCAAATCTTGCTTTCTTGTTCAGTGGTACGGCCCCTGATAAGTAACATGCGAGATGCGACTGTAATTATTACTTGTTATGATGGGTGTGAATCGTGTGATTGGTAACTCTTACCGTTATGTAAGAAATGTTTTATTTCTACTGTGAACCAAATACACGTACGCTAAAACGAGACAAAACACAAAGTGGTACAAAATCTTTATTGTGTTTTGACTGAATTCCAAAACTTAGGTTTTAGTTTCCCACCTAGAATATTACGTTTGTATCGCCAAAACTAGATATATGATCCGCATAATATCTACAAAAATTATAATTTTCGGTCTAGTTTAGATTTTCGTATCCTCAAAAAGTTAGATGTTGGTTTATAGAATTTGTATCGAATGCAGACGGTATTATTAGCTCTTTTTAAATGGATAACGCATGCAAGAAAATGAATTATTTGACGATACACAATAATTAGTAATCAATAATGATGGCATAAAGACAAATAAAATAAGTAAAAGTGGTAGTCATAAAAGCATAAGCTAGGGAGCACTTATGGTAGACAACAAGGGACACCTTCGATGAGTAAATCTGCCGCACAACAATCTTGCATCATTCTCATCCTCTATTCTTGGACCGCCATTAATAAAAAACCTAAAAATAGTATTTTTTTTTCTAATTATGATTTTGTTAAGTTTAGATTCTTTTAAAAATTTCTACATATGATTCAATTCTTGTTTTCATACATTCATTAAAAATTTTACACATGCTTAAGGAGGGTGGAGATGTTGAGGTGGTTTTATAAGAAGTACAGCATATGATTTGGGTTTGCACATAGTACAACGAGAATGCAGTTTATTACCTAACAATGACTTTGTTTGTGATGAGATGGCTTAATAAACGCAATAATTAAGATGTGTGAGATTAGATGATGGGGATATATGATCTTAAAGTAGTATTTGATTTTGGTTAATATCTGTTTTTCCGTCTGCTATTATAGCTAAATTAAATAAATAATTACTGGAATAAAAAGGATCCCCACACTAGATTTCTATTAAATTAATTATCGGATTAACTATTATTTCGTATCTTTACTAACGCAATTAGTGGGGTGTTGGTTCCACATCAGGATCCTTCCCTTTATTCCACACATAAAGTCGTTAAATGTTCATATCCTTAAATGTTTTATGACGGATAATAAATTGATTGTTTTTGCATTTTGTTTTCATAGGCCTACTTCAAGATTTATAAACTTTTTCATTTGCTGGGAAAGTTGAATTACAAAGGACAAAGTTAATCTTGCAGTTTTTAATTTGTAAGCCTAAATTATCTGGGCCTCATATGGGCTTTATGTTAAGCTCAGATTCTTAGATTAGTTGAAAGTTAGTAATGGACCTCCAATAAAATCTGTTAACCGTTACTTCCCGTTAGATTATGACATCCTCACTCAGCCAATACCTGATCACCACGTGTTGTCACGTCAGCCACGAACTTAAAAAAAAATCAGTTCAACTCTGCCAGAGGAAAAAAAAACGTGAAGCGGAAGCGCGAGAAGAAGAAGTGGAGGAAAAAAAAATATCTGTCTCGCCATGAACGCGAGAGCTCTTCTTTACTCTCCGAATCTCCACTCTCTCTACACTTCAAATCGTCCACCTGAAACCTCTCCTCGCAGCCGCCGGACTCTTAAATCGGATCCGAAGTCGTTACGGGTATGGATTTACCCGCGGAACAGGTCCGGCGTTTTCCGGGTGTTGGTTCGGAGCTCCGACAAGAGAGAGAGCGGTAATCCGTACGCGGAGATCATCGAGGAAGGTCAAGAGAAAGTTAATCGAAACGGAGTCGTTTCTGATTCGCCGCTTAGCTCGGTTCCGTGGTGGGAAGAGTTTCCGAAGCGGTGGGTGATAGTGCTTCTCTGTTTCTCAGCTTTTCTTCTCTGCAATATGGATAGAGTAAGTTTAATCGTAGAAAATTGAGTTTGTTGCTGTTGGAATCGAAGGATTGTGGAAATCGGAAATTGCTCAATCAGGAATCGGAGTTACCAATTTTGAACAGATGATGTTTTACAGGTGAACATGAGCATAGCGATACTTCCGATGTCGGCTGAATATGGATGGAGTCCAGCAACAGTTGGTTTGATTCAGTCTTCCTTCTTCTGGGGTTATCTTCTCACTCAGGTTAGCTTTTCAATGATTCCCTAATTAAAGGTTCTTCGTCTTCGTCGCAGAGTTGGTGTTTGCATAGACTATGATCAATTTTTGAGGCAATTCTTGCCATAGAATACATTTTAATTTTAGCAGTTTCTGATAAAAACCACTTTTTAGATGATCAGTGTCTCAAATGATTACATTTGAATCAATAAGTGTGGATTTGAATATGATAGATAGCTGGTGGGATATGGGCAGACACAGTAGGTGGCAAAATGGTTCTTGGCTTCGGCGTAGTCTGGTGGTCTATCGCCACGATCCTTACTCCTATCGCAGCGAAACTCGGTCTCCCGTTCTTGCTCGTTGTTCGTGCTTTCATGGGAGTTGGCGAGGTTTGTGATTACTTTTCAAGAATGCTATCAATGTTGTGTGATGCCGATGATGAGAAGAAAAATGGGTCTCCTTTGGTATCTCCAGGGTGTTGCAATGCCTGCTATGAACAATATACTGTCGAAGTGGGTGCCTGTGCAAGAGAGAAGCAGATCTCTCGCGCTTGTTTACAGCGGGATGTACCTTGGATCAGTCACCGGTCTAGCCTTTTCTCCTTTCTTGATTCATCAGTTTGGATGGCCTTCTGTGTTTTACTCTTTTGGGTCTCTTGGAACTGTATGGTTGACTCTTTGGCTAACTAAGGTCAGACTTAAGACTTCTCTAGTGCTTTTTTTTCAAGAAGCTTATGCCATTTAGTGGACAGTAAGATGAAAAGGTGTTGTTGTGTTGTTAATATAGGCAGAGAGTTCACCGGTTGAAGATCTGACGCTGCTCCCTGCAGAAAGAAAGCTAATAGCAGACAACTGCGCCAGCAAAGAGCCGGTGAAGTCGATCCCGTGGAGGCTGATATTGTCGAAACCTCCGGTTTGGGCTCTCATCGGTTGCCACTTTTGTCACAACTGGGGAACATTTATTCTCTTAACCTGGATGCCAACTTATTACCATCAAGTCAGTTTCTATTACTGTCTTTTATATGGATCTTGATATTCTTCTGAGTATTAGTTGATCTCACGGACATTGGTGTGTGCAGGTGCTGAAGTTCAACCTGATGGAATCAGGGCTTCTCTCTGTGTTTCCATGGATGACAATGGCGATTTCTGCAAACGCTGGAGGATGGATCGCTGATACACTCGTTAGCCGAGGTTTCTCCGTCACGAATGTCCGCAAGGTACCTGCACATCCCTTCTTCAGTCCATTTCAATGCAATCTAGTAAAAGTAAATTATTTGATAAATCCTTTTGTTCTTCTATTCTATGATGAAATAACAGATAATGCAGACAATTGGATTTCTTGGACCAGCGTTCTTCTTGACGCAGTTGAAACACATAGATTCTCCTACAATGGCCGTTTTGTGCATGGCTTGTAGCCAAGGGACTGATGCCTTTTCGCAGTCTGGCCTTTACTCTAATCATCAAGACATTGCTCCAAGATACGCTGTAAGTGTAATCAATTACTATCAAGTCCTAAACAATCTATGCTACTCAAAATCAAATAGATTAGCACGTTGATGTTGTTGTTGTTGTGGTCAGGGCGTGTTACTTGGTTTGTCTAACACAGCTGGAGTGCTTGCCGGAGTTCTTGGCACAGCCGCGACTGGTCACATCCTACAACACGGTTAGGACTCGCAGCACTAATTTTTTCCTTTGTGTTTCGAATGATATTGACACTGACAAGAAATGTCCTCAGGTTCATGGGATGACGTTTTCACGATTTCGGTTGGTCTTTACCTTGTCGGGACCGTCGTTTGGAACTTATTTTCAACCGGAGAAAAGATTATCGATTGATCCATCCCGGAGAATAGTGATTTATCAGTGAATAGTTCAGCTCCAAGACCTCATCAGGTGCAAGTGACTTCACCTCACGCTACTCTCTAATACTTCAGGAAAATTTTAGGGAAGATGCATATGATTCTATATGTAGATGAAAAGAATACAGATAAATTTTGTACATACACGAAGCAAGATTCTCAATGTCATACTTAATACATAAATCTCCCCACTGCTCTATATCGAAGATATTATTATCACACGCAATTCTCTAATATGCTATTGCGTAACCAACGAGTGACCAAAGAGAATTTTCGAAAATTTATGAGCATCATGACTAAGAAATTTAAGATGTACGGCCACTCGCGGAACTAGATCTTGTGAAAGAGGTCGATGAGTTTATGAACTGTATGCAGTCTTCTATAGCCTCTGATCTACAGCTATCATTGGCGACAGAGATGACCGAAGAAGCCTTCAATGGTGGAGATCTCTTCTTCTTCTTCTTCCTCATCACCACCAGACGTAACCCTTTGACGAATTTACAGCTGAGATGCTTGATCAGTCTTGCTGCTGTGACTTCTGTTTTCCTCGGTAGCCTTAAGCCACAGCTCGTTGAGCAGCCTGGATTCTTACCGTACGGTCCCTTGACTGAGGATTGCTTACCAGGAGTAACTGGTCTAGTGTTTGCATTGAACCGTTTTGTTCCTGTAGCCGACATATCAAAAGAGAGAGTGAGAGCGGTTTATGAGAACAAAGTTAAGGAGAGTGAGGGATTATAAACTACAAAAGGGACTGATACTGAAACATTTGGCTAATAGATTTCAGGTAGAGACCAGAGAAGTCATGATTATTAAATAATGCATCAATAATGACATGATTACACTTTAAGTCATGATTACTGTAGTGATTAAAAGCATATACAAATAAAGAAACAAAAGTAGGTTGGTTCAGTTTCAAACTTATTTTTAGATACTTTATGTCAAAAGAATTTGTATAAATAACTAACAGATATATCAAAAACTCTAGCGCCGAAATTTGGTGAACAAAAGCTAGATCAAGATCAAAAGAAGAGGACTTTGTTTAGTTTTTTCTACATTTACACCATGGAAAGCAAGTTTAAGATGGTCCACATAGAAAACAAAACCATTTGTTTAAGTGAACAAAAATGTTCTTTTATACGAAGCAGCCTTTCGGTATGGTTCATATTTGATGATCACTAAGGTATGTGCACAAAAGAAATGTGAACAAATTCTTTTAGGTTCCTGAAGAGGCCAATATGAAACTTACCTTTATATATCGCAGATACCTTCCTTGAGTCTTGAGACTAAACCCAAAAAGAGAAGAGAAAAGAAAAACGCTGTGAATAGTGGGCCCACGGATATCAGAAAGCAAATAGTAACCAAGGCAGTGTTATGACTTACATTAAACATCATACTCTGGATTACATGCGAGGATAGAGTAACAATATATGCATTATTGATTAGTAGACAATTCTTTTATTCCTTCTCTCCATGTTTCAAAGATACAAACATGGAGAGAAGGAAAGCAAAAAAGTTTTAGCAAAGATTTAGCTTTATATAGTCATGACAACTTCCATTTAAAGAGGAAATACATTGTTTTGAAATATTATGAGCATTTTGAAGTTACCAGACACAACAATCTAATCATAGAACCCAGAGATATATGAAGATCATCAATTCCAATAAACTGAACTTTCAAGAACGTGAATCATTAGAACTAAACTACAGCACATGAATTGGAGACATTATCACACTTGATGGGTATTCAATGATACACAAGGAGAAGCAAGAAAATGAAACTCACTTTGTTGATCTTTAAGCATTGTTCACTAGCAAAATCTCTGCACCTGAGCTCAGATTCTGATCCAAGAACCCTTTAACTTCATCTTCGTCTTTAAACGGCTGTGGCGCAACGAGATCACTATCCAAGTTATACCAGACTCCATTGATTTTTCTCATCACAACCCAATGTCTGCCTCTCCAGAGTCCACCATATCGCTTGACCGGAACATTCAACACAATACCCATTAGAGTATCTGCATCGAGATCAATCGAAGAAGCTCCATTACGCTTATCATGCCAATCAACACTCTTGCCTTTCCCTTCAAGAGCTGAGATCATCACGTTGACGTCGTAGTTCCCAGTGAGTGTATTGTGGTGAGGCTTGAGGAGGAAAGAGAGAGGCGTCCACGTTTCTTTGTTCGGATCATCGGCAACGAGCTTCTCTGCGATCGAGTTCAAGCTTTCCCGCGTGAATGCGTCCTTGTCCTGAGCAATAGCAAATACTCTCAATCGCTTACTTAGCTAATTTCACACCATCGGTGATTCTCTGGGAAATCGAGAAAGTAGATCGGAGGATGAGATTTTGAAACTGGAAAAGAAAATGGATCACCTGAAATAGATTGTTAAGGGCGTGCAAGAGGCAAAATTGCAATCGTTGTCGCTCGTGATAGATCTGCGATTCGCATGCCGCCATCTTCTGGCGAGTTTTCGGTGAAGAAATTAGGGTTTAACTTCAGAAACAAAGCAAAAGTTTTGATTTTTGATTTTTGATTTTTTTGGTCGATTTTTTTGGTCAGAAGCAACGGATTTGATTAGTCGATCATCCCTCCCTCATTTCCAGCTGAAGACGATAGGCTTGATGAGTAACAAACTGTGAGCCGTTTTGACATACGAAATATAACACACATGCCGTTTTTCTACATTGGTCACCGGCCCACTAAAAGACATCACAACGTCCCATATCTCCTAAAGAAAACAGTGTGCCGTCTCGACCTTTTTATGGCCCTTTTGGTTTATCAATCATTTTTGCTGCAAACATTTCTCTGCCTTTGTCTTTCCCGTCATATGTGCAAGAAGAGGCTCAAATTCTATGAACCGATCAGTAACAGATTGATCTATAATTGTGCAAGAAGAGGCTCACAAGCCCCTAATGTTGAAAATACATAATTTAGAAAAAGTTCAAATCACATCTCTCTGATAGTTCAATTAGTTTTAATTTTAGCAGAAACATTGACCATATGAAACAAAAAGCTTAAAATGAATTGACTATTGGCTATTAACTATTGAAGCATACAATTGTAATGAATTCCGCATATTGATATAGACGTTGAGAATATATATATATATATATATATACACATACGCATAAAAATGTCAAAAGAGTATTGAATTAGATGATACATTTGTGTTCATGAAGGCGCAGAGAAAGCTGACCAATGAGAGCCACACCGGATATTCTTTTAAGAGTGGCTGATTCCACTTCTGTGTTACGTAATATAATAATGAAAAGGGTACAGTATAATTTCCTGCATAATCTAGCTTCATAAATGTCTCACTACAAGACATTTGTTTGCCTTAGTAAGTTTTATTCAAAGTAATCACCTCATACTTATCTAGTTATGGCGATATATGTGGACAAAGCACTCAAGGAAATGGTAAACAAGGACCATAATGACTAAATCCGATTTGTGTTGTGGAGCTTGTAAACAAAATTAACAGAGCAGATTGATATTGGCTTATTCCCCAAAGGTGCAAAAGCTTTTATCAATCTGAATGAATTTTTGATTGATTTCTTATTTTTACTGTTAGTGGCTGTAAAATCAGTGAAAGCTCTTATCTCATGTGAGTTAAACTGTGAGAAACCGTGGAACCTGTGACTCTGGGAGAGCAGCTAGCAACAGTTGAAGCTTCTTCTCCTAAAGAAAGCTACAGAAAGAAAACAAAAACTGCACACTCCCTGCGCAGGCATTACCCTGTTCAGGTTCAAAGGGACTTTCTCAGCCTGGTTCCTGGATAACCCGCGCTTCTCCGCGGGCTATCCTGGTTCAAGCACCCCTGGTGCTTTCGCATGTCAATTTCACCAGCCAAATCACACAGATAAAAGTATTGAAAAACATCAACTTAGCATTGTCTTTATTACTGACTCTGACTCCAAGGAACAGAATAAAACATAAGACGAAAGATAGTTCTAAAGTTAACAAGACATAGACTACTAAAAGCTTACCAACATTTTGGGACTTATTCATGTATAATCCAACATGCATCAGGACTTGGGTAAGCGAGGTCTTGCTTCAACACTTTCCCTGATGAAGTAGAAGAAAAAAATAAAGATGACAAAAGACAGAGATCACAGTAAGGACAACATTGACTAAGATGTTGTTAGTTAAGCCATTAACATTACGCAAACTAACCTTTTTACTTCTGAGCAGACTTGACATAGCTCTCTGGCAAATAGATTTCGCCGCCTACTTCACCGTGCTGCTCTCCGCTAATGGTTTTCCTTGCGACTTTGAACTCTTCGCTCATAGCCTCCATTCCTCTTCTCACGGCTTCTTCAGCAGTGCCATAACCATTCTCCTCTGCGTACTTTCGGATGTCTTCTGTTATCTTCATAGAGCAGAACTTCGGTCCACACATGGAGCAAAAGTGAGCTACCTTGGCTCCATCAGCAGGGAGAGTCTCATCATGGAAAGACATAGCAGTCATAGGGTCCAAAGACAGAGCAAACTGATCCATCCATCTGAACTCAAACCGCGCCTTGCTCAGCGCATCATCCCACGCCTGAGCATGTGGATGCTGTTTAGCTAGATCAGCCGCATGAGCAGCGATCTTGTAAGCTATAACCCCGGCCTTCACATCGTCCCTGTTTGGTAACCCGAGGTGCTCTTTCGGTGTCACGTAGCAAAGAAGAGCTGTGCCTAAAGCTCCGATATTGGCAGCTCCAATGGCGGAAGTAATGTGATCATATCCAGGAGCGATATCAGTAGTCAAAGGACCAAGAGTGTAGAACGGTGCCTCGTTACACCATTCAAGCTGCTTCTGCATGTTCTCTGGGATCTTGTGCATTGGGACATGCCCTGGTCCTTCATTCATCACCTGAGAAAACAAATTAAACAGTATTGAGAATATGTATGCAAATACAAACTGTATGAATTAGATATAAGTAGTTGTAGTATACCTGCACATCTTTCTCCCATGCTCGGCGAGTTAGCTCGCCTTGAGTAAGAAGCTCTGCGAACTGAGCAGTATCGTTAGCATCATAGATCGAGCCAGGTCTGAGACCATCACCAATAGAGAGAGCCACATCATACTGGTTACATATGTCAAGAATATCATCCCAATGCTCGTAAGCAAAGTTCTCCTTGTGGTAAGCCAAGCACCATTTAGCATGAATGGATCCTCCACGAGAAACGATCCCCGTCATTCTCTTAGCTGTTAAAGGAATGTAACGCAGCAAAACTCCAGCATGGATCGTGAAATAGTCCACACCTTGCTCAGCTTGCTCAATGAGAGTCTCTCTAAACACTTCCCAGCTAAGATTCTCAGCGATCCCATCCACTTTCTCGAGCGCTTGATAGATAGGGACGGTGCCAACGGGAACAGCAGAGTTCCTCAGGATCCATTCTCGTGTCTCGTGGATGTGACGACCAGTAGAAAGATCCATGATTGTATCAGCTCCCCACATTGTTGCCCACTGAACCTTGTAGACTTCCTCTTCGATGGAGCTCGCAACAGCAGAGTTTCCGATATTGGCATTGACCTTGACCAAGAACTTCCTTCCGACGATCATCGGCTCCAGCTCCAGATGCTTCTTGTTGGAAGGGATGATCGCTCTCCCGCGCGCGACTTCTGATCTTACGAACTCAGGGTCTAGCTTCTCCCTGGTGGCACAGTAGAGCATCTCCTCGGTTATGATTCCTTGCTTAGCGTAATACATTTGAGTGAACCTTGGTGTTCCAAGCTTCTCTCTGCGATCAATCCACTCCTTCCTTAGCTTAGCAAGCCCTGTGTTTGGTAAAGTTTCAATTTTTTTTTAATTGATAAGTCACATAGAGAGTGAAAACACAAGAGTCGAGAGTGTCACATACCAATGTGTGGGTTAACATTTTGAGGGCCACTAGTGTCATAGTTGTCAAAAGCTGGCTCACCACCAGATAAATGCACACGTCGAAAAGGAACCTTAAGGACATGGCCAGTTTCTTCATGAACAACCTCCCTGAAACAAACCAAAACCAAATGATTCAACTCTTTCCAACAAAGTTATGAAAAAAAAAAATGTGAATTGGGTGAAGGAGATACATGTTTTCTTTAGTGCTTTTGGGAAAGCATTCCTCAAAAGATGGGATTGGCTGAAAATCAGGAGAAGAAGGATCGATGGTGTGTTTCCTCTGCTTGGCTCTCTCTGAGTTAGTCGTTGGGGGATCAAACGTCAACGTGGCTCGTGTGGCTGTTGCGTCCTTCTTGAATCGGACTGCAGCGGATTGAACAACCGCATCGAATCCAGGTGTTAAGGAGGAGTTTGGGAGTTTTGGCCATGAGGAGTGGGTTTTGTTGTTGTTGCATACGACTGACATCAAGGTGCTGTGTACGGAAGCCATAGCTGCAAAGATATACGAGACAAGATATAAACATCACAATATATACTTGGAGAAGAAGAAGACGATCAATATATGAATCAATCACCACCGTTCAATGGAATTCACAAACGTAGCATATACATGCACATTCATATCAGATTTTCTGGAGAAAATTTCAACAATTCTCGATTAAACGAATCAACAAACAAAACGGTTCGAATTACATGCACATTCATGATATGAACAATGGATCAAAGAAGGGAAAGAGAGGATTCGAACCTGGATCTGACGAATGAAGAAGGATGACTCGTTAGAACTCAATCGGCGGCACACTGAGTCACTGACTAACTCTGAGGAAAAGAGAAGAGAGAAATGTTTGGGTCCTTAAAATGAGAGTGCTTTGCTTACGTGTCCGTTCCTCCCAGATATTTTTGTCAGCGTCCTATGATAAGATACGTGAGGAGGAGATTACTAATACAGCACCTTTCTTGAATTACAACCCTTAGTTTTATTTTTATTTATTTTTAGTTTTCTTTATTGAATAACATCCGTTGGTTTCTAGGTTAAATTATTACAAATTTCATTTTGTTTTTGTTTATAGGATTAGAGGGAATAAATAAAATAATTATTGCAATTATTTGCTTTTAGTGATGATGCCGAAAGAACTTTAATTAAGAAGGTTACAAAATACATCAACACGATCGAATTTGAATCGATTTTTTTTTTTTCCACAAACTGATATATCTATTAACTTAATCGATTTAAACGTATCTCTCTACTCACAAAAATAAACAAATCAAAGTTCCTGAAACCGAAAACTCAAAATTGACAAAATGTACAGGTATTTAAAAAAAATGACACTATGAGAAATCTCCCTTGTTATTTACATCTGTCTCTAAACCTTAAAAGGCTATACATGAAGATTCTGATATATTAATATGAAGTCATCAACAGTATTAGAACTAGAGATATATCACTAGATAGCATAAGATTGATAATCAATTCAGAAAATGGCAAAAAGTATTTAAGAGTGTCAACATGTAAATATTTAACCATCCATCTAGTCCATTCTATCTTTATGGTCTTGTTCAATTATTTTATTTATTCTTAATTAAAAAATACACTTTTTTTTAATTGAATACAACAATTATTTATTTTGTCTTTGATTTTTAATAGTAATTGTTTATTAATATTAGAATATAGAGTAATATCACTAAATGGCGAAAGATTGGTAGTAAAGTAGGAAATCGATAATAGTATTTTTGAATTGAAGCATTAAAATATTTTGCCACACTTTTTGACAATTTTATCCTTATGCGCTAGCTGATTTATTTTTATAAAAATCTGAATATTATATTCAATATCTTAGGATAGCGTACAAGGGACAACGAAATTATCACGTTGGTGACTTAAACTAAAAATGTTCTCATTTATTTTTTTGTATAGCGAGTGTAGCAGCATATTTAATAACCCGCCCTGTTGCCTACACAAAATCCTAAAGCTTCACTTTTCTGTTTGCTCTCTCGAATTCCCCGATAAACCTAAAGCAAACCAGAGATAGAAGAACGATAGATTATTCTCCGGTGAAATATAGCGACTCACCACCGGGACTTGATTATTCAGGTAACCTCCTTCGGTCAGTTGTGTACGTGATTTTCCACGTTTTTGTAATATTAATTTTGACTCCAAATCTTTAGTCAAATCTTTTTCGGGTGATTTACCGTTGTTTCAATCGATAGTGGAAAGTGATTTCCCATTTGGATTGTTTTTCAATATTGGATTTTCCCAGAAATATCACCTAAGTGTCAAAATATTAGCTCTTGAAACCAGATCTTCAACAATTCAAACAAAATCTTAGATCTCCAAACCAGATCTTCACATGCATATATGCACATCCGCTCCAATGGTTAGCTAGATAAGCTTTGGGATCTCGACTCTTCCGGACAGGTAACTTCATTATAAACCTGGGTAGCCCTGTATATTACGTTATAGATCTCCAACAATGTAATCAGATACCCAAATATATGGATGTCTAAGTTTGAGTGTGTGGCCTTATAAATCAGTATGCGGGTGTCCTTTTGTAGGTGGCCATGACTTCAATAATCGAAGGCGAATTCGATGGAACCCCCCAAAGTGCCTTCACATGGGCCGATGAAGTAGATGACCCCAAGGTGGATCACATGGAGATGCTATCTTCACCTTGCAGTCTTGTTTGTTCTTGAATACACGCCCTGAATACAGTTCATCTCCCTTATATGCCACATCCAATATGACATTCTCTGTTTGATTCAATCCTGAGAAAATTCGTCCATCAAATACATTAGATGTCTTTAACTTTTATTACTCTTTAATGTAATGTTCTCTTAGCAGCCATTCAGATAATCGTCCATCATATTTAATAACACTTCACTAATATTAATAGAGAGCTATATAGCCTCATATACTAACATATATTATAGTTATAGGAGCAACATAAAATCTATGAAAGAAAATATCACACTATAATATAATTTACGGGCACGTGATCCGCTGAATAAATATAACAATATATGGAACAACATAACTTTTGGAGACGAATATAGCACTCCATTAATGTTAATAGACATCTACAATACACTTATATCATTACAAATCTCCATTATTTTCAAATAACCCGTTACAAGTTTATATCTGGCCCCCACCAAGTTTATATCCATCCAGCAATACAAATCGCCACACCCCCCCCCCCCCCCCCCCCCCCCCCCCCCCCCCCCCCCCCCCTTTCATCCACCACCACCCCTGTTCTGCCCGCACCAGATCGCTGAGGTCTTTCCATAGTTGCACCATTGTTGATAACCCCTAACAATGTCAGTTTTACGAGAATGTTGTTATTAATAACAACAACACTTCAAATTAATACATAGATATTCATAAACGACATGCTCGGATTCAGAATATACGTTTACCTGATTAATTCGGTTGTAGCGCTATATAAAATTAGAAGCAGGGAACTAATATTTATGGACACTCCACAAACCTAGGTGTACCCAGATATTTTCATTTTCCCACCTTGTTCCTCAAAAATTTTTGTTGTAGCATTATTAATGGCATTAACTAGCCATCATCTCATACTATTTCATGTATACGTCAGGCGGCGATGAGACTATCTTGTCTCTTCATTTAATGCCCTGGTTATCTGATTCATCTCGCCAATATCTCGCCCAAATTAATTTAATTGTTCTAGACATATTCAGGTTAATAGTCAGAACCACGCACAGTCCATGGCACTCCGCGTAACTAGATGAACTTGGTTTTTTTTTTTCAACATCTTTTAGCCATTTCCTTCTAGCGTATGAATGATTTGTTGTTTTGCTAATTATGTACTCAAATTTAGCCATCCACCTCTTTCTCCCTAGAATATATCACATATTGCTTTTTTTGAAGTAATTCTCTTTTTTTTTTCTTCACCCATTACCTATCACATAACACAAATTCTTCAGATTTAAAATTTTAGGTTTAGAATTCTTTGACATGTTTCAAATTACCAGAGATCTCAATAATTCGAGTTTCTAGATGTTATGTATTACCACTTTAGGGATCTCATTGATTTTTATATTATTATCATTAATAATTCATTATAAACCGCTATTACATATAGTACACTTATGAACATAAACAGCCATCAGTTCAAATAACACGATATAATATAATTTACGTGATATGTCTCATACAATAACTATCATCATGCTAAATAACCCTCCAAACACGATAATAACTCTTTGTCAATGTGAATAGACAACTATAATATTTTATAGACTTACATTTTACTCACTGTACTCATATATCATTATAAAGTCCCATCATATCAAATAACACGCTATAATATAATATATACATACATTTTTCATGTATTTAATGTATATCTCCATTCTCTGAGTCATCGAGTACTGGAACTGCATTCCTGCCAAACAAGAATGGGGTTTCCCATCAACATCCACCTTAACCCCTGGGAATTTAGTATTAGAGGAGGTCTCCACCAATATGGTCAGCACAAAATCAACAATTATATCAGTTCACTTTACTTTATCTATTTGTCCACGTTCACTTCATTCACTACAACAACCACGCGCGTACAATGGCACGATATGTAATTAATTGAAGCAAAAATTTTTTTTTTGGTATCCTTTAGTCAAATCCTTCTAGCACATAAGTCTCTTGTTATTTTCTTAATAAAATCTCCAAACATTGCTATCCACCTCTTTATCCCTTAGAACTATATGTTTAAAAAGACTTATAATTAGAAAATGTGAGCTATTAACTTTAAATTTTTCTTGGGAAATACTATCAAATGGCAAATGATCGATAGTAAATTAACAATTCAATATAAACCATTTTTTAGGTCTAAGCATTAAAATATTTCACCACTTTTCTTGACAATTTTACCTTTACGCGCTAGCTGATTTATTTTTAGAAAAATCTGATCACTATATTCAATATCTTAGGATAGCGTACAAGGGATAATGAAATTATCACATTGGTGATTTAAACTAAAAATGTTCTCATTCATTTTCTGTATGGCGAGTGTAGCAGCATATTTAATAACCCGCCCTGTTGCTTACACGGAACCCTAAAGCCTCACTTCACTGTTTGCTTTCTCGAATCCCCTGATAAACCCAAAGCAAACTAGAGACTGATGAACGATAAACTATTCTCTGGTGAAATAAAGCGACTCACCCACTGGGAGTTGATTATTTAGGTAACCTCATTCGGTCGGTTGTGTACGTGAATTTCCATGTTTTTGCACTATTAATTTTGACTCCAAATCTTAAGTCAAATTTTTTTTTGGGTGATTTACCGTTCTTTCAGTCGATAGTGGGAAGTGATTCCTTGAATTATTTTTCAATCTCAGATTTTTCCAGAAATATCACCTAAGTGTCAAAATATTAGGTCTCGAAACCAGATCTTCAAAAATTCAAACAAAATCTTAGATCTCCAAACCAGATCTTCACATGCATATATGCACATCCGCTCTGGTTTATAGTCATCCATTACTCTAGTTAGACTCCAATGGTTAACTAGATAAGCTTTGGGATCTCGACTCTTCCGGACAGGAAACTTCATTATAAACCCGGGTAGCCCTGTATCTTATGTTATAGATCTTCAACAATGTAATCAGATACCCAAATATATGGATGTATAAGTTTGAGCGTGTTGCCTTATAAATCAGTATACGGGTGTTCTTTTGTAGGTGGCCGTGACTTCAATAATCGAAGGCGAATTCGATGGAACCCCCTAAAGTGCCTTCGCATGGGCCGATGAAGTAGATGATCCCAAGGTGGATCACATAGAGATGCTATCTTCACCTTGCAGTCTTGTTTGTTCCTATTTATGGCATGAACAGCTATCTTCACCTTGCAGTCTTGTTTGTTCTTGAACACACACCCCAAATACAGCTCATCTCCCTTATATGCCACATCCAATATGTCATTCTCTGTTTGATCCAATCCTGAGAAAACCCGTCCATCAAATACATTATATTTCTTTAACTTTTTTTACTCTTCAATGTAGTGTTCTTTTAGCAGCCATTCAGATAATCATCCACCATATTTAATGGCACTCCATTAATATTAATAGACAGCTATATAGCCTCACATACTAACATATATTATAGTTATAAGAGAAACATAAAAATCCATGAAAGAAAATAACACACTATAATATAATTTACAGGTACGCGATCCGCTGAGTAAATATAACAATCTATGGAACAACATAACTTTTGGAGACCAATATAGCACTCCGTTAGTGTTAATAGACATCTACAATACACTTATATCATTACAAATCTTCATCATTTTCAAATAACCTGTTACAAGTTTATATCTGGCCGGCACCAAGTTTATATCCATCCAGCAACATAAATTGCCACCCCCCCCCCCCCCCCCCCCCCCCATGTATTTTTCATCCACCACCCCTGTTCTGCCCACACCGGATCGCTGAAAACTTCCCAGAGTTGCACCATTGTTGATAACCCCTAACAATGTCAGTTTTACAAGAATGTTGTTATTAATAACAGCAACACTTCAAGTTAAGATATATATATTCATAAACGACATGTCCGGATTCAGAATATACGTTTACCTGATTAATCCAGTTGTAGCGCTATATGAAATTAGAAGCAGGGAACTAGTATTTATGGATACTCCACAAACCTAGGTGTACCCAGATATTTTCATTTTCCCACCCTGTTTCTCGAAAATTCTTGTTATAGCATTACTATATCACATTAACTAGCCATCACCTCATACTATTTCATACATACATTAGATGACGACGAGAATATCCCGTCTTCTCATTTAATGCCAAACCGAGGGTTATCTGATTTTGCTAACACCTTTCTTTACTTTATTCATTTGTACATATTTAGTTAATTCACGATGATAACCACGCGCGGACGATGACACGAAATGTAATAAGTTGAACTAAAATATTTTTTTAGTATTTTTTAACTATTTCTTTCTAACACATTAGCCTCTTGTTATTTTTCTAATAAAATCTCCACACTTTAGTCATCCCCTTTTTATCCTATTTTTCTTTAGGTAACACCTAGTTATATATAGATAGGTATGTGTAATTCCAGTTCAAGGATGCCACTGTAATTAAAAACAGATAATCTATTGGACTCATATACTATATTTTTACTTTACGGTTTCCCTTGACCCCCTCTAGTCTTTTACGGACTCATATACAAGTGATAAACCATACAAAATTACAAAATGGTTCTCAATATATGTTTCTTCACTCTTTTCGAAAGCGACATTGATATTTTGTTTTGTCCATATATTGAGATTTGATATTTCAAATATCCTTTGAAAGTACATGACTTAATTATTTACTGAAATCAAATACAGGCGGTATTCATTTTTTATGGGCGATATTCTTTAAAAGAACCAAAAAAGGATTGTTCAATCATGTTCATATCTTGAAAAATCGGAAATGATTATAAAAAAAAGAAGAAAAAAATCATCTAGGAATAGAAAAATTCTTCTTGATTAAAAAGACAATCTTACAAGTAACAACCATTGACGTGTTTATATTTGTATATTTGGATACATTATATTATCTTTATCTATATCAATCCAACTGTGGTCACAAAGAAATTGTCATGGGTTCTTCTCTGGGCTTACAAATGTCTAAAAGCGTAAAATTAAGAAAAATGAGTAGTAAATGCAAAAAACTGAGAAACAACGGGGACTAGTCTGCAAATTAAATTACATATTAATATAGTGATCAAAATTCAAAAGTTGTAAGAAAGACAAGAATCTTCGAAGAACATGTATGCAACTAACTCCCTCGTTTTTATCTTTTGTCTTCCCCGCACGATCCGATCCGTACATAAACAGTCCCTCCCTACCATACCGAAGTTACTAAAAAAGAAAAACCCCAAAAAAAGAGAGGAAATTTCTAAATCTGCAAAAAAAACCCTCCAAAAATCAAACTAGTTTTTTTTGACTGGTTATCGTTTCAAAGGTAAGCTTGACCTCTCTTATTTGGCTTCATCTTTCTTTCTCTTCATGAAATTTTTGATTCTTTTCAATTTTTGATAATTCTGAGTTTTTCAGGGTTTGTTTGAGTAGTAGAAGAATAAGAAGAAATGATGGGAATCGATGCTAAAGATGTCTGTGTGATCGTCTGGAAAATCATAAGATATTCGACGAACACAACTTGCAGATGCGTGAAGAGATATCCAGTTGCTTCGGGTGTTTCAGCGTTTATGATCCTCTTGTACACTTTTCTTCCTTGGCTTTTCTATCTCTTGCTCTGTTCTTCTCCGTTGATAGCTTCTGCTTCGTTTTATCTCCGGAATCACCTGAGTTCGAAGATCGGTGACTCCTCGGAGGAGGAAAATAGAACGGATCGTGAGTTATCCTCTGTTTCCGGTGAGGGAGGAACAGCGAAGGCTGAGTTAAAGCACCAAAGAAGTGTTCGACGAAACGCGAGAAGGAAAGTTGAAGAAGTCGGGAAAGATTGGGACTCGTCTCGGGCTAGCGAGGACGAGAGAGGAAAAGTTATTATGACAACTCTCTACGGTGAATTACCGGAGACGACCATCACTCAAGATCTGGAGACGACGTTCAAGAGAGAGAGGACGTTGCTTGTAGGAAAAGAAAGCTTCGCTGAGTCTAACCTTGACAGCGAAGGATACGTTGTTGTTGTGGATCCTTTGGAGAGGGTGATAAGTGTTGGTGGTGATGTTGAAACTGAAGTAGAATGTTCATCATCGTCATCAGAGGAAGAAGAAGAAGAGGAAGAAGAGAAAGATACAAACGCGGTCATAGTAGCGTGGACAGAGGATGATCAGAAGAATCTAATGGATCTTGGGACATCCGAGATCGAAAGAAACAAGAGGCTAGAGAATTTGATCTCAAGAAGAAGGTCAAGGAGATTGTTCTTGCTTGCAGCTGAGAGAAGCTTGATGGATATGGAGGTTCCTAGGATCTGTGTTGGTCGGAACTACTACGGTTTGGATAATAAAGAAAGCTATGAAATCGATGGGCTTCTCATGCCAGGCTCTGCACCTTCTGTGTTATTACCGAGAAGAAACCCATTTGATCTTCCTTATGATCCACATGAAGAGAAGCCTAACCTCACAGGAGACAGTTTCCAGCAAGAGTTTGCAGAGTCTAACCCTAAAGATAATATCTTCTTCTGCCGCCATGAGAGCTTCCATCACAGAGTCTTCCCATCAGAATCTCAAAAAGATTCCACATTTGAGTCTTTGTGGAAAAAGACTGTTGATGGTAGGCCTAAGCCACTTCTAGGTATATGCTCTTTCTTTCTTTAAGTTGTTGTAACATTGAGAATCTTGGAAGAAGCTTCTTTGACCTTTTTACTAGTCTGTTTCTTGCATGTTACGGATAAAGATTATGATTTTCTTGCAGATAGCGAAGATCAACTTCCTGTAATGAAAGAAAGAGATCTTACAAGAGGGAAAGGAAGTGATATGGAGGCAGGGGAGGTACGGATAGAGACTGATTCAATCAGAAACGACGATAGTGAATCCAACGCGACGCTCTCTCCGCGAGAAAGAGAGAAAGATTTCAATGTCTCTGACCAGTCAGATGCTTCTGAGACTTTCTGCAGACGAAACGATCGTGTAGGGAAATCTCTGGCCGGTTTAGTGCCTAGAAGCAGTGGTTCGAGCTCGCTAGCGAATGCGAGGCAAAGATACATGGAGCATTTTGGTTACAGCACAAGGAAATGTCACATGGTGTCACATTCTGTTGACTCTGATCTTCAAGTTGAGGTATCTGAGCTCGGATCACATCCTACTTCGGTTGATGGGAATGACTCATCTGATGAAGAGAGATCTTTGTTTGTTTACGAATCGGAGATTGGAAAGGCTGATCAAGATCTAAATGAAACAGAGTCTTTAGCTTCTCCAGAGATTGAAGACGCAAGAAAATTGGAGCTAATGGTTCCTCAACTTGATGAAGCTTTCTCCAAAGAAGCAGAGGTGAGTTCATGTTTCTTAAATCTGGTTTCATGGAAATGGCTAAGTAATTTTTTTTTTCTTAAAAGTGTTGAGACTTTGAATATAACTTTGCAACTTTTTATTTGTCAGGAGTTAAAGAAACTTCTTGAAAACTCAGCTGATGAGATAAAGATAAGTTATGACTCAGACGCGCCTGAACCATCGGAGAGGAATGATCAAGCATCTGGGAGAAATGATGGAGAAGAGATACAACAAACTTCTGATGTAAATCATAATGGAGACTCTGAAGAATCTGCTACTTCTCCAAGATCAGTATTACCAGACATGCTGTCTGAAAGCCAAACTCATTCTGAGGATCTTGATCAAACATCAGATGGTGAGCTTCGCAATGTGGATCCACCTGCAGAACCATCTCATAATCAGGAACATTCCGAGACAACTGAGGAAACTACAGTAGAAACGGTTTGTTCGGATGCAACAGGAACAATTCAGGAGAATCAAGAGGTTTGAATTATGCTCTGTATTTACTTAAACCAAAAAAATGTCGAATTCTTGTTTTGCTTATCATTGAACATGACACTATCAGAGATCTGAAGAAAGGTTCATCAATGATGAGTCTAAATCTGCAGAAGGCCACAGATCAATGTCCATTGATCCATTGGCTAAAGAACTTAAAGACAATCAAACCGATGATGAACTGGTAAGCTCAGACTAAGCTTCAGATAATTTTCTTTTGAAACTCAAGAGGGCTTTTATAAGCTTTGGTTCTAAAAGCCACAAGGAACACAAAACGTCATCTGAATATTTTTCCTCTGTTCTACAGCTTTGATGCAGATACTTGATCGCATTCTTACGGAAAAGTCAACCAATTCATCTTGGTTTATAGGATCAAACACACCAATATAGCTCCAGAGACCACTTTTACAGGTGTTACTATGAGTACAAAACAAATGGGTGAAATATACAATCTTGTGTAGATAGGAACTTTATGTTTGCGTTGTATCATCAAAATGTATGTTTTTATGCAAAAGTATAGTGAGACAGTGTATAGGTTTCTTGTGTGTGTCTTTGCTTCCTTAGATCGAACGGCAATTGAGGAGATCATCCTTAAACCTGTTTTGTCTTCTTCGGCTACATATATTTTCGCGTGCTTAAATTACAAATATGATTTTCTCTTTTAGCTTATACGGTAAATAAAACTCATGAAATAATTGTAAAGTAAAGTAAATATTGGGGATAAAACTTAGAATTGTAAAGTAAATATTGGAGATAAAATATTATTTGATGAAAATTATGTCCTTACTCTCCTCCAAGTTCCATTTGACACTGAGACACTTTATAACCTAACCAACTCATTGAAAATTTAGTCCCATAATCTTCGGTAAACAAACACAAAAACAGCAAAAAGAAAAATGTAAGACTAAATTCCTTGAATAATTACGAATCAACTATTCAATTGAGAAAAGAAGTTGCATTTACTGCAACAGTAATTTTAGCCGTCATATATAATAGATCATCATATTATATAGAAGGATAAGAATCATATAATATAAGATCAAATTGTTTTTTCACATGAGGTTAATATGTTTTGATCGTAGTGGATTTCAAGTTGAGAAATGATGTGAACATGCGATTCATGTTAGGGAAAAAAGAACAAAAAAAATTAAATTCGAAATTGCAGAGAAACCACAATGGAGTCTTGTACATGAATCAAGTCGTGCTTAATTTAAAACAAATATAAAAAGAAAGAAAAGGAACTAGGGAAGCAAATTTTAATCCTCAAAGACTCCATTGCCGAGTCCATTTCCAGTACAAGAAAGCGTGCACCCTGAATATGACATTGCAAGTCGACGTCTCGTTGTAATGCATCAGTGTCTCCTCAACAAGTTGTAACCATTTAGGGATTTCGAAAAGTGTAGCTTCACACTCTTCAACAATTATCTCCATCTCCTTCAAACTCGGAAAATAGTCCAAGAAATGCTTTACCATGTGCACCTCTCTAATTGTTCCTCTAAACCCTGAAACCTGTATCTTCTTCACAGGACAAGACATGAGCGACCGACCTTTGTATTGAAGTTAAACTTGATTTTGGATTAAGCTTAATTTTGGGTTTATAAAATAATTATTAGTTATTAGATTAGGCCCAAAATTAAGCTCAAGTTCTAGAATCTCTAGAAACATCACTAAAAATCATCATCTTTCTTAAATGTTCTAGAGAATTCTATTAGTTAAATATCTAAATAATTCTATAGATAATTCTAGATGTTGTAGTTAAAATTCTAGATATTATTGTAGAAAATTCTAGAGATTAGGAGAATGTTTGTAAGATATTTTGTAATAAGTGGAGCCTATAAATAGCCCACTACTCCATCATTTGTAAACAAGAGAAGTTGAACAAATAAAAAAAGAGTGTTCTTCATAAGTTCTCTTATTCTCTCTAAAGTTCCTTCAAGTTTTCTCTAAGTATTCTTTCATCTTATTATTCATACTTAGAGGGTCTTTGTTTCTTTCGGATCTCTCGGGTATTACGGTCTTGGGCTAGTGCTTGGCACTATCGGTGTTTTCTTTACATGGTATCAGAGCCATTCTGATCTGGTTCTTTTTCAAGATCGGATTAATTGAGATCTCAGATTTACTCTAAGTATGGAGTCAATGGGTCGCGTTGTTGGGTTGGGAATGGAGATTCTAAACCAATCCAATTACCGGTTATGGAAGTCATGCATGGAGTCATACTTGGTGAGTGAGGACTTATGGGATGTCGTCGGCGGCAGTAGCACAACACCACCAAGGGGAGCTGCTGCGACAGCGGAAGCGACAAAGGAGTGGACACGGAAGAATGCCAAGGCGGAGTTTGCATTGAAGAGGTCAATATCCTCGGGAGTCTTTGAGCATGTCTCAAGTTGCACATCCGCTAGTTCCATTTGGAAGGCGTTAGATCAGTTGTTCAACAAGAAGAATGAAGCTCGGCTACAACTGTTAGAGAACGAGTTGGCGAATGCAAAGCAGGGGGAGTCTTCAATCTCAGAGTTTTTCATCAAGGTAAAGAATCTTCGCTCAGAGATTAATACTCTAAATCCGGAGGAGTCAATTTCTGAAGCACGTTTAAAACGGTATATTATTCGAGGTCTACGACCTGAGTATACACCGTTTGTGACTTCGGTTCAAGGATGGGCTACACAACCTTCCTTGGAGGAGTTCGAGAACCTGCTAGCTTCGCAAGAGTCATTAGCTACGCAAATGGCAGGAGTCAAAATCCATGATGACTCGGGGAGCGCCTTTGTAGCTCGGAAGCAACACAACTTCAAAGCCAAATCCAAATACGATGGTGCAAAGAACATCGATGGACCGGAAGGATCTTCTACTGGAGATAAGAAGCGATTCAAGTGCTACCGGTGTGGAAAGCTTGGGCACTTCAAAAAGGATTGTCGAGTCAAGCTGAAGGAGACAAATATGGCAGAATCAAAAGGTCATATTGAAGACGAAGAATGGGGGAAATGCTTCACGGTGGAGGCTGCATCTTCAGGTATATCCACAACTAAAAATCTTGAAAATGATTGGATTGTGGATTCGGGTTGTAGCCACCATATTACCGGAGACGAGAAGCTATTTTCTAGTCTTCAGCGCCATGATGGAAAAGAAGCCATAATTACCGCGGATAATTCAGTTCACCGGGTCGAGAAGGAAGGGACTGTTGTCATTGAAGGAGAAGATGGAAGCCCTATCACCCTCAAGAATGTATACCATGTCCCTGGAGTAAGGAAGAATCTTCTCTCTGTGGTGAATGCAGTAGACTCAGGTAACTACGTTTTATTTGGCCCAAGAGACGTCAAATTCTTGAAGAATATTAAAGAGTTAAAGGCGGATGTGGTTCACACCGGATCGCGGGTTAAGGATCTATATGTCTTATCTGCGTCCAACTCATACGTGGAGAAGATGAGTACAAACGACAATGCCTCTATATGGCATGCTCGGCTTGGTCATATAAACATGACTAAGCTAAAGGTTATGGTGAATAAGGAGTTGGTAAATGGGCTTCCGAAGCTGAAGATCCAAGATGAAGGAAAGCTTTGTGAAGGTTGTCAATATGGAAAATCACATAGACTTCCATTTGACAATTCTACTTCACGGTGCAGTGCTCTGTTGGAGAGGATCCATAGTGATTTGATGGGTCCTACAAGAACACCCTCATATTCCGGGTTTCGGTACATGTTGCTGTTCATTGATGACTTCTCACGGCACACTTGGGTATACTTTGTGAAGGAAAAATCAGAAGTATTCTCTAAATTTCAAGAATTCAAGGTTACCGTGGAAGGGGAGCTGGGTCGGAGAATCAAGACCTTAAGGACAGATAATGGAGGGGAGTTCATGTCCAAGGAGTTTCTCTCTTTTTGTCAAAAGCATGGAATAAAGAGAGAGTTTACTTGTCCGTATACACCTCAACAAAATGGAGTAGCGGAAAGGAAGATTCGACATCTAACTGAGACGTGCAGAAGCTGGCTATATGGGAAGGATCTGCCTAAAGCCTTGTGGGCGGAAGGCATGAGATGTGCAGTGTACGTCATAAATCGGATGCCACTCAGCCCAAATAACATGAAGTCTCCGTATGAGATGATTCATGGGAAGAAGCCGTCAGTGAAACATCTCAGGATATTTGGATCAGTCTGCTACGTCCATGTGTTTGATTCTCAAAGAACCAAGTTGGAGGCAAAGGCGAAGAAGTGCATCTTCGTTGGCTATGACGAACAAAGAAAAGGGTGGAGGTGTATGGATCCAGAGACACACAGGTACGTAGTGTCTCGAGATGTTGTTTTTGATGAAGTTTCCTCATTCTATGGGCCACCTCAAGTTTTAGTTGAGCAAGAAGGTGGGAGTTCCTCCAAGAGTGATAAACCAGCTCTGAGTAAGGAAAAAGGTCCTGAAGAAGAGATGCAAGGTGAAAGGAGGAGCACTGATCAAGAGGAGGATGAGGAGGAACATCATGGTTCTACGGCTAGTCAAAGGCCTAAAAGGGACATCATTAAACCTGCTCGGTTCAGAGATCCAAAGTTTGTTACTACCTTCTCGTGCTACTTTGCAGCTCCATTAGATGAAGATGAGCCAACATCTTATGATGAAGCAAAAGGTGTTGACGAGTGGGAAAACGCAATGAAGGAGGAGATGAATGCTCTCATGAAGAACGAAACTTGGGATTTGGTTCCAAAAACCCAAGAATGCCCAACCTGTTTCTTGTAAATGGGTGTACCGGATCAAGCGCAAAACAGATGGAAGCGTTGATAGATTCAAAGCAAGGTTGGTTGCTCGGGGATTCTCTCAAAAGTATGGAGAAGACTATGATGAGACCTTCAGCCCTGTAGCCAAGATGACTACGGTACGTTCTCTCTTATCTTTGGCTGCAAGTTTTGGTTGGAAGTTATGGCAATTAGACGTGAAGAATGCTTTTCTATATGGAGAGCTTGACAAGGAAATCCTGATGGAGCAGCCACTTGGTTTTATATCACGAGAGCATCCTGATTATGTGTGTAAGCTGAAGAAGGCCTTGTATGGGTTAAAACAAGCTCCACGAGCCTGGTATGGAAAGCTTGCTCAGTTTCTTCAGTTCTGCGGTTATGTGGCATCAAACTCTGATCCGAGTCTATTCTTCAAGAAGAATGGAGGAGTCCACGTGGTAGTTCTCCTTTACGTGGATGATATGATAATTACCGGGAATGATGATGCAGAAATTACTCGTTTACAAGAGGATATGTCGATAAGGTTTGAGATGAAGAAGTTGGGAGAGCTCAACAACTTTCTCGGTTTGGAGGTGGAAAGGGTAAAGGGTGGAATATTCATCGGCCAACAAAGCTATGCAAGAAGAATCGTTGAGAAGTTTGGAGTACACGAAGGAAAGACACGCTCTACTCCAATGGATGTCAACATAAAGCTTAAACGCGATGAAGGGTCCTTACTACCTGATCCTCGGCCTTATCGCTCTCTTGTAGGAAGTCTTTTATACTTAACCATTACAAGACCTGACATTGCCTTCGCGGTAGGTCTTGTAAGTCGGTTTATGCAGGCACCAAGGAAGCCACATCTAGAAAGCGGCAAAGAAGATATTAAAGTATGTGAAGACAACTCTTGGCATGGGTCTGGTGTACAAGTATAATGCCAAGGTCTCTCTTTATGGCTTCACGGATGCTGACTTTGGTGGAGATCTTGATGATCGGAAATCAACTTCAGGCTATGTTTTCCTATGTGGGAACACAAGTGTCTCATGGTGCAGTAAGAAGCAAGCAACGGTGTCGTTATCTACAACTGAAGCAGAGTATAAAGCGTCAACTCTAGCAGCTCAAGAGTGTATTTGGCTTCAGAGACTCCTTGAAGATCTGTTCGAGCCAATCAATAAGCCAATTGCAATTTATGGAGATAATCAAAGTGCGATCAAGCTGGCCAATAATCCGGTGTTCCATGGGAGGACTAAACACATTGAGTTAGAGCATCACTTCATAAAAGAGAAGGTGCTTGATGGGACAATTGAAGCTTTGGAAGTTCGAAGCGAGGACAACGTTGCGGATATCTTCACCAAGTCATTACCAAAAGGTCAGTTCGAGTTACTTCGCTCGAAGCTCGGGATGACTGACAAAATCAAGTTTAAAGGGGAGTATTGAAGTTAAACTTGATTTTGGGTTAAGCTTAATTTTGGGTTTATAAAATAATTATTATTTATTAGATTAGGCCCAAAATTAAGCTCAAGTTCTAGAATCTCTAGAAACATCACTAAAAATCATCATCTTTCTTAAATGTTCTAGAGAATTCTATTAGTTAAATATCTAGATAATTCTATAGATAATTCTAGATGTTGTAGTTAAAATTCTAGATATTATTGTAGAAAATTCTAGAGATTAGGAGAATGTTTGTAAGATATTTTGTAATAAGTGGAGCCTATAAATAGCCCACTACTCCATCATTTGTAAACAAGAGAAGTTGAACAAATAAAAAAAGAGTGTTCTTCATAAGTTCTCTTATTCTCTCTAAAGTTCCTTCAAGTTTTCTCTAAGTATTCTTTCATCTTATTATTCATACTTAGAGGGTCTTTATTTCTTTCGGATCTCTCGGGTATTACGGTCTTGGGCTAGTGCTTGGCACTATCGGTGTTTTCTTTACACTTTGTTCCTCCTCAAAATGCAGTCACAAACATCGCCACATGAATCCGTAACATAGTGTAAGAGACCCTGAAAAAAAGCATAAAGGCGACGTTAAGCTATGATGTTTCCAAGTCAAAAATTAAAGAAGATACTATAAGAGAAAATGGTTTGGTTTTATTTTTATGATACCCCAATGTATAGACTTTCTAAATGTGGACAGCTCCTTAGAAGAAGTGGCATTCCTTGCCATCCTTGAATCATGACTGTCTTAATATTTAAAACTGTAAGGTTCTTGAAAACCGGCATCCTTTTACAGCAAAGAGAAATCGCCTGAAAAAAAGCAAGAGACATTGTTATGTTCCAGAAATCGAGATGAGGATTTTTTCAACTAAAGAGATTAAAACAGAAGCCTGACCTTGAAGGAAACAGGAGTTAAGTGAAGTATATTCACATTCTGTATGCCATTAATAAGCTTCACCACATTATCTCTTGCTCGATCTTCAGTTAGTGCAAGATCGATCGTAGCTTCCAATAAGTTTGTCAAGTTAACTAATGGATAATCCTCGGCAACAAAGTCGCTGTAGTCCAAGAAGACAAGATTCGGTGTATCAATTGAAAAGGTGCCTAGACTGCGGCATTCGGAGCTAATCTTTAGCTTCTTGAGAGTTGAACTTGACAAGACCACATTCCCATCTCTCCACTCTATGTTAAGCAGCATTAGTTCCTCAAGGGCAGGACAAGCAGGAAGCAGTGTCTGAAACTGACCCCTACCAAACCCAACTGAGTCAAGAACAAGTGTCTTAAGCATCGGTAAGCACATGTCGTCGTCCCACGCATCAAGATCAACCCCATATCCTGTTTTCAGCTCAACTAATGTCTTGCTGACAGATATCTCATAAGGCAGAGAATAATCTTCATCAAACTCCACGAACAGGTCAAGGTGAGAAACACCGCGTCGCAACACGTCGCGTATCCAACAATCCACAAGACTAGGGTCGACACCAGTTTTTACTTTCAAAGAAAATTTCTTGATGGGAGAATCACCCCGCAAGGCCAAAACCCTATCCACAAAATCCATGAAACTCTGAGCAGCACCATCTTTGGGGTTGAGAAAGTCCGAGTCGTCGAGATGGAGATTAGGGACACACGCAAAGAGATTACGCCAGCTCTTTGCGAGAACCGATGTGGAAGCAGCCTCCTTTGTTGTTGGAAGAAAGGACAAGATATGAGAAATAACTGCGTCCGGTAACTTTCTGAAGAGATCCATCTTCTCCGGTTCCATTGATGTTTACGCAAATCTCCTAATCAAAACATAATTTACCAAGAAGAGAGCAATGAGAAGGCAAAAAGGAAAGAGGAGAAATCTAGCCAAAACAGGAAGCCACTAAAAGAAAATTACCTTTTTTGTGTATTTTTTTTCCTTTTAACTCTGCCGTATGCTTACAGAGTAAATCAACGCATCAATCAAAGATCCAGAGATCGCTCAATCAATGGCGATTGATTCGGAGTCCCTAAATCACGGGATAACAAAATCGCCCAATAGATTCACAGAATAGAAAAGATTAGAGTTAACTTAGGGGTAAGAAGAAGAAGTTGGTTACTTTCAGATTTGAGGGACAGGCAAACGCAGAGACTCTCTCAGTAGAGCAACACCCAAAAATTAGAGTAAAATTAGTGTGGGGGAAAAAAAGAAGGATGTGTGAATGGCAAGTTTTGTATGTACAAAGTCATAATCTCTCAATACGTTTGAAACGATGCGTCTCTGCATAGGCCAAAGCAAAACGTAGCGTTTTTGTTTTCTTATCATTTAATGACCATGCTTCAATGAAAGCGCTTTTGATGTGAAGAAAGAAAAAAAACGAATAAATTAAATTATGAAGCTTATATATTTTGAAACTTGAAGTATCGAAAATTTCATTTGCAATATATGTGTGGTACCATAATATTTAGATTCAAATTTATTTTGTTTTCACGGTCATAAACTGAGAATTGTTAGCGTTTGTAAACCGTCAGTCTATTTATTCACTTCAAATCTCATGATGAATTACTACTACATCAGCAAAAAAAAAAAAAAAAAAAAAAACCTCATGAAAGCAAAGTAAGAAGGACCAAAGATTAGTTAGTTCTTTGATCCGTTACTTAGTTTTTGCTCATGAAAAACTCAGAATTGTTAAGTGAAAATAGTTTCTATGTCTCGATGATATGAGATAAAAGTCTCTACTTCGTCCGGAGTGTTCGGAGACGTGGGACTTATGTAGGCCTTAAAATCATTTGTTTCTGATTTATTGGCCCAAACTAAAAGGAGCTTCGAAAATATGGGATAAAACTGTAATAAACTATTTATTAAACAAAAAAAGAAAAAAAAAAACAAATAATCGTAATAGCTCGGAGAAAAATGGAAGAAGCAATGATGATGGAGAAAATTCGGGAGTATCTGCAACTCAGCGAAGACGTCGACGACGGCGAGACGCCGCGAGTGGAGGGATTAGTGAACGGAAGAAGCTTCTATGAGGATTTCAGCCTCAGAGGAATCCGAGTCAACCGAGTCGACCCGGGTTTCATTTCCTGCACTTTCAAGGTCCCTCTTCGTTTGACGGTTCGTCTTCCTCAACTCTAATCACTCCTTGCTTTGCGATTGCTTTGGATTCGGCCTGATTTCATTACATCCTGAAAATAATTCGATTTGTAAGAGCATTGATTTTTAATTGTATAGATCTATCCCTTAATGTGGTCATCAAAGACTTTTAGTGTGATCCATGTTTGAAGATAAGAATCAGTTATAGTATGACCCAAATTGGTTTCTACACTTTAGCCATTGGTTTGATTCATGTTCTAAAGTGGTTCTTGGAAGCTTGAGCAGAATCAAGAAGACATTTATATTCTTGAGGGTAGATAAAAAAAAACAAGACTTGATTTTGTCTTTTTGTTGTTGTTGTTTATGAGATGGTGTTGATAAAGGTTTGATAATGGCAGGACAGAGAGGGGAATCTAGCAAATGGTGCGATTGCAAATCTTGTGGATGAGGTTGGTGGTGCAGTTGTACACGTTGAAGGTTTACCTATGAATGTTTCAGTGGACATGTCTATAGCTTTCCTTTCAAAGGCTAAGCTTGGTGTAAGTCTGCTAAAGCTTTTTCAATCTTTACTTGGGACCTTTTGCTGAAGAACTTATAGGAAGAAGGATGATTTTTGAAATGGAAAATTGAATTTCAGGAGGAGCTGGAGATAACGTCGAGAGTGTTGGGGGTGAGAGGGAGTTATAAAGGAACAATCGTTGTGGTGAGAAACAAAATGACCGGAGAGATTATAGCGGAAGGTCGACATTCTTTGTTTGGCAGACAAGCTAGTAAGCTCTGAGTCGACTCTTTCTTTTGCTTTTGTACTATATGTGATCTTAAAACTGTTTCACTGTTATGTCGGTGTTCAATAATAGTTTAAGGTAAGAATTTGGTTTGGGATTGGATAGATCATCTTCTCTTTTCTGGTTGTGAAACTAAAACCTTTGTACGTAGAAGATATAGTTTATGAAAGATTGAAAAAACCTTTGTGGATTCAAAATGAGATGCAACATTTCTCTGAACTCTTCTTCTGCATGAACTCGTTATCCACCGTCCCGTCTTTGATGAGGATGACAGTGAAGATGAAGATGACGATCATCACCATGATCATGATCATGATCATAACCATGAACACTCGGAATCTGGTTTTTCACTTTTCTATCATATGTAATTTACATATTGCACTGTAATGGCATTGCAAATGTTGATTTTAACTACTTGAAAGCCTTATTGACAATTATGTGAGACCATCTTCTCAGATGATGGTTGTAATTCAAGAAGGAAACATGAACTCTTATTTATGATTTTCATAATTGAACCCTCGTGCGTGGAAACATGAGTGAAGTTACATACACGGTTTTGTAACTTTATGCTAAGCTGACTAACCAAATTAAAATTTATGTTGGTGATTTTAGGTGATCAAACTAGTAAACTTTCGGGTAAACTCTTATATGGACATACATTTTCGAAAAAGTGGAATTACATTGATATTATCAATCAATTTCATATAACAAAGTAAGATACAATTTGCAAAAAATGCAAAACATCAGCATTTTTTACAGCGAATTACTAAGTAACAGCGATAACTAATTTGTAGTAAACTAATGAACGGGAACAAAACTGGATTTTGGGGGTCTCGGAGGAAGAATCTTCACCTTTAGGGGTTTATTCGGTACTTTTTTAAACTGTGGGAGATTTGATGAAACAAACTTCACTTTCAATGGCTTCTTTGTAATAATAACATCTTCGAATTTCACCGGAGGTTTTCTGGTTCTCAGCCCCATCCGCCTCGTATCTCCGCCGGCGACATCAGCCATCTTCATCTCTCCGATCAAAAACGGATGCAACAGCAACTCCGAAGCACTTCCCCTCTCCTTAGGTTTGACTGCGAAACACTTCTCCAGAAACTGCCTTGCACCCAACGGCACCGTCTCTGGAATCTCCGGTGCTTTTCCGTCCGTTAAAAACCCTTGAAGATCATTGAGATCAACCCCAAACCATGGATGCTTCCCGGTATACATCTCCAGCACTATGCAACCCAACGACCATAAATCTAGGGTTTTGTCGACGGTGCCGTCGTCGACTGATTCCGGCGACATGTACACAGGCGTCCCCACAAACGGAGAGTCGATTTCCCAACACTCAGATTCCTCCTCTCCGGCCTTTAACGACAATCCGAAATCTGCAATCTTCAATTCATACGAGCAATCCCACGTTTCTTTATCGTAACGCGGAAAGAGAAGGAGATTATCCGGTTTAAGGTCGCAATGGACATAACCGCGATGGTGAACCGAGACCAATCCTTGAAGAATCGTCCGTGTAAAATCTTTGATAACCGAATCAGATAGTTTTCTGTTTCTTTGGATGAAACTGGTGAGTACCAGCAGCTGCGTATTCCATCGGCATCTTGTAGACTCTGTTTCCGTTGTGATCGGTTTCTTGAACAAGAGTCTTTTCAAACAGTTGGACGATTCTAGGACATCCCTTGAGTTTCGTCAGAATTCGAAACTCTCTCTCGATGGTCCAGTGATCGGAGACTTTCACGGCGCTGTAAAACGTCGAGCCGTCGGCTTTTGTGTTGCTGAAAAGATCGATGGAACCGTACGAACCCTTTCCTAAAAACTTCACGAATTTCATCTCTGCAGGTTTGTTTCTGCAACGCCGCATCTTTTTTTTTTGTTCACTTGCTCTGATCAATCTCTGGTTACTTTCTTATGTGATTCTCTAATGCTATTGTTGTATCAACAAAACCTAGAGAGAGAGAGAGAGAGAGACGAAATTAATCGAGACTAAAAAGAAAGAAAATGAAAACCCTAATTTGATCGGAGGACTTGTTATTTGTTGAGAAAAATGGAAATAGCGAGTTTATGAATCTGCAGAGTAAATTAAATAGGCGCCTCACTGTAATTTGTTGAAGGGGGAAAAAAATGGAAACTTCGGTAGAACCATTAAACGAAAAGGAAACTATTTTGTTTTTTCGTAACGGACCTTTTTTTTTGATTTTTTTCTGACTTAGAATTATTTATTTTGATTAAAGTGTGTGGAGTATTTATTCACTGGATTATCATTAAAAATTTCGATCTTAATGTTGAATCAGAAACGATTCGAATCAAGTCAGAAGGTTGGATACATTTACAGAGAGACAGAACTTGTTCATCCGAAGGAATCAATTCAAAAACTTTGACCTGGAACTATGCTTCGGAATCACTGGACATGTCTTGGAAGTGGCTATCTGCTAAGTCCACACCAAGTATTGGACAGATGCTCAGTAGAAGCCACATGTGACAGCAAAGGAGGAAGCTGAGGTTATCTCCTGAATCTCACTACTACTACCTATATATCTTGCGACTTTCTTGATTATGGTATATGCTTACTTGTTAATCACTTAGTGACATTTTTGCGCTGGATCAAAATTCTTAGCTGAGTTTTGTTTATTGTTTCATTCATAGATAGTTAGTTGATAAAACTTAGCTAGAAGAAACAGAGTTCTTACTCGATATGATCTTAAACTAAGCTCTGAGTGGAGTTTTTCTTTTGCTTTTGTACAATATGATCTTAAAACTGTTTCACTGTTATGTCTGTTTCAGTAATAGTTTAAGGTACGATTTTGGTTTGGTATTGTGAAACTAAGCCCATTGTATGTTAGATAAGAGAGAAAAACCTTTGTGGATTTGTTACGTTCTATGTAATTAGCAAAATTATACAGTCAACACGAACTATGACAATTCCTCCTCTTACTTCGATCATAAAATTTAAGACAAACAAATATAGCTGAGTAATAAGTGTCGATGCATTTGGAGACTAATTAAATAGCAGAAGCAAAAAAAGTCCAGAAAGCAATAGTCAGAATCTTGCAGTACTCAGAAACAACGGTTCCTATTGAGACAAGCCAGTATCAGCGGCACCAGAAGATGGCTGAGAGGATCCTGAAGGCGCTCCAGAAGCAGACTCGGGTGGTGGAGCAGAGACTGAGCTTGAAGGAGGAGGAGGATTAGGCCTTGAACCCGAACCGGAGCCCGGTTGTTGCGGGTAAGGATGAGCAGCTTGTGGTGGGGCATGGTGGTAAGGAGGAGGATACTGCTGGTACGGTGGCTGCATATATCCTCCGTATGCCTGTGGCGGGTACGGCTGGTTCGGATACTGGCCATGTGGCTGCATCGGGTAAGAAGAAGAAGAAGCTCCTCTGTTGTCACTACCGGTGCTCGAACCGCTGTCTTGGGACGAAGAAATGACTGCACCCATTCTCTGAGGATCCATTGATGGGTAAAAAGGTCTGTCTTGATGTGGAGTTTGTGGTGGTGGTGGGTGCATATAGTACTGCTGCATCTGTGGAGGTTGGTTATGCTGCTGAGATATCACGGCTCGAGGCAGCAATCCACTGTGAGAGGCACCACCAAGTTGCTGTGATCCTCCGCCATCTGGATCGGTTCTGGGAACTTGTGGTCTTCCCCAAGTGAGTTTAAGCCTCTGGCCGTTGACAACTAGCCTGTTGCTGAGCTCTTCCGCAGCTTTCTCTGCTCCTTCTCGGGTTGTGTAGGTGACAAACGCACACGCTTTCTCAGCCAAGATTCTGATGGATTCGATTTCTCCAAAGGCGTAGAATTGGTCTCGTATGTCTTGCTCAAGGACTCGAGAGTTTAGCCCACCAACGTAAAGCGTTTTGATGCTTTGATCCTCTGGTGATTCCAAAGTGCCCATCTCACCAGCTTTTCCGAGCAACTTCAACGCTACTGGATCGTTCACACTGCAAAAATAGGAAGAATCAGATGAGAAAACAGTTCCAAATTCACCAATATGAGATGCAATTTAGCAAATTCAATCCCACAAAACTGATGTAGTTTTCCTAATTCCAATTTCAGCAGATACCAAAGCAAGAAACTAAGTTTACGTTATCATACTTATTAACCCATAATAGAAGAAAATGAAAATAAGTAGCTTACCCATAGTAACGGTCTTTTATGTTCTGCTGAGATAACTCTCCTGTTTCGGGCATCTCATGCCGGTAAGGACACTCGGCACCTCTTGTACACTCTCCCCTAATGAAGAAACTACAAATATGCGCTCTGTTCCTTTTGTAGTACGGCGTTGTCCTTTGAAGCATACGTATGGTATCGTTAGGCCGAATCTTCCCAAAAGAGGATTCATAGTCTAGCCCAGCTCTCGTCTGCATAAGAAAGCAAACATCATTTCAACAAGCCACAATCATCGACCTTTTCAACGTTGCTTATTTTGGTAATAACTAGTTAGATTGAAGCTTGGAACATAAGAGTCCATACCTTTCGATCATGCTCTTCAGCAAAGAACTCCCTGTTGACATCGCTTTTGGGTATAGAGTCATGAGTACTGATGTTGAGCGCCGTGTCTCTGACCTGAACTGGAAGACCATACTCAAGATCCAAGAGACAGACTTGGCACACATTCTTCAGCTTGCAGCATGTCTGACAGACCTCGGTCTTCTTGTATCTTGCATCACGGCCTGGTCTCCACCTGAAAACCGTGAATGGTCGGGTACAGATCTTGCACTCCTTATCATAATCCGCCTTTGTCTACATACCAAATAAACCACAAATGCATCTATCAAAGAGGAAGCACATCAAGAAGGGACGTAACACAACAGTAACCAATCGATCCAGAAGCAAATCAAACGCAGGACTCATCATGATTTACCAACCGCAGATATCAAATTCGAACCAATAAGACGATATAAACGGAGATAAACTAAAGGTTAGGACTTGTACTCGAAATCGCATAAACCCTAATCTCAAATCACTAAATTTTTCAGCTCTTAAACTCATGAAAATGGATGAATAACGGAGATCTTGATGGAGATTCAGGGATTGCTGAAAAAAAAAACAAGCTAAAGCTTTAAAAATCGAATTGACAGGAAGGCGAAGAAATACCATTCGAACGTAAGGATTGTCACCGAGACAAGACTCGCAGATGATTGGGAAATCAGAGCGTTCCCATCCATCAGCGTCGTGATCTCTGAGTATCCTATGCGCCATTGCTTACTTCCTCTTCCTTCCTGTTGATTTCTCGATATCAGTCTCGAACACGAAGGTGACCGGAATATCGTAGGGCAAAGAGCAGATTTGCTTTTCGATTTGTGTTTTTTTCTTGGGAATATTAAATATCGTCAAAAATATCTCCCACGGTCAAAAGAAATTGAATCTAGACCAAAGAAAAACCGTACTAAACCGGTCACAACTGACTCTTTCACCAGATTTTTTATTTATTTGATCGTTCTTTTTGAATTCTTTCGGCCTTGAATTTTTTTTATTTTTTTAAAAACAATTTACAGGCTGAAGTCGGCCCGAATGTTGGCCTGGCCCATCTATGAAAAAGGCTTAAGTGGTGTGTACCGTAGTAGCGGTACGGACTCACACAGGTGATTATGTCCTCGCCAGCCACTAAACCAGAGGCGGGAACCAAATACCCTAAAATTGCCAAAATACCGCCACAAAATCAAGGCGGATATTATCGATTCCCGCGAACACATTTTGCATTTGCAAATCTTCCTTCAGAAGCTCAAGAGCCCTAAAATCCTTCACCGATCGATTCGATAATTCCCCGAGCAGCAAAAGATGTTGGAGCTTCGTTTGGTTCAAGGCTCTCTGCTGAAGAAGGTTCTAGAATCGGTCAAGGATCTGGTGAACGATGCGAACTTCGACTGCTCGAGCACAGGGTTCTCGCTCCAGGCCATGGACTCGAGCCACGTGGCGCTGGTGTCTCTCCTGCTGAGATCCGAAGGGTTCGAGCACTACAGGTGCGATAGGAACCTCTCCATGGGGATGAATCTCGGCAACATGTCGAAGATGCTCAAATGCGCTGGAAATGATGACATCATCACCATCAAGGCCGATGATGGAAGCGACACCGTCACTTTCATGTTCGAGAGCCCCAGTAAGTTTTCCCCTTTTCCAACCAGATCGATTTACCTTTTTACGGCTATGGTTTTTTGTTGTTATTGTTGGTGATGCTACGCTATTTGTCAGTTTGTTCTGTAGTTAGATAAGTTTCATTTGTCAAGAAGTAGAAGTTGATTGATGAAAATGACTCAGTCCACAGAACAATTAATAGTCTCTAGCTTAAAAACTTTAGCTTGCAAGTAAATTTGATTTCTTGATTTAGAGGAAAGGAAGCGAAAGAAGTTTATTAGATTTAAACTGTATGTTAAAACTGTGCATAATCTCATGGTATAAGTGTAATTGATGATGCAGCGCAAGACAAGATTGCAGACTTTGAGATGAAGCTGATGGATATCGACAGTGAGCATTTAGGAATCCCTGACGCTGAGTACCACTCTATTGTGAGGATGCCGTCTGGTGAATTTTCCAGGATATGCAAGGATCTCAGTACCATCGGTGACACTGGTAAATTATGTACTATTGTTTGTTTCTGTTGGTAGCCATAGAGAGGGTTATGAATTGGCCTTTTTGATTCTGGTGTTTTGATGTAATGATTGCAGTTGTGATCTCTGTGACGAAAGAAGGTGTGAAGTTTTCAACAGCAGGTGATATTGGGACAGCGAACATTGTACTCAGGCAGAATACGACTGTGGACAAAGTATGAACAGTCACAAGTTATCTAGAGTTGTTTTTTATTTATTTTTATTGAAGTGAGATTTTTGTTTGTGTGTCTTTGCAGCCTGAAGATGCAATTGTGATAGAGATGAACGAGCCTGTATCGCTTTCATTCGCGTTGAGGTACATGAACTCCTTCACAAAGGCGACTCCTTTGTCTGAGACAGTGACAATCAGTTTGTCCTCGGAGTTACCTGTCGTGGTGGAGTACAAGGTTGCTGAGATGGGTTACATTCGATACTATTTGGCTCCCAAGATTGAAGAAGAAGAAGACACTAATCCTTAACACGTTTGTTTCTGGCGACAGAAAACCCTTCAGAACTTGTGATGATGAATGTCTTTTTTTATTTTCTGGAATCCTGCATTAAAATTGTCTGTCTATCTTAGATTTGCATGTTTGGATTTACTGTGGGCAATGCTAGATTAAGCTGTTTTTTTCTGGATTTTATGATGGCCAATGGTAGATTAGTTATTAAGTGACTTGTTCTGCAAATTTGAAAAACCTGTTCAACACTTCTTTTTTTCATTTTGTTTTTCAAATGGCAAAACAAGAAAAAATTCCAAATTTTGAAGACAAAAAAATCTATCTGCGTAACAAAAATAAAAAGTGCAAGCGCATTGGAGTAAGATGAGAAGTGTAACATTTAGTATATCACTATCACACGTGCATTTGATTAGACTTAGAGAGATTGCCTCCAGTCTTCTCCAGCATACAAAGCTTGATCTCCGAGCTCTTCTTCGATCCGAAGCAACTGCACGAAGATTTCAACCATATAATTATACGCTCGATGAAAGAGGGCCAAACATAAATTGAGACAACTATCTAGCAAGCTAATTGCACATAGCTGTTCCAAACTAAATCACTACCTACTGAAGAAACCGAAACATGGCCTAGGTTTGCTAAAGATTCACAACATACCATAACTTAACTACTTGAAAGCTAAAATAAGCTCCAAAAGTCCAAATGGTGTTTAATCCAAGTTATATATATCATGAGAAGTCTATTCGCATATATTGAATTATTTGAGCTTGGGGGAACTAAATTTTAAAAAAGATCCAGACCTGGTTATACTTCATAGTACGTTCTCCTCTGCAAGGAGCACCAGCTTTAATCACACCCGTTGCAAGACCCACGGATAAGTCAGAGATGAAAGAGTCCTCTGTTTCTCCACATCTATGAGATGTCACCACACCCCACTGTGCATCCCTTGCCAGTTTCACTACTTCAATGGCTTCTGTTACTGTACCAATCTGATTCACCTGTATGCACATTATGTCTTTGTCATTTCTTTGGCAGTAGCGTAACCCATCAAACCATACTAGCAGATGCAACATAATAGTATATAGAAAAACACAAATTGGCACACACGATGATACCTTGAGAAGAAGGGCATTACAAGAAGATTCCTTTATTGCCCGCTCAACACGTGTTGAATTTGACATCAACAAATCATCACCTACCACCTGCAAAGGCAACTGAGGATTTAGACGAGGAAAATGATTGTACAAACGGATGTTTAGGGCATGGTTAGCATCGTTTGTTTTATGTAAAGATCTGATTCCGTGAAAAGATTCAGAAGACAGTTTGATCCGAAACAACACATAATCTAAGTTAAACCATTTCTAACAGGGGAAACCGAGATGGACCTGACATATTCCAAGGCTGGAAAAATACTTGGTGTGTTCCCAATCTTCTTTGTCAAACGGGTCTTCTATAAACAGAATTGGATACTCTAATCCCACAAGGAGATCAAGCAGAAAAATAAGGTCGTCAGAGTTCTGAAATAAACCCAAAAATAATTTTTTTGCAAAACAGACACAGACATACCAGCACAAAGTTCTTTGTACATGTCTATCATATCGTCCGCTGACTTGAAATTTTGCCCAGATTTATTTGGCGATTTGATATCTAGGTCATACTTGGTACCTGTTCAGTAATGAAGGTATGGAAAAATCATGAAAAGTAAAACATATTGCAAAAAGCATGATATCAATAGGTCACACTTGATGATTCAACAACGTTTCTCTCCCAGCCAATTGTGAATGACATGGCCTAGAACCAAACAAGGACTATCCATGACTAAAGCAGCCAAACAAAACCAGTTTACCAAGAATCAGATAGTACCTATACAAAAATTAGTGGCGGCAACATCAATTGCTATCTTGATCTTATCATTGTATCCTGTTCGGTTGATAGCTTCTTTTACAAGCTCCAAACCTTCCTTGAGGCTGCACACAGTTGCAATTATGTACATAAGGCACTAATCCAGGAAACTGTAACATGATTTTCTCGATTTTGACTGATGCAGTCGCGACAATCTACAGAATACAAGAGGATACATGTACCTCGAGATATCTGGCGCAAGGCCACCATCTTCACCAACATTACACCCCATATTACCATGCTTTTCTGAAATGACAGCCTGCCATAAACAGCAATAGATTACATCTCACATTTATATACACAGTTACAAATGCAAGTGAAAAAAGTAACTTCCAAAATGCCCTTTATCTTTGAAAACTGACCTTTAAATGATGATATGTCTCAGTTCCCCACTGCAGGGCCTCCTCAAATCTAGCTGCTCCAATTGGAAGAATCATAATTTCCTAACAATATGTAGACACAACAATCATAACATGTAAATAAAGTTATTTGAAAACCAAAAGTATTCATGAAGAGTGAAGTCAAATGTATTCCCGAACTTGCATGAGAAAGAGGTCGTCCAGATCCAGAACACTAATAATGCACTCAATTTTGAATACCTGAATGGCAAAATAATTCGAAGCATGATTCCCACCGCTCAAAACAGTGAAGGCAGGTACAGGTAACGTCATGGTTGCTCTGCCACTAAGATCAGAAATGTGCTTGCACAGAGGGACCTGATATATACAGCTTCTATCATGATCTCCTAACTAAAGTAAGCATGATTTACATAGGATGAGAGAAGAATGTTCTGAAGACTTCATACCTCTTTCTCAGCAGCTCCAGCCTTGCATGCAGCAATGGACACAGCTAGTATAGCATTAGCCCCAAGTTCATTCTGCAAGATAACTAAATCGTGAGGAAAATATACAAAACGATACAATACGATCCTAAACATTTCCGAATATAAGAGGCAACAGAGTTCCCCACCTACCTTCTTTTCAGTTTTGTCCAAGTCTATCATTGCATGGTCGATTTGAGCCTGAAGTTTCGGGTCCATACCGATCAAAGCCTCGGAAATTTTTTCGTTTATGTTCTTCACAGCTTTAGCCACACTGTTTCCAAGATACATTCCTTTGTCCCCATCACGTAATTCAACAGCTTCATACCTTTGTATCAGTGAACAAATCTCCTCATATCAAGCTCAATTATCATCATAGAATTGTATATCGATCATGCTTAAGAAAATTCAAATGTACTCAGACGCCATATATGAAATAAGAGTAAGAAATTTAACGAATTCTCACGTTCCAGAAGAATCACCACTGGGAACAGAAGCACGGAAAACGCCTTTGTTAGTGTGCAGATCCACCTCGACTGTTGGAATTCCTCTGCTATCAAGGATCTGTCGTGCTTTGACCTTCGTAATCACAGATGATACAGCTTTCTTCATATGATTCGCCTGAACATTTGCCAATGAATATTCGATGAGAACACGAAAGCTAGCAGGATAGTTTTTAGATTCTCGTTATTCAGATTCGCAAGTAAGGCAACGAAATTGGACTTCGATATAAGCAAAATCAAAATGGAGAAGGAAACGCACGATGAAGAGAACAGGATCTGAGGTTTTAGCCCTAACGGCTGCATTGACGGCGTCTTCGATTTTCCTAGAGAGTGCGTGCTTGTCTAAGTACTCTTGCACAGACATCTTCTTCTTCTTCTTCAACTCACTTCGTCCGATACCTTCTGCTTCTCGTTTCGAATCTTCAAGCAATTTTCCGATGAACAATTTCAGCGTCAAGCAAGTTTGAATCTGACATTTGTTGCTTCTCCGATTGCCTCTGTATTTTGGTTTGGCTCCGGTTAAGCATAATCAATCAGGAATTATAACATCAGAAGACGACGACGTTTAGTTTCGTTAAGCATGCGTGCCGTCTGAAGCTTATGCTGGAGAACATCAAGACACTTTTGTTTAGAACGAATGGAATTTTTTGTTGGAAGAGTAAAGCCCATTATCAAAATTTGGCCCACTAGAAGTCTCACGTGCGATTGCTAGGTTGGAACTGCTTTTCTCTCTCTGAAAGCACGTGCGGTGCCGTTTTAGTAACTGCTCCTTGGTAGAATCCACCTGTCATTAAAAACAGGCCCACACAAAAGATTTCGAAATTCAAAAAGATGTAAACATTTTCACGAACCATTTATTTTTGAGACATTTACAAAAAAACACACTTTCAAGAAAATCTTTACAAAATAAGACATTTGAAGAAAATAAGGCACTTTGATTAATAATTGAGACATAAAGTTCCTATTTTACCTTTAATAAGGATTTTAGCGAATAATCAGTTTATAGATGGATTTAAGGTTTAATAAGAGATTGAAAAAGTCATAATTGATACGCCACCCTAGAGTAACCGCAGGGGGAGAAACGCACTTCAGACGTTTAAAGAAGAGGCGGTGATAAATTTGTTTATGAGGCAACAAGGTATTGACGGTGATAAATTTGTTTGCGAAAGCTTCGCATGGTGGGGGGAACGAAGTCGGGTGTCTGCTGCTGGGTATGTTGTATGCTTAGCGATCAACGCGGTGGAGGTATTTAGCCGAGAATGATTGCGAGGGGACACTTTCGTGTGTTTAATTGTTGAAGTTCACAGTTTATCGTGGACAGTTTTTCTTCTGGGTGGCGGTACATATTATAACGGTATTTTGGCCGGAGTAAGGTGTACGAATTGGGATGGACGTCTTCTGGGTGTTGTAAATTCGTTGTTCAATTGTAAGAGTTCGTACTGGTGGTTCGTCGTACATATATATATATTAATTTATGGATAGTGTGGTTTACTGGATCAGCAAACATATAATATTGATGTGGACGTTAATTGGTCGGCGACGTATGATAGACATTATATTAGCAATATCTATAGACACGACCATATGGACTCTAAAACATAGACACAAACACTACATAATTACAAAAACAAAATCATCAGTTCACATGGACTCATCTTTGTGGACATCCAAACATACATCCATCACCTCGCGAATGTTCATTTCTCATCCATCATTGGTTAGTATGATTGATGATTCACCAATCAAAGATGTTCAGATTGCCTTGCTTCAAGCTCTTAAAAGTCAATAATATTTTTTTCTGGAATAATGATCTCTTAGCGATTTAAAGTGGATGCATATGAAATCACTTATCCATATTCATATGTCCATATGTCCATGATTTTTATTCAACAACTTTTCCATGTTTACACCATTAATTCAGGATTCTAAACTCCTATACATATCCATATTCACGAGTCCATATATTTTATTTCGCGGATCTGAGAACCGTATACTAAATGTATTACTTGACGACATGTCCATGTTTGATTGTCCATAATTTTGTTTATATGATCCATCGATACTAGTAATTATGGATGACTATCTTTTCATTCTTCATACTCAATCCCACTCTAGATAGTGGTGAAGGCCTGTAACAAAAAGAGTTGAAACATATCAATTTGTTTGATCACATGTACTAATGGATTTTTAGACGAATGAGTACGTGGGATATTTCATAATGAATAAATTGCAATGATAAGTTAGATGGATGAGAAACATAAATGAGATATATGGATGGTGTGTCCATCTATCCATATGGATATCCTAGATGGATGTCATATATGGATGCCGACATGCGATGAACAAGTGGGGATGGGTGGATGAATGTTACGAACAAAACTAACAATAATAAACTAAGTGCGATCTGGTGGATGCAACATGATAGATGAAAGAATGAAATCAAATCAGAGTGAGCGATGTCAAACCCTACAAATTAAAATAAGTGAAATCCCACAAGATGAAATATGATGGATAAGCAATGGTGGATGAACAATTATGGATGCATAAATGAAATCAGATCGGATCATATCGTATGAATGTATATTGCAGGGTAAGCTCGATGGGTGAAATAGAGTGATGAGTTAAATTATTATACACATGGATGACCTAGATGGATGTTTGTAGATGGATGTACTATATAAATGCTTTGTATGGATGCTCTATACCGATGGACGATATACGTTGCCTATATGGATGCACCAGATGAATGCATTATCTGCAATATAATAGATGAAAAAGCATTAACCTAATGGATTAGCATTGCATAAGCTTGATAACGTAAATAATGATTTTTGAGCAGATGGATGCTACTACATGGATGCTCTGTATGGATATTCTACATGGATGCTTTGTATGGATGTTCATAGATGAATGCTCCACATGGATGCTTGTAGATGGTTGCTCTATATGGATGATCTGTATGGATGCTCTGTATAAATGCTCTACACAAGCTCTGTATGGATGCTCTATACAGATGGATGTACCATATATGTTTCTTATATGGATGCACCAAAACTGTTTCCTATATGGATGCACCTAGATGGATGCATTATATGCAATATAGTGGATGAGAGATGAAAACGAGTCGAAGTGAGAATTATGTGAACAACAAATCCATACAAAATGGATGAGATTATACATGGTGGATGGGCATGAACGAGAACATCAAACCTAACTGATGTTATCAGTAAGAGCCCATATGATGGATGTGTAATGGTGGATGAGATATGGTGGACGCGTATTGATTTCAGAGAACTCTGAACCAAAACGGACAGAAATATTTAAAGGCGGAGGAATATCAAAATTATTGGAGGAAGGTTTACCTGTAATTACGATGTGAACTCAATAGGAAATTCCGACCGCCGTTGGCAGAGGCAAAAACTCCGATTAAGGGTTTGGTCGCGTTAACTCCGGCCACCGCCAGGGAATGATGGAGGAGTCCGGTTTAGATAATCGGTAAAGATGGAAGGTCGTCGAGGATTCAACGCTGGCGAGAGGTGCGGCGATGGAATATTTGAATTAGGTCATCGAAGATTCAACGGCGTCGACAATTCAATGGCTACGGAGAGTTGTTAAATTGTAATATATAGATTTCATACTAAAAAGGAGAAAACATAAAAAAAAACACAGGGATATAAAAGACTTTTCTTTGATCTAAAGTGTGTTTGTATAGATAAGTGTGTTAATTTGTAAATTTAGTTTGTAGAAGTGTCTTCCTCTGAAAATTTCTCTATATTTTTTGAATTTTGCAACCCGTTGCCACCTTGATATACGTGGCTGCATCTTCGCCGTTGATTATTAATATTTCGATTTTGCATTGCCAAATATTAGCCGTTAGACCATCTCCAATGGTAAAATCCTATAGGGATTTTGAACCAATTTTTTAATATAAATTTTCTATCACTTTATTTTAAGAGTCTTTATAACAGATTTTAATTTTTGGCTATTCCATTGGTAGAATCTTCAGAGAGGTTCCTAAAAATAAAAAATTTATATGTTCCTGCAACTTCTATATGGGTTTACGAGCAATGCGTATGGAGATGGGTTTAATATATGATTTTGCTAAACCTTAAACGCAAACTCTATGTTACGACTAATGTTTAATATATGGGTTTAACTACCTATTTCAATGCGTATGGAGATGAAAAACCATTTCTGAAAAAGAATAAGCCACATGATCGTGAAGAGTTTAAAAATACCTTAGGATTGTAGTAGTAGTCTTGATTATTGTGAAGGGTTACTTTGCGAAAACATTGGGCCTCACTCGAGCAATTACATCCGGGTGAAGTTTGAGTTCAGCTATGTATTCTCCGATATCATGAATCTCCGGGAGAGAGACAATGCATTTGTCTATGTCCCTGCAAAACACAGCCAAAGAGAAGCAAAGCAAAGTTAAACCATAAGCAGGGGAAAGTTAAACCAAAGAGACAATGCGTTTGTCTATGTTACCTTTGGAGCTGGGCCTTGATGATGTCAACGAGGTCTTGTGCTGTGGCACTGCAGGATGAGATAGTTTCGGATTTGCAATAAGCATTCAGAGTATCCTCCGATATCATAGATATCTTCCTCATGAACCCAATCCTCGACATTGAACTCAGGGTATGAACGATAACTGTTTGCGTAAAGCCACTGACCTTTTGCTACTTTTCGGCAGTTCGGGCATTGCATCACTCTCTTTGCATTGAAAGCTGAACCAATACAATCTACCAAACATGGGAAACAGATGTGGATTCATATGACTTTGTGAAACCAAAATGTATAGCATTTAACACACATTGGAGGATACCTCAAACTTTAGCTATAAAGCTCACTTGCATCGATTTATATGAATAATCCATAATCTAATAGGAAATTTTTTGTCGGTTTATCAATACAAACATATACATACTCGTAACTCCTATCTAGACATCCGAGATTGTCATACATTATAATGAGCAAAGATAAAAAAAAAAAAAGATCATATGTTCTCGTGAGCAAATCATTCCTTCATAAATAATTTTCTTTAATCAAGAGCACATAATTCATTTACTGCTTGAATGGGATGAATGTTCTGAGATTATGAGCTAGCAGATGAATCAAATAGAAGGCTCTTTTTGTCGGTTAATCAGACAATCAAGAACATTTCAATCGAATAAAAAAAAAGCATATCCAATCGTAAAACTGAAAAAAATACCAAAATGGAACTGGTGGCCGCATTGAAGGTTACCCCACGCTCGATCGTTGTCTTTAGCCACCGTCTCGAGGCAAATCGAGCACGCAACCGAGCCAAACCCATCTCTTTTTTCGTATCGGAGACGATGGAGAGAACGATAGAGAACAAGAAGAGAAGAACAAATTTTTTTTTGGGTTAAAATTGGTATACCCAACTACAAATTGACATGTATGGGTCTCTTAGTGATTCTAAACCTTTTTATTCATAAATCAATTGTTTAATAATTTTTTTTTTTTTATGAAACTCTTAAAAAATTCTTAAGAGCCCTCCCTTGGAGGTGCTCTTAAAACCTCATTTTCTTTATAAATGGACCCTCTCTCTTCCTCTTTTCCCTTTTCAAAATCTCAAGCGATTAAAGATGCGTGAGATTCTTCATATCCAGGGAGGACAGTGCGGAAACCAAATCGGTTCTAAGTTCTGGGAAGTGGTGTGCGCCGAGCAAGGCAGCGTTACGTCGGCGATACCGATGTGCAGCTTGAGAAGATTGATGTCTACTACAACGAGGCGAGTTGTGGTAGGTACGTTCCTCGCGCTGTTCTCATGGATTTGGAGCCTGGGACCATGGACATCGTTAGATCTGGCCTGTACGGTCAGATCTTCCGGCCTGACAACTTCGTCTTCGGTCAGTCCGGCGCCGGAAATAACTGGGCAAAAGGTCACTACACGGAGGGTGCTGAGCTCATCGACTCCGTCCTTGATGTCGTCCGCAAAGAGGCCGAGAACTGTGACTGCCTTCAAGGTACTCTAATCCTTAACCTCTTTGTTTACAGTTAGGGTTTTGTTTTCTGGCGGTTCTATAAACTTGATTGGTGATTGATTGTTTTAGATCTGGAATTTCAATCCTTGGATTTTGGAATTTTGAACTGATTAGGTTTTGGTGGTTTCGGATATTGGCTTTGTTTCCTCCGCTCATGGTTTCTATGTTTGGGATTACAGGTTTTCAGGTGTGCCATTCCTTAGGAGGAGGAACCGGTTCTGGAATGGGAACTATGTTGATCTCGAAGATCAGGGAGGGGTACCCAGACCGCATGATGCTGACCTTCTCTGTGATTCCATCTCCCAAGGTCTCTGACACCGTCATTGAGCCGTACAACGCAACACTCTCTGTGCATCAGCTCGTTGAAAACGCTGATGAGTGCATGGTCTTGGACAATGAAGCTCTCTACGATATCTGCTTCCGTACCCTCAAGCTTAGCACCCCAAGTTGTAAGCACTCGTAACCCTGTCTCTATGGTTCTACTCTTGTGTGTTTGATGCTTTGCAGAATAATCATGAAAGTATATATATATCATACTTCTATGATAGAAAATGGTATGATCTGTTCATTGGGTTACTGATTTGATCAGAGTAAAACTGCTTTTACTTGATGTTTCAAATTATATTTACCAGCTAAAGGTCCTTCTGTTCAATGACATATACGTTTTGCTTGTTTGCTGAATTGTGCAGTTGGTGATCTGAACCATTTGATCTCTGCAACAATGTCTGGTGTAACCTGCTGTCTTAGGTTCCCTGGTCAGCTTAACTCTGATCTTCGCAAGCTCGCCGTGAACCTGATCCCATTCCCTCGTCTCCACTTCTTCATGGTGGGATTTGCTCCTCTCACCTCTCGTGGATCTCAGCAGTACCGTAACCTCACCGTCCCAGAGCTCACACAGCAAATGTGGGACTCCAAGAACATGATGTGTGCTGCTGACCCAAGACACGGTCGTTACCTCACCGCTTCAGCTATGTTCTGTGGCAAGATGAGCACCAAAGAGGTCGACGAACAGATGCTGAACGTGCAGAACAAGAACTCCTCCTACTTTGTGGAATGGATCCCAAACAACGTGAAATCAACCGTCTGTGACATTCCACCAACTGGTCTGAAGATGGCTTCCACGTTCATCGGGAACTCAACGTCGATTCAGGAGATGTTCAGGAGGGTTTGCGAGCAGTTCACTGCCATGTTCAGGAGGAAAGCATGGACGAGATGGAGTTCACCGAAGCTGAGAGCAACATGAACGATCTCGTCTCTGAGTATCAGCAGTATCAGGATGCCACGGCTGATGAAGAAGGAGAGTATGAAGACGAAGAAGCTAAGTACGAGCAAGAAGAAGCTTACTGAAGAAACGGAACACAAAGGCCTCAAACTTCAACAACTTCTTGTTGCTTTTACTTTTCAAACTTTCTACTAAGTCCTTTCTTAATAGTTTCTGTAACTATCGGTTTCATTATTACTACTCTGCTTAGACTTGCGAAGGGATTATCAAGTTCTATTAAACTCTTATTTTGTTAAAATCTATTTACTTACACTTGCTAGGAAATATCAAGTTTAAAGCATTTTGTAACAACCTTTAAGGATGATCAAAGATAACATTTAATTAAAACACTATTAGTTTGTGGGAATACATTATTAGATCTTTCGTATAACTGGCTCAATGATTATCAAAGATTTAAGCATCTATATTTGGTAAAACCAGTGGTTGATTAGCCATTTTTTGCGTCTGTGGAATTTGGAGTACGACAATATGTATATTGGTCGACAAATCTGAATTTAGGATTTAAGATCAAGACATGATAAGACACGATATAGAGGATACAAATGTTTGTTTTTTTTTTTTTTATAAAAATAAAAATTCAGTGGGTTTCAATGTCCATAGAGTCGATTTCCCTCTGTTTCTTTTGTTCTTGCTCGGCCTTGAACTCTGCAACAGCCTTATCAAAGACACTCCTCACATGTCTGTTCATGATCATGAGCTCTTGACATGCATCTTTCAGAACCTCCCTCGCCGGATCGCCTTTAAAATCAATCACAGAGCCATCAAATTTAAGACACAAGTCCAAGATTAGGGTGAAACCAAGAAGTATAACGCAGAGAAGTCTTATGAACAAGGGTTCTGAAAAAAACGGTACCTGTTGTCTGGACTCGGATATTGACACATTCAAGGGAAGGATGTGGGATGCTGTACCCAGCCAATGTTACTCTCGGACTGCAGATTCATAAGCAGTAATGGGTTAGTGACAATAATCATTGACAACACACAAGCGTGTACATGTGTAAGAATCAATATGAAACGACATTAGCAAGCAAATTAATGACATTTTTTTGCTAAATCCTTCAGACAATGAGAATCTCTAACCATATAACTGTAACCGCTATTCAATCGAATTCACAGTACACAATCACAGTATATTGGCACAAATCTACAGTTCAAATCTTAAACTATCAAGACCAAAAAAGCAAAATTGGATGGGGACACAAATTCATTCTCATTGAGATAAATTGTGAGGTCAATATGTAAGAATTTGAGAGTCAAGAACTAGTTTTGAGATTATATAAAGCGAAACAATTTCTCTGTGTAAAAGTATGTAGATTTAAAAGGGATGAAAGAAGGATTACTTACTCTTGGTTTAACATGAATCGAACGGCGTTAGCAAGTGTGTGATCTTCTTCTGCAAGAGTAAATGTACCCTCTCTTTCATTCGTGAACGAACCGTGCTCCATCTCACCTTTCTGCTACAGATTTCTCTCTGAAACTCGATAGTCAAAATCCAGCACCAAACTGTAGAACTAACAAAAAGAGATACTAAGATATCTGTAGAATTAATAAATCCAACACAGAATTCGAAACTGAAGAAATCTCTGCTAAAAAGCTACGCGAGAAGATTACCTGCAATTAGTAGCAAAGTTGTGCGAGAGTTTTGTTTGCTCTAAAACCCTAAGACCTCCACGAAGGAATCTTCAAGTCTTTAGAAGTAGAAAAGGTCCACTATTTCACCGTAATTACATTTCTACCCTTTTTGATGACGTGGCTTTTTACGTCTCTTAAACCCTAATTCGGCTGTCGAGCAGAACCGAGAAGCTTGTGTGTGCTTTATTTTGTTTGTTCGTATCATCTCGGAAAATCTCCATTTTTGAGAAAGTAGGCATTTTTTTTTCCTTCTGTTCTTCAAATTCTAGTCTTGAATAACAAAGTTTTGATCTTTACGAATCTTGAATTTGTTTTCAGTTATTGCTAAAATGGCGTCTCCCAATCCTATTCCCGTTGGCATTGATAAGGAACAGGTTCGTTTTTTTTTTTCTCGCAGAGATTCTTCTTACTTTGTTGTTGATACTTTATAGAGCTCCGATCTTTGATCTAATTAGACAATCGATGTTTAAGTTCTAGCTGTCTCTGTGTCGATATGTAGAATTCATTTCCAAGACCAGATCTTAAAATGGAGAACATTGAAAACTCATGATGTCATTTACAGTTTAAATCTTTAAATAGATTTGGATTAGTGTTCCTGAGTTTTTCTCATCTTGCTGGATTGAATCAGGCATTTAGCATGGCACAAACGGAGATGGAATACAGGGTGGAACTCTTTAACAAGTACTGAATCAAAGACCCTTTTACGTTTATTCTCGTTATAAGATTAGAGATTGATGCACTCACTTTTGATTGGTATATGGTATTGTGTTGAGTGTATTTACAACACATTGTGTAGTAAGTAGCATATCAAGTATTAGAATGTTAATCTCTCTTTTATGTTCGTCAAGTGTTAATTGTTCCAGAGAAGTATATATCCTGATGATGAAATCTATAATGTTTGTTTGAAAAATTCTTGATGAAAGTAAATCTTAGGTCAAACATGTACAACTCGATTTGTCCTTCTTAATTTGTCTTGTGTCAAACATATACCCAAGTTCATGGTGTGACTGTTCTTTTAATGCAGGCTTGCTCAAACATGCTTTAATAAATGTGTGGATAAAAGGTAATCTTTCTCTCTTATGTACATCCTTATGGAACTTGTCTGAGTTGTTCGAGATTTTTGTAGCTGAGAGATTGATTTGATTTTTCAGTTGCACAACAGTTTGAGATTGTTTGTCTAAAACCAATCTGGTTCTCAGGTACAAGGAAGCTGAGTTAAACATGGGTGAGAACAGTTGCATTGACCGTTGTGTTTCCAAGTACTGGCAGGTAAGGCTCTTGGATTAGTGATCTTAAACGAAGCTATTTTTACGATTTCATACTTCATTAATACTTATGTTCATTTTCATGTAATCGTTTTTAGGTAAATGGAATGGTTGGACAGCTTCTAAGTGCTGGCAAGCCTCCGATGTAAGCCAGTTTCAATGGCAATCATAGACCAAAAAGCTCATGGAGAGACATAACTCTCTTCTTTCTTCATCTAAAGTTTTAAGGCAATCTTGTTTTTTTAGTGCCTAGAAAGTTGTTGCATCATATTTTTGGCGCTGATTTGGACAAAGTATGCAGTTCTCTGTGAACCCATTATTCTCTATAGGGATGAAATGAAATAACATCAAAATATCTTGAAACACATCTGTTAATGAGTTCTGTAACTTGTATTTTCTTCTTATAAGACCAAATTAACAAATGACTAACAAAGAGTAACGTGTATCCTACAAAGACTATGATCAGTTCACAACGAGCATAATTCCTAACTAAGATCAATGCTCATCTGCAACATTGCTCTCCTTTTGAAGTCTCTGATGATCTTCTTTGCTCTTGTTCTTACCATCCTTTGTACTAAGTGGAAGCAACGGCGTTTGAGAAGGTCCACTAGAACGCTCTGCCATTTCTGCAAGAAGAGACACAAGACTGACCAAACCTGAGCTAACTGCTAATAGCATAGACTATGCTAAGAAATGATCTAGCAATCTGCGAACATGTTCTACACTGTTAGCATTGTAATGGTCTTGATCTTTAGGGTGACGAACAAGACAACTATTTCAGTTGAGGCAGAAACTACGAATTGGAATCAAGAAGGGAGCATAAATTGCAGAGACGCAATCTGGTTTTGGAATCTTTTTGGGAAAACGATGAGTTCTTGAGTAAGCCTACCTGGAAGTTTACTGTCAACGAAGAACATCACAAGGTTCACAGTATACCTGGAGAATAAATTGTTGAAATGTTGAGAGAATTTAAAGGATTCAACTTTGCAATAAAAAGATATTTGATTTCTCATATTTTTTCTGACCATGCAACAACAATGTCTACTGTGTAATGCTTCCTTGATGCTATAATCAATAGGCTCTGTATAACTGCCATAAGCCAAGCCAGATGCTTGATCCACCTGTAAATTTTACAAACATGAGATGCAAAGACTCGTGTGAAAAAAATGAATGAACTTCGGAAAAAACATTATAAGATAACACTACCTTCGTGTTCCGTATCTTTGATAAGTGCGTACAAAGACTAAAGTGAATATAGTATGTGATGAAAATATTAAATCTCCACAACCATATATCACCCCATTAGGAACTGCAAATATGAACACGAACATTAATCAAATGCCTCTTTGAGTTTTCATTCTTCAATGACTAAACCATTACGAATGAAGAAATAGAGGCAATTCAAACTAACAGTTAATCAAGAGTACTTCAACAACATTCTTTGGTGGCGGAATCTTGGCAAGCTTGGAGCCCTATACGTTGAAAGTTCGTTATGGCAGAGACAAATCAGTACATAGCACAAAAGTTACAACTAAGAAAACCAAAACGCTCCGAGAATCAATCTTACCTCTCGACAATGATAATTTGGACCAGGAAGCTGTGTAGAAAAGAATGTGATGATCCTCAGACTTTGAGAAGCCTGAAACATACAAAACCTTAACCACCTCAATAATACTAAAACTAAAAACAAAACTCTGTCGTCACTCGTCACTGTATGTATAAAACATAAGAATCAATGTAGTGGAAGTACAACTTACTGCTAAATAAACAAAAACTCTGCACCATATCAGAACTGTACAAATCTTCTTGCTATGAGAAACAAAGGGATGAAAAGTCCACTGCGATAAACATAAACCTCTTTGTTAGAGAGGCCATTATTCAACTGTTACTGCGAGTTAGCTGACCAAAAAATAACAGAAAGTTTAGAGTGAGAGAAAACTTACTAAGACAAATGATCCAAAGATGGTGACAAATACAGTTTCACTAACGAAAGCTTTCTCTTGCCCAAGCGCCTAAGGAACACATATCAATTACTAAACAATCAAACCTATGATAGAGAACAAAGTTGATGCAGAGAAGTCAAAGCAAGAAACTGACTGGAAGAATGAAGAAACCGGCATCTTGAAGCGTAGGACCAGGTCGGTGTAAGTAGTGAACTCCATGAGCAGCAAGTCCATGAAGGTACTGATTTGAAAGAGAGAGAGACCAGAAAAAAAAACAATTATCCACAGAAAACAACAATCAGATTTTTATTCATACCATCAACAAATTTAAGCAAACCTATAATGTAAACACTACACAAGGCATGGATAATGAAATTTTCGAGCTTCGGATACATCGGAAACACACATTAAAACGAGAAAGAAACTATCTTTAACCGGTAGATGAAGACAGATAGAACCTGAAATGCAAGACCGGCGAGAACAAGCTTCCATTTTTCGGCAAGGAGAGAAGCTTCTAATGTCGTTTCTGAGCAGATTCGTCTCCATAGCTTCACATACAGACACAAACTAATACAAATTCAACACAGAGATTGAAATTGATACTGAGGAAAAAACCAGAGAATCAACGAACCTTAGGAGCCTCGCGATCAACGTAAACCGGCATGCTTAAGATTGAATATGAACATTAATCCCTCTACAGGACGATCAAAATGATGCAACTCCTTTTGTTAAGAGGTAAAATCCCGAATCGAACCGACAAGTTTTGATTCACCTGAATCGGTAAGAATATTATCCCAATCAATTAATGATTTAGAAATGAAATTATAAGAGAAGAATCGATTCAAAATGTTTTCTTTTTGTTTTCGGGGAAGGGGAGTCGGCTTTTGTGCAGTCTAAGCAAAGCCAGCAATTAACTGGTGTGCAAGCCCATTCTGTAACCGTTTAGTTGTTTTATTTTTTTCCTTTCAATAAATTAACGTAGACGAAGTTGTTTAACGTAAGGTGCTGTGGTGTAGTGGTTATCACGTTTGCCTTACACGCAAAAGGTCTCCAGTTCGATCCTGGGCAGCACCATATTATACTTTTTTTACTCTGCTCCTGCGCAGGGAGCAATTGATGATTCTCTTTTTTTTTTAATCTATCGCTTGAAGTAACAAATTCGTTTACAACAAAACCTTAGGAGCTTTGTTTTTCGTCTTTCTATAATAGCGAATTCAAAGTTTAAGATCAAGAGAATTTGTAAAACAAAAAAAACACATACATATTTTATTTGCTTAAATATTAATCGTTGGATATTCGATTTAAAACACGTTTCACAAATTTCTATTTAACGTAATCTATCCCACACCGTAATTACATAGAAAATACGAACCCATCATCATAAACTAAAAAAAAAAAGAAGGTAAAATATATATATAGCAGATTTATTTGAAGAAGCAACTAAACCCTACCAACAGGAGACAAAGGTGGATGGTGTGAGAGATACTTTGCAGGAGCTTCAGCTTCAATAGGACCTGAAAATGACTTCAACCTCTCGTTTTGGATCATCGATGACACTTCTCCACAAGCTCTGTTGTCTACACGTGAAGTGTTTGGTTCCACGGTCTTTAACGTGTTCCTTCCCTCGTTAACCGCTATACAAATGGAGAATGCTTGCAAGAGTGAGAGTGATGTATTGTACTCAACCGCGTAAACACCTTCTCTGTACGGAGTGAAACTCAAGAATGGTTGGTTCTTACTATCCTGTAATCCTCCCTGCCAAAAGCAAAAATAACACATCAATGAGTTTCATAATTGGGTCTCTTCAAGCTGAACCTCATGTAGTATCATGTTATATAAACCTGAAAGAAAAGCTTCAAGGCATCTGAAGTGGAGACAGAGAGGTGTCTGGGTTTATTATGCTGATTGGTGAGGATTCTAAGGTTGCAACCCATGTCCCAGCCTCCACAGTCACATGAACCACCTGATTTCCATCGTTGGATCAGCGACGAAGGCCCTCCTTTGTGTGGGAGACTGTGAATTCCACTTGGAAGCACAATTGTTGCGTTAACGTCTGCAAAGAAATCTCCAAGTGTGGTCTCGTTCTGTTTCTGGTCTTTGGTTGAGCTCGTGTCATCAGTTTTCGGTATCTTGATCACCATGGCAGCTAGCTCGTTACTCCGCTGCTGCGATTCGGATGCAACGAGTACAAATTCTCTGGTTAAGAGGTTATCGACGGAACCGGAGACTCTCATCTGAGCGACGATGTTGGATGTGTACTCTTGGTTTTGCATCTTCCTGCCGTGGTTCATCCATTTTCCGTTTTTCTTCTGTACTTCCTGAACAGTGAAGAACGTGTACTTGTGTCCACAGTCTTCCTTCTCTGGTGCCATCGGTTTCCTTATCGTGGCTGCTGTGATACTCTGTTCCTTGTCAACCGCAAAAGTGAACAGTGGTTGATCATTCTTAGACGTGACGCGGAAAAGAGCCTGAACGGTTGAAGATTTTACGTTTCTTGACATAAGGGTTGAAGAAGATGATGGTTGACCCTCAGGAAGAATATGCTTTTGGTGTGTACTTGAAGGTGAGCACTTTAGTGATGATGGCTCAGGAGATCTACATGCATGGCTTGATTTTGGTTTTATCAGCGGCTCGAGAAACCTTCTCAAGGGACTAGACCTGCCTCTGTTTGCTGCACTGGTATTATCAAAAGAAGAGCTGTCACTGATAGAAGAGGTGGATCGGTGGTCTAAACCAGCTCGTGATGATGGAAGCGTTGCGCTCAAGTGTGGAGGAGTCTGAGCTTCTTCAGAGTTGGAGTTTTTGCTTGACTTTCCCATGCTGAAGCTGAGTCGGCGAAACGGTGAAATGCTTCTTGCTCTTTCTGATACAGGTTTAACGGGTTTCGAATCTGACTGCTTGGGGAGTGTTTCCGTTGACCTTCTGTCTAGAGTCCTGCTCCTTGAGGGACTAGGTTCGGCCTTTCTTGATCGTGGAGCTGAGCGAGATCTTTCTGATAAAGATCTGTTTTTATCTGCACTCAAGAAGTTGAGACGCTTTGAGAACGGTTTGCTTCCATCAGCTTCACGTTCACGTCGGAAGGTAGCTACATCAGAGTCCAGGACTGCACCATGTCCAAACGCTAACCTCTCCGGGAACCCTTTTCTATTAGTTTCCGCCACTCTCTCAGCGAGCAACACTTTTGAATCATAGAACTTAGACAAACCGATGATCTGTTTCTGAGAAACAATCCCTGGTACAAATACAGCAGCAGGCTTTTCTTTTCCAAACAGATCATGAACACGAGGATTTCGGATTCTTTCATCCATCTTCTCTCCTTTTTTCTTAAAATCATCAGCTAGATTCCTCGATATTACCCTCGTGCAGGAAGGACTATCAGGCTTTGATGGAGTCAAGAAAGTTTTGGTTTTTGGAACAATCTTAAAATCAGAATCTTTCTTCTCGTTCTGCAGGAACGCAGTTCCCCGAGGGCTTTGATGAATCTGCACATCTCTTCCTGGCAAAGAGCTATGACACTGGGAAGTATCACCATCATCACGAGGTGGAACAAACTCTTTAGGACAATCTCCAGGCTTAGAAGACATCAGATAGTACTGAAGAGGAGGGTGATTAATCCTTTTGCGGAAAGGAGAAGCGCACAGACCTCTGCTTGAATCAGTCGACGATTCATCAGTCCAGAGCGATGAAGACGTGCTTGTGTTGGACAACGAAGACCTTGTATGCTTATCCATCTGCTTATCACCACCACCCGATTGCCTATTCTTAATCTCCTGCGAGCCAATGCCACCACCAGCTTTAACGTCTTTCACTTCAAGCTTCTCGCATTTCTTTATATAACTCGGCACATACGACTTGTACTTCACAAGGTCTCTCTCTCCTGACGCGGTTCTACCTATCCGCGACTTCAGACGATTCTCCAAGCGTTTCGGACACACGTCCTCGACTTTCTTCGTGATCTCGCGGTGGAAGTCGGAGTAAGATAACCCGCGTTTATCATCTCTGAACTTATCAGGAAGATATGATCTTTGGCTTTCCTTGGCCAATACCTTCTTCTCAGCTGCCACAAAAGGTGGTCTATCACTTGAACCCTTCTTCAGCTCCAAACGACACTCCATCTGTTTCAGAAGTTTTTCTCAGGTGAAGCTAACGTTTCACTCAGATCACTCCTTAGCCTCTCATTCTACTGCAAGAAGCTTAAACTTCTCGAAACAATCTTGACAGTGGTTTCCTGCAGATACAAGAATAACGTTAAGTGACCCATAACACTTACAAAATATAACGTATCTTCAACATTTTTAGATGAAGTAAACAAAATGTCAAAAATTATCAGATAGAAACAGCTCATGACCATTTAAATAGTTTACAATCCATGAGATCTGACAAGAATCTCTACAAGATAAAAGCTGAGTAAAAAGGCAAACCTAATCATATAAGACCAAAATTACAACCACATTCTTTCCGAAATTCCTCTTTTAAGCTTCTTAATCAACTAAAAAAAAAGAAAAGTTTGGAAACTGAAAGTGACAACAGAGGCGTAAGTGTACACTGTACACACAAGATCGAAGAATTCACACTAACTCTAATCAGAAGAAGATTCAAACACGAAAACGCAAAATTTCTTCGCGGAAGAAACAATCAGTGACGGAGAAAGCTCTGAAATCGAATCCGTACCTCGTCAGAATCGCTGCTCGTGAAACCCAGAGACTGAAAGTAGCAATCGAAATAGGTAATCAGAGGAAATACGAAGGAGAAGCAGATCTCTAATCGTCCGTGAAATCAGGAAGCGGGAATCGCGCCGACGAAGCTGACCCTATCAGCTACGAAGATTGAGAAGTAGAGTAAGTGAGAGAGAGAGAGAGAGATGATTTTTTTTTGTTGAGCTTGTTAATTGTAGATAGAGAGAATGGACAAGTAGAGAGAAGAGAGAGAGAGTTGTTGGAGTGAGTGTGTTTTTGCTCGCCGAGTCTTTCGTGGAAGTTGTTTATTACTATTTTATTATTTTTGGAGAAATAAAAGAAAGAGACAGCTTTTTTTTTTCTTGTGGCCGACGGATTTATTAGTAAAAAAAGTAAGGTGAAAAGAGTAGAAATGTAGAATCGTACGATCGAGATTCCTTAATGGACGCGGGAATTTCGTCAGCTTGACCCTACTTAGTGGATCTCATAGTCTCTACACACCGTTGGATTAGACCTGCTTCTATGATCAAAAAGATAACATGAGGCCATTGTAAAGCCCATTACTAAACTCAGCCACGAAAAAGAAAATAATAAAACATAAATTACTAGTAAAAAAAAAAAATCTATATGTTCACGTCAAAAAAAGTATTCTTCTTTCTACCATTTCAGTTTTAAGATAACATGTATATATTACTCACAAAAATTAATAACAGTCATTGACAACCCATCATATTAGATATATTCTAAGAATTTAAATCCTAATTCTTTGAAATCTACATAAATATGCCATGCATGATCGCAATGAACCGATATAGAATCAGAAAACAATCAAAATCCCCATACCTAAGAAAATATCTTAAGTGGCGTGAACGATTTTATGTTTTCAAAGCTACCCATTTCTCTGTGTTATCCCTTCATAATATCATACCCATCAGGATTCTCATTTCCTCTCTTACACTAACCACCTAATATGCGAAAATTCAACCATCAATCCTCATAATTGATTCATTTTAAAACTTTCACTTGGTATTCAGGAAAAAAAAACATTCACTTGGTAGTAAGTAACAGTATGATTTGTCTCAGACTCCAGCCATGCAATAATTAACTAATTTCCGCCCTAAGTCTCCAAACACAGTTGGGTCAACAGCTGTTTGTTGAAGCATCCGGGATATGTGACCCAATTAAAATAATAACCAATCCAGCCCATTATGGATATACATATTAAGCCCATCAAAGACCATTATACTCTATCGTATATAAACTCAACTAGATTTTTCCGGATATCACTTGATATTTTTCCTGCGGTCTTCTAGATGATTCCTCTGTTTTCCCGTAAGTTAGAGAATCGCTAAAAATTCGAGTTGCTCGAGAAATTTCGATTTGTTCCTTTAAATAGATTCTTCGATGCTCTCTCTTTCCTCAGAAGTCGAAAATCAAATTTCACAAAAATCAGCAAGTTTCTCAGCAACTAAATCGAGTTAATTTCAGAGATTCCTTTTTGAAAAAGCTCACCGGAAAATGTCGATGATTCCGAGCTTCTTCGGCAACAACAACAGGCGTAGCAACTTCTTCGATCCTTTCTCGCTAGATGTCTGGGATCCATTCAAGGAATTTTCGTCGTCGTCTTCACTTTCCCGAGAAAACTCTGCGATCGTGAACGCACGTGTGGACTGGAGGGAGACGCCGGAGGCGCACGTGTTCAAGGCGGACTTGCCTGGGCTGAAGAAAGAGGAAGTGAAGGTGGAGATCGAGGAAGACAGCGTGTTGAAGATCAGCGGGGAGAGGCACGTGGAGAAGGAGGATAAGAACGACACGTGGCACCGTGTGGAGAGATCGAGCGGGCAGTTCACGAGGAAGTTCAGGCTGCCGGAGAATGTGAAGATGGATCAGGTGAAAGCTGCGATGGAGAATGGAGTTTTGACCGTGACTGTTCCAAAGGCCGAGACGAAGAAAGCCGACGTTAAGTCTATTCAGATCTCCGGCTGATTCATCACGCACCCGAGGACTCTGGTTCGAGCACTTTCTTCTATATAAATATCATCTGTGTGTTGTGTTGTGTTCTGGTTCTGATTTCACTGACCGTTGTCGTTGATGTATCTTAATAAAAAGTGTGGAATAAACTAATTTGTTGTGAAGCTTCGCACAAATTTAAAATATAAAGTTGTTAACAATCAAGTACAATGTTAATTCAGTACGACCAATCCGGAAAATTAAAGTGAAAGCAAGTTTAACCATATAACATAACGACACAGAACCTTTTAAAACTTTCAATGACTAAGGAGTGAACCGGACCACGGGACCAGTCATACCAACATTTTCATACTAGAGCATAAAAGTCTATGCGTCGTTTGAAACTTTTTCAATGTTAATAAGCAAACACCGTGGAAAGAATGGAGTGGATTGAAAAGGTAAATGAAGAATATGTGTTCTTAATACCGAGTTTTTTGAATATGGAGTCGAGGGTCTAGTTCGTTTAGAGGTAACCACATTCAGAGTCTTCGTATGGTTTAGACTTAGTATATACGTCGTATCTTATCTCTCATTAATCCCAAGTGATCGATGTTAGCCTGAACCGAGATGTTTTTATTTATATTTTTGCTATTACTTTAAAGTTTTTGGTATTTAGTATAAATAGACTTGGACTAATAATTTTTAGAAAAACTTTGATCTTGTTTAGTTTCTTAAATATTTTTTTCATTTTTGTAAAATAAGATTTTTTTTTAATCTAAAATTTTTTATTTGTATCATTAAATCTTTTTTAATCTCCTTTTTAATCATGTTTAACATTCTTTTTTTTGTGATTTTGTGTTTTCCATGATGAGTGAATAGTCTTTTTAGGATTCTTAGATGTGGTAGATTAAAGGAATTTAGAGGCTTGATTAGAGTTTATTAGTGTTTAATTAGGTTAATTCTTCTCTATTAATCTGTATTTAGGCTAGATTTATCTTGATCACATGAATCTAGATTTAGGCTTCATCTTATGTCCACCAAATGTTTAATGAAATGCTGATCTTGTTTGATAGAAGATTTACTGGTCTTAGCTCAAGAGCTGAACAGTCTGAGAAGTATTTTGGCTTGAATAGAGCTAGTTTTGCTTGCTTGTTGATTGTTCTAGCACTAATGAGAGTTACTTCTTATTAGGATGATTACCAAAAGGTTATTTGTCAAGAGATTGAATTTAACTTGCTTGATTGTGAACTATATGCCTAGGAATTAGCATTACTTGCTTATTTTCATTGTCAATGATGTTTGAAACAGCCTTGTCTTGCCTTTGAATTCCCAAAAGTCAATAACCAAATCTTGGAGCTTATCTTTCATTATCTATATTTCGAATTTGCTTTAGTACTCTGTTTTTGTTGCTCTGTTTTGCTTTGAATCATTGCTTAGTATTGCTTTCTTAAGTTGTGCTTAGTTTTTTATTTACTTAGGTTGATAGTCTAGTAGTTTAAACACTCTCTTCTTTGATTGCACTTGACTTAAAGTTTTCTGCTCCTAATCCTAGTGGAATCTAGTTTAACCCCATTGGCTTGATAAAAACTCTATAATATACTACAACTGATTAGTACAAGCTTGAGTGATTGAGAAAGAGACTCAAAACTCTTGTATCAATTTGGTGTTGTTGCTGTTAGGGTTATTGTTTGGATCATTAGGATTTGTGGAATCTTTAAGATCAAGTTTTATTTGTATTTGGTTACTAATAGTCTTCAAAGCCAACAATGCCAACAAGGAGTTCAAGGACAGCAAAGAGAGCAAGGTCCTAGAGGAGCAGCTCAATCTCCAAGACCTATCAGATCTATTGGAGCAGGAGATGCTGATGAGGACATGGACCAGCTGATCGTACCGGGTCGAGGGAACGATGAACACTCGTCCGTACTGGGTCGAGAAAGTGACGGGAGCAACGACCAGCCATTGGTACCGGGACAAGAGGAGCTGGAACAGACCGTCGTACCACCAGTGACCGGCTCACCCATGACACGTTCCAAGACCAGGAGGTTGAGAGAAGGATTCAATGAGGCCATACAAACACTTTTGACCAACATGAACGTGGAGAACATACTCAACCCCTAACCGATCCCCATTGCAACCAAGATAGACATTACCGAGGATTTCGCCAAGATGAGCCTAAAAGATGACCGCCCCATTACAAAACAAGGTATGAATATTTACTTGACAGGAAATGGCGATCAGAACATCAAAAATCCCACCAATGCTGTACCGGGGCCGCGAGATACACCAAGTACAAGTATAGAAGCCGTTAGAGTACCATTGGAGCAAGAAGGTGAATCAAGCCTTAAACGTGGAGGAACTCTCAAAGACACTTACCAGCTCGGCCTCAACGAACATCAGTACGAAGAGAACGTCGAGAAACTCGCCCCAACAGAATCGGGAAAAGAACTATTCACCAACATACCAAACAAGCATCATGCGTGCCAAAACCAGGTATTCTCAATTTATACAATTTATGCAGGTACTGAGGCTTGCCTCAATGGTTCTTAAACATCCCAACACGCCAAGGAGTTATCAGTTCGAGCCACAAGAGAGCCGGCTTAGTTTAGCTTTTATTTTCTTTAGTTAAGTGAACTTTCCTATTTTGATGTTTTTGTGCCTTAAGCGTTTTGTAGCTTTATTTTGCCTTTGTGTTGTAATTTTATTGCTTTTATTTTGGCCCTAGGGCTAGTCGACGAGCTGTTTATAAAGCTCCCCTGCAGCGTTGTATCTTTGGTTACCCTTTGATTATCAATAAAGACTGAACTTTCTTCAAAGCTAAAGCTGCCGCTTTAACCTTTGTTCTTTTGCTTTGTTCTTGTTCGTGAGATTCGTACGAGACTAAGTGCTTACTGTATCAGAGAGCTATCCATCCTCTCTGTGGTGCCATCAATCCACTTCGTTACCCCATTCAACCGATCCTTCAAGAGAGAACGTTATAGCTAGCTTGACAGATCCCATCTCGGCTCAAGGAGTATTCCTCACGCCTTGTTCTATCATTTCCATCCATCAGTCAACACAAGAGAGCTTCATAGCCAGTGTGTAGACTCCATCAAACCACCCACTCTGACCGTTGTAACACTCTCATCTGAGTATTACATCATCTGGTATCAGAGCCGAAGATTTTATCTTCGGTTTTCTATCCTTTTTGCTTTCATAGATCCATTGCTAGTTGCGTTTGTTTTCAGTGTGTTCGGTTTCTTTGTTTAACTCTTATTGAAAACCCATAAAAATCGCTTGCTTGTCTTATTTAGTTTCTGTCTTAAGTTTTATAAAAAGAAGAACCCCAAAAAGAATAGATCCGTTTTGGCTTGTTTCATTTCCTTTGCTTAAGATTGTTAGTTGCTTTTATAAAACCTATAAAACCCATAAAAAGTTTTCTCTTTGCGTTATTGTGTGTTGCTAGTGTTGTCTTTTTGATCAGCTCGTTTGATTAATAGGTTAAGTAGTGACCATTTTTAGTTATTAATTTATTTGTGCCGTGACAAGTTTGTTAAGTGTTGCAAGGTTAAGCAGCTCTAACAACATGACTGAGGGAGCAAACGGTGCACCAGCTGACCTCGCTCAAGTAGCAGCTATGAGGGAGGACATGAGAAGCATGAACCAACAGATGGGTACCATTCGCCAAGAGTTTGGAGCTCGTCTCGAACAAATTGAAACTCTACCGAGGAGAGCGGCTGTACGAGGAGCCCCTATACCACCAGTAGACCCGATAGATGAGTTACAAGACACTGATGATGATAACTTTGATCCCCTCATGAGACGAGGACAAAGGATACAAGATCCCCTACAAAGAAATCCATACCGCGAGGTAAGTGCTAGAGATACTAATCATGATATCAAACTAACACCTCCTACCTTTGCACGAAAGTCTAATCCTGAGCTATACTTGGACTGGGAGAGACGTATAGACCACATATTTGAGTGTTATGGATACGCTGAGTGTAAGAAAGTGGCCGTGGCAGTTTCTAACCTCACGGAGAATGCACTTGCGTGGTGGGACAGAACCATAGCTGAGAGGAGAAGGCAACGGTTTGGTCAAGTATCTACATGGAGCAATATGAAGTATCTGCTCAAACAAAGGTATGTACCTGAGCATTATCATAGGGACTTACAAAAACATTTTCGTAAGTTATCTCAGGGAGCAAGGAGCGTGGATGAGTACTTTGAAGAGTTTGAGAAGCTAATGAACTCTTTGGAGTTAGAAGAGTCTGAGGAAGCTTTAATGGCTCAGCTCTTAGACGGCTTGCAAGAAAGAATTGCAAGAAAGGTGGAGCAGATGCAGTACGGAGGGATGCACGAGTTGCTACACTTAGCTGTATAAGTGGAATAGCAAATCAAACGTAAGAGCCCCCACTTCAACCGCAGCAAACCTAATCAGCCGTGGGCGTCAAGTAGTTCAAAACCCTTAGATAAGGGAAAGGGTATAGAGATAGATTCTTGCTTCAAGAACAAGACTACCGAGGCCCCCAAATTCAAACGAACAAAGCAAGGTAAGTTTTCTAGTACTAATCAAAGATCTAGAGACATAACGTGCTTTAAGTGTCAATGCAGGAGACACATATCTAGGGAGTGCCCCAACAACCGCGTGATGATTCTCACCCCTAGTGGCGAGTATGAATCACAAGATGAGTTAGAAGAGGACTCGGCTGGCGAGGAGGATGGCATTGAATATCAAGACCGAGGAGACCTTCTAGTTACAAGGAGGGTGCTTAGCGTACTAGTTAACCCCAAGGAGAAAGAACAACGAGAGAGCATCTTTCACACAAGATGTACAATCCGAGGAAAGGTATGTAATCTTATCATAGACGGTGGATCATGTACTAATGTAGCTAGCAAGTATATGGTGGACAGGTTAGGTCTTGAGAAGATCAAACACCCGGGACCATACAAGCTAAGGTGGCTAAATGATCAAACCGAGCTTAAGATCTCAGAGCAAGTCGTTGTGCCATTCAGCGCGGGAAAGTACTTAGATGAGGTTGTATGCGACGTGGTACCAA